AGAAGTCCAATAAACATGAGAAAGAAGTTGCAAATTCTTACTGATGCCGCAGCTAGAACGGACAGTGCACGACTGAGCTCACACAGCTCCTCCTGTTTCTCCAAAGTTCTTTCTCTTGCTAGTTGTTGAGCTTCCCTAGCAGTTGGTGTAGTTATCTCTTTCAATGCCACATCTTCATCTTCACGGACTTTATGTTCTTTCATCCTAGCAAGCTCTTCCTCCTCTTTCTCTTCCTCTTCCTGTAGTATATGAGTTCCAAATGAGTATCGCAGTTAAATTGATATGACAAGACCAATAAAATTTTCCAAAGCTGCCCAGATTTGCAAGCAATTTCCGACAGAAGAGAACTGTAGCTAGGGCTTTTAGCAGGGTTTTCCCCACACAATGATTTAAGCACAACTTTAAACAAATGTCAGAATATCAAACTGAGTTCATTCGAAATTTCAAAGGGTAATCTTTCTTAATTTGTTGAACTCTAGAAAGACCTTAAATCTTGACTGACGAAACTGGGGCTCACTCAATGCATACCTTGATACGTTTATCCTCCTCCTCAAGGAACTCCAGCTTCCTTCTCCTTTCTGAAACAGAATCTTCAGATGGCAAACCAGTACTGGCAAGAGTATTCACAACCTCATCAGGAAGAGATGAAAGTGTTTGCTGAATAGCGTCTTCAGGTTTAACTCTTGCAGACACTATGAAAGCCCTGCAAATAGTGGTGAAAAATAGATCAGTCAGAAAGTGAGGGACAAAACGTGAACATTGAACTTAAAAGGAATCAAAAGAAACTAAATACAAGTTGATCAATAGATCTTCATGCCACCTGGAGAGAATTAAGAGGGAAGATGGCACAGCATGATTGAGAGACAGATCCAACCAATCACGGAGCTGCACGGAATTACAGCATACAAATAACAGTGTAAGTATTACAAAAGAGCATATTAGAGAGAAGTCTGTCCAAATTCACCAAAGGTAAAAGCCCAGGGAATATCATATGCATAAAGACACATGGAACCTGTTGCCTCATTTCCTCGACCGAACGTAGCCCAAGCATCCCACGTTCTCTACATTCCGCACGAAGTTCGTCCTCAGTAAGTGTATCAATGCCTTCTTCTTGGATCATCCTGTCATCCTTTTTAATGCTGGAAAGGGAAAAATCAACATGTTAATTGTACGAGCATTTCCACTTTATCGTAAACATGGAGAAGGAGCACAGATAAACATACAGGAATTGCTCTCTAATCTACTCGAGTGGAAATTAATGGTTAGGAAAGACATAAATATTGAACAGTTCATCATATTGATACATATTAGTCTTCAATTCACAAAAGATAACCAAAGTTCACAGACTCACTCATTTACAAATTTCACAAAATGGTTGCTTGAACAACTATTTATAATTAAAAAATGTTGAGTTCCAATTGGAAGGTAAATCTTCTCCAGAGACCATTATAAGTCTTTTAGACTAGTACGAAACCATATAAAAGATGACCTGAATTTTAATATAAATGAAATGATAGTCAAATGCAATGAGATAAACAATGACAATTACGTTCTCAAACATGTGGATGCAACCAAGTTGAACCAAAAGAACACAGCATCTAACTTACAAATGTAGAATGGGAATGTGAGGGAAGGTGAGTATTACCTTTGAAGTCTTTTCCGAAGCATAAACCGCAGATACGAATCAGTTCCAAAAGGACTGATTCCCATATACTTGCACATACTGACTAGTCGTGGCCTGTTCGGAAAAGTGATGTGTCAAGAAAGCAAGAAGGAAATGTACAAGGAAGCAATGAACAGAAGCAATCATAACAAGATCATACCTGCTAATATTATCCAAAGTCAGCTCATCATTGAATAGCATGGCAAAGCTTAGAATTTCATCATTAGAGACAGAAGAACCTTTTCTAACCTGGTCAATGTGAGAAACTATGTAAAAGACAAATAAATAGGTCACCTTAAAAGAGAAGAGACAGATTTATGTAGTACTTACTTTGGTCAAAAATTCATCAAGGTCCTCAGCAGTCTTTTTAGTCTCACCACTTCGTGAATTTTGAACTTCCTTTGCCATTTCCTTTACTGTTTCTTGAAGAAACTTCGCATATTCTATCCTTGCATTGAGCCTCCTCTTTAATGCTTCCTGTAATAAATCGAAACCAAAGAGCAAGTTTTCAGTAGAAAGGAAAGCAAAGAACTGTAATGGTTTATCACAAGCATATGTTAATCCCACCTGCTCTTTCATTTTATCTTGGAATGTTGATGGCAGCATGTTGGGGAAAAGTTTCAGAAATACTGGTAGCAGAAATTCCATGAAGGGGACGATGATGAACACTGCGAAAGGAACCAAACGGAATATGTCCGCAGTTGTTCGTGTTAGTTGCTGTCTCTCCCTTCGGGACAGACTCTTCCCTCCAGTAAGTTTCAATAGCAATCTTATGCTGATCCTGACATCAGTCCCCAATAGCTTCAAGCCTAACCAGTAATGCTGCAACGTCGAGACAATTTCATGTTTCCAGTGAGTAAGTTTTTTGGCCCAATCTTCCCTGCAATGAGAACAGCAAGTCAAGCAATGAATCACAAATCAGAAAACACTTCAAAGATCTTCAAACTGGTGTATCACAAACTAAATGTATATAGAAGTAATTGTTTGAACCTGCTCATTGAAGCTATAGCTCTTAAGGCAGGACCAATTCCGAGAAGAATGGCCCATGTCTTCTGCAAAATGGATTTCGCAAAATTCTTAGACTCCTGTAACTTTTTAGCTTTTGCCTTGGCTTTGGCAGTACTTAGGCCTTCAACAGCTTCATCGCAGTCTTCTGGAGACACTTCCTTTCTCTTTTTAGAAACAGAATCTTCATTACCGTCCTCATCACTGCCAAGCTCTGGCTGCTTAGCTGCGGCTGTAGATGCATTACCCGAAGAGATGGACATGTACCTCAGTGGGCTAAAGAACTCTGTTCTCACATATCTGGGGCCCAAAACTGCACTACTGTAGAATCTACGCCTGAAGTGCCCTGCCCCCAAAAGACAAAGCAATTCTGCTCTTCTCCCTGCAGCGCCATTGAGTTCCTTTCTGTCGGATACCACTGAAGGCCGATGACACTTGGCATCAGAGCCATCCAACTGTTGGTTATCATGCTGCAGACCATGGAGACTGTAAACTGAACGAGCAGACGAACTGAAGCAATCAAAAACAACCTTGTTCCTCCTCACAATTGCTCTGGAAGCCATTTTACATAAGCTTCAGTCTACACGAGGAGCAGCATTCACATGCCCTAGTAATGAGCTGCTTCGTTAAGCTGACAAAACAAAAACCAAAACAGAATATGTCAAAGAATAGCAGACAAAAGAGGCAAGAGCTACGTTATTCAATAGGATCCTTTAGCCTATTCCTAACAAACAGCAGAATTCTTCAACAACAAAAAAAAAAAAAAACCGCTCACAGACAAACAATCGAGCACTTTGCTACAGTTCGTACACACCAATTCCTAACCGCAAAAGAAACTAAAAGAGGGAAGGGATCTCATCAAAACGTTAGGACCCTCTCCTCTATCCAGCGGACTTTGTTCCCGAACCAAAGACAAAGGAAGAGATTTCGACGCCACCGCTAGGGGAATGGCAAAACAAACCGCGGAAGAAAAGAGCTCCGATCAAACGACAAGACCGTCAAGGTCGCGATGAAGACGACGACAACGCCATTGGCGAACAGAATGAAAACACGGGAGCAAAATGGCGACGACGGCAGGAAGGTTTGTGGCTTACCGGAGAAACCAGGCAGTATCGAGTAATTACAATTTACAGGTTCTCCCTTTCCCTTGGACTGGACTCGCGCGGAAAAATAGGGCCCAAAGGAAGAAATCAATGTGAGTGGGGAAGGGGTTAAGCAGGGTATTGCGCCATTGGCAAACTAGTAAATTATTCAGATGCACGCGTGTTTATCTTTAGTGATGTGTGTGATGGAAATCTGACCGTCCGTTAATATATGATATTACTATTGCTTTTTTTTTAAGGATTATCATTCTAAGACACTAGGCAATTAGTCGAATATGGAGTTGAATGCACTCTTGAATACCATATCACACAAAAGGCATAATTTCAATACCAATTTTCACTTGATATTTGAGATGATAAGGCTCAATTTATATAACCATATGGTCATGAGTTCGAATTTGGCGATAAGCATCGTTGGACAACAACAATACCAATTTGTATGATCTCAGGTATCCATTATGCATCATGGCGTTCATGGTAGACTAAGACCCATTTACCCCCTACCGAAATTCGATTCATAGGTGTTGTGTTGAAATCTGAAAGTGAATCGAGCTAGTGCATTAAGTGATAGCTTAAATGGGTAAATAACACATGAAAGTATAGCTTCTAGGGGTGGCACTTGATTTTGTTAACCGAACCAAAAGTATTAAAAATCGAATTATGAAACAGTCAATTGCCCAAACAGAAATCGTTAAGAGCTTAGTGGATTCGATTTCGGTCATAATAAAACGACAAAATTGAAAATGAAACTATTGTTGCATTAAGACTTTTGCCTTTTGGCATGATTGTGATTGCTGTAGATAGTCTTCAAATTTAACTCTTTGTGAAGAGTTTTGTTAATTGTCCTCCTGGCATATCCATTGAAGATCTCCTATCCATAGGCAAGTGAAGATCTCTTGAAATATTCTCCGAATATCCAGTCTCAACTTCAGTGGCCATAGATAGCACTATAAACTCTACCACAATATTAATGTCTAGATTAGCAAAGTATAAGAAACAGATCAAACAAGCTTCCTATGTACAATTTTCCCATCTCTTCAAACCAGACCCCAGTTCTCCAAAGTTTTACATTGGACGCCATATTCAGCCATGAAGTCTCAAGTGGGATCGCATAGAAAAATTATACTTACAAGATAACATGTAGAAAACTAAAGCAAACCATTGCCTCTACTCGAATGAACCAGGAACTATAGCAATCATAGTTGACTCTGGCCTTGCCCGAATACCTCCTAGAATTCCTTCCTCTTCTGCCGCAACTCGTTGAGCTCCATCTCGATTTCCGGATCTCTTGTGCTGGTGAAAATGTTTCGTCCCGGAGGCAGCTCCTTCTGATAAAGAGATTTACAGGGTTACAAATGAACAGGGAGAGATTGAAACACATGGTAGCGTTTACGCAATTTGAATTCGCTGCTCCAACTCTGACTGATGTAAGGAAACACGACAATATTATGTGAAACGTTTTACCTTCATTGTGCTACCGGCTAGCTCCTTCTTCAAGCTATCTAGATCATCATCCACTGACGTGGTCTCAAGTGCCAAGAACTGCACCGTTGATTAAGGAAAAAGTCATGGTAAATAAGAGACACACTATCATAATGCTTTAGCAACAGAGGGCTTAGTACTATAATCAAGTGTCATAACTGATGAGCTACATTTTGCTTGACAGCTATGAGCTTAGATGAACTTTTCATCCTGGCATTGCACATCGACATACGAATGTGAATGGCTGTTGCAGCAATTGCTCCTAATGAAAATTTTGATCAAGTGGCAAGAAAAAAGTGGAGATACCAAAAGTCCAGCCATGTTAGATATCTGTGCCTATACTATCAAGTGTCATTCGTAACAATAAACAAAATGATGCTGAAAACCAGCTGAATTCTACTGCCAGTGTGGATGATAAAGGAAAGGAACGGATGGCTCCTAAACTCCATAATTATGTCATAATGATTGAGGTTTGCTGAGATGCATACAGCGTCATCAGAACTTGCGAACTTAATGGTAAATGGTAAGGAATGGTGTCAATACCTTCCCGTCCAACTCATCGGTAGTCAATTGGCCAAGTGCTTCTGCCTCTGATTCCATTGCCATCACTATCATGATTGAAAACAGCAAAAGTAAATAGGAGTTCAAAGTCCAGTCTTTTGGCGAAATGAGAATCCACAAAAACTTCTAAGAAAGGACTATCAATGTAGTGATATTTACTTCAGAGAAGGCATAACATTCATCTAATAGACATGGAAGCCTAATCCCTAGATACAGGACTATGCTTTCCAGAAGCAAACTAACACAAATCTGCATGAGAATTATAGCACTTGATTGCATGAGTCTATAAATCCAATTGGAATATATTACCTATTCTCTTTACTGCAAAGAATACATGAACTTGTAGATAACATGGGACACAGTGTTTGAGGCCAATTTGTTAATGTTGTTCTTTCAAGGACCTCAACGGATAGCCAAAATCGATTATAGAGTCAAATTGATTGTGATTAATCAAGTCCTACCTAGCAATCTGTCAACAGATAATTCCATGAATGACATGAAAGTTATGCTCAATGATATACCTTTCTCCTCCATCTTTTCGAAAGCGGAAAGAGCACTACTGGTATTAACATTTCCTACCATCTCATTCACTTTGGTTGCCGTCCTAAAAGCAAGAAAGGAAATTCAGAAATACTATCCTTTGACATATATATGTAGTAAAAAATAAAGGGAAACACAAGTGCGGAAATTATGTCAGAGAAAAACCTTGCACTCTGAGCACGTGCTTTTAGAGTATCCTTCTTGGACTTGGCCTCTTGTATCTTGCTCTCTAAGAGCTGCACAAAGTTGGAAGTTCTAAGATAACAATTGATCAATCACTACAAACCATTAACATTTTAAAAACCACAAAAGTGGATGCTATAAGCAGCAAGAAATGTGAGCATAAATGTGTTGACACTTGACAAAAGGAAGCTTGGGAAAATAGAAACTGCATAGAGTTCGGAAACAAAGAATTGTTGTTTTGCTTCTTTATGGATGACATCTCGAAATTACCTTCGACAGAAACCACAAAAACATAAAATACGACAAATTTCCACCACTGTCTGACCTCTTTCCAGTTGAACCAAATGAAAAATATCGGAGCACAAACAATTGGCCTCGAGGGATCATCTGATGAATTTGTAGAAATAACATACCCGAGTGTTAGCTATAAGATTGTCCACCACAGTTTTCTGTTGATCAAGTTGAGCTTTCAGAGAACTAGCATTGTCCTGCAAGAATTGAAATACACGAATTGGTTGAGAATGCAAATATTTTCATCTAAGAAGGGCCGCAACATTAAATTATTAATACCGCATCTGTTGTATCTACTTTTCACGTAATTTTATTTTCAGGAACCATTCTTTCTGAAGACTTGAGCACTGAATACCACAAGTAATCAGCTCAGCTAATGAGTAATGTTGTCCTTAGATTTTTGCTATTCTAGTCTCTTCTGCATCCATAAACACTATTAGGAATGTAGGGTAGAAGATCACTACCAAGAGAAATAATGACTGTTATCCTAACATCTCCAAGATACAAGCTGCCAAACAAACAAAGGGTTGACACAGTAAGACTACTCGCGAAGTTACTCCTGATCCATGGGATTTTTTATCATAACTGAACTTAAGCCCTGCAATGACATGGTGAAAGATGAACAGTTCATAGAAAGAAGTGAACATACACCATAAGATTTTCGCCTCTTGAGAGCTTCGCGTGCAAGATCTTCCTCTCCCTTCTGGAGAGCAAGTTGTGCCTTCCGGTACCTACAATGAGTACGGCAATTCATCTCAATAAGCTATTGTCAATCAAATCTACTCAAACTCCTTTCAGTTTTAACGCAATACTCTAATTGTGTGTTACCAATCTTCAGAAGCTTGCTGTGCAGCTTTGTACTTATTTTCCATTCGTTTTTGACTTGCCAAAACCTGAAATACAAGAAAAGGCAATTATGGAAAGCTGCAAGAGGAACAGAAATAAGTCTGAAAAATGTCATAACTTTTATTGACCAACAAAATAAGACCCCGAATTCAAAAAAGTGAAGGTATAACACACTGCAAGGTCTACTTCATAAATCACAGAATACATGACACAAGGATCATTTGATTTAATGGAGCCTATAATGAGAAGAAAATTAAGAACTCAACGAGGAAATTAAGCACAAAGGACAATTTAAAATACAATCCAGATGAAGGAGTTCAAGGAGAACACCACAACAAAAACAAAAAAGAAGGAAAAATAAAATATTGGGGGAAGAACTGAGAAATAAGGATATGATGATGCAAAACAGCATGACAGCATGGTACAAGATGATGATGCTTACTTGTGCTGTGGCTTGGCGCATCTTTGTCAAGTCATCATTCATTTCAAGCACAGCTTGATCCAAAATTTTCTCTGGGTCTTCAAATGAACTTAAGATTGAATTGGCATATGACTGTAACCAGGGATGGATCATTATAATGTTAAAATTAGATGACAAAGTGCAAAAAGTTCTTCGCATACATAAATGCAAGGAATAGCTCTACAAAATTCACCTTCACGACCCTTGCAAACCGATCAAAAAGATTTGAACGAATGGTAAGCCCGCCTCCAGCTTGCCTCAAACAGTTCGAACGACCAACTGGACTCCGTGTCCTGGTGATCTTTAGAGCTTCAATTATGAGCCAAATCAAATTTTAGCAATTTGAACCCAACTCTCAAGCTTTTAGTGATGCATATAATAACCCACGAACAGGAAACGAAACAAGTTTTCCATCATCCCGAGGTGAAGGGTCCATGCTCATTGCAGAGAAGTCCAAATCAATCACAAAAGTCAACCATCAAACTATTCAGGCTTCTCAGAACAATCCCCAAATCAGCAAAAACATTAGAGAAACAACTAAAGTTCATACTACCACAGGGGGAATTTAGTTGAAATACAATTGAAATCAGACAATCATACTCTCAAATTACACAGGTCGGCAATACATAATCAATTCAACACATGTCCGTGCCCTAATCAACTCATCTCTAGCTCAAACTAAGAGAACTTCAATGGAACATGAAAATCCGCGAAAAAAAAAAGAATAGGAAAATACAAGGCCAGGCAGGAGATGTTAGGGAAGAGGAAGGCTCGTGATGCATTACCACCGCCATTTAAGAAAGACGAGCTCAGAGGCGGGCGCTTCACCATGCAGAGTGTGTTGGTCGAAGAAGTCGATGAAGTTGAAGCGGGAGATGGTAACGGGGCAGCTAATCCAGCAATCGTCTGTGATTTTAGCGCCATTATTTGCAATCGGAGCTTATGGCGCGCCGGAAAAAAGATCTATCGGATTCGGAAATGTTTCTTTAGTTTGTCGTTGGACATGAACGACGAAGAAGAAAAGGGGAAGGAGAAGAGGAGGATCACTCAACTTTATCTCAAACGAAGAAGAACAAGACACGGGGCCGCGTTGAAACGCAGCGTTTTCTAAGTCCTTGAGTGAGGGAGGTTGAAAACAAAAACCGAAAAAAAAAATTTATTACACTTTAGCCAAATCTCATATCGACAAATCACAGGGAAGATTTATGATTGTTAAGTAAGAAACCTACAGTAACTGACAATACAAGTTTTGGAGTGAAATGAAAGAGTTATTTTAATAACTCTGAAGTTAAAGGTGTTCATTGTGAAGCAATACAAAGATGGTTGACCTTCTAGAAATCACCTTGATATACACCTTAAAACAAAAGCTATCGAAAAATAAGCAGAAATCAAACAACATTTATGAAATATCATGTCATCTGTAGTAAGCAGAAACGAGACAACATTTTTGAAGGGCAGAAAAAGCTCAGTAAATGGTTCAAAACTATCATAAGAAAAGGATTGTCTATAGGACTGCAGTAAAAGTGAATCTAATGAAAGTCTTTGACTAAATTCATTGAAGATTCCTTTTGTGTGTTATACTGGTATTAAAGTTTCATAAGCAATTTATATATTGGATTAAAGCTTGCTCGACAACAGCTAGCTTCAGTATCGCAATTCATGGTGCTGATTTTGGTGTTTTCTGAGCTAAGAAAGGGTGAGACATGAAGATCTTTATTTCCCCCTGTTGATCATTGAGGAGTTGATTCCTAGAGTGAGTTTATAAATCTTTCATTTTGGGGCAATATCGTGGTCTTCATCAGACATGTGATAGACATCTCTAGGTGACTGAAGGTGTTATGTCAGTGTCGTATGAAACTCTTGGCGAGTAACATCTTGGTCAGATGGCCTCATCTGCTAACTATGCTGAATATCATGGTAATTTCAGTTGTAGAAGTAAAGAGCATCCAGTTGGTACATTTCAATTTTATGTTGTTAGTAGACTGCTTTTGAATCCCAAAATTACCTGCAGATCGCAAGTGCATTGATCTTTACAATGAAATGATCCATTTTAAGTTGCTATAAGTATGCAGAATGAAGAGGGGATGTCTGAAGGTTGTGCATCGACCATAACCAGTAGTTGCAGAGAAAAGCATTGGAAAATTGTCAACAAAAACCAGTTGCTGATGGTTTATAAAGTGAGAAGCTATTTCGGAAAACTAAACCTAGGAGGAAAGTTGTCTTCAATTCAGTCCTCAAGCTACTTAGACCATAATACACAATGGTTATGGTGTTATTATAAGCAATCTGCATTCTGGTTGGAGTGAAAACAAGTTCAAATGTTTAACACGACCAACAAGGGAATCATTGCACTCTTAACTTTTTATACCACATTACAGGACCATGACACCATGTTTGCACCAGAAATCCTATGAACAATTTGGTTTTGTTAGGAAGTCACATTTCATCGCAAATACAATGCACTATTTTTCGCAATCCCAGAAGATAATTCAGCCTATTTGCCTCCCTCCCGTCAACTGTATAGATATTCTACATATCATATGGTAGGCTGCAAATAGAGCGTGCTCAATCAATAGAGTATTTTGGTCACAGTTCAGTATAGTACAATCGCTAAGCATGATTAAGCAACTCGAAATAAGACGAGTTAATACAGAAAGATGTCCTCGATATGATTAAGGTAAGTTACTTGCATCGACTTATGAGATGTACAAGACACAAAAATGGGGTGTAAACCATTTCTATTGATACAGAAATATATATTCGTTTGCTTAAACAATAAATACTTCTACAGAGTTATAAGCAGGAAATAAAAAAAAATCATTGGCATTCGATACATAACTGAACACCCAAAAAATATCATCCACTTCGAAAGGGAAGGGACACAACGAGGTAGGGAGTGTGAGCAGCAATTCAACCCGTGTACCCAATCCATAACTTAGAATTCAACTACTTAAAAAAACCTGGAGTGCATGAACACCAATCACAGCAGTGGAGCTCCTCCCTTTTCCCTTTAATTGATACATAGTTTCCTTTTAATGCCATCACCCTTCATAGAACGCGAGCCCTATGATGCTAATCAGGTGACCTTCCTCCCATGACCATATCGGTCAATCAGTTGGCGTTCTTCTGTTGTTTCAGCAATCAAAGCACAAACATGATACAGTTAGAAGTCATCCAGGGCACAGAAAGAAATGGGCAGAATTCAATGTCTATCTGGCTAACTTCATTCAGGTTAAGTTTAGGTTAAAAGAGTTCGACTTTCCCATTTTCATTGGTGCGGGAAAAGAAAAGAGGGAACAATGTGACAAGATCAAGTAAGTACCAGCTATTGCAGGAGTTGTTGGTCCAGTTATTGCGGGAGTTGTTGGTTTGCTGCTCTGAACCCAACAGCTATAGCTTCCATCATAGATAACTCGCAATTCTTCGTACCTTGGAATTGGAATAGGCCAACAAGAAATGGTAGGATGGAATAATGCCCAACGGGGTGAAAGTAGTACTCTAAGTTCAGAGTGGAACTCTAGGTCTCCCCTTCTCAAATCACAGGACAAGATAGCTCCCTTCACACCAAGATAATGGAAGAAGACAATCTCCGGCTTCTCTGGATGCAGATAAGGAAGGACAATACTGTGCAGTGAGGCACTCATACTCCTTTCTAGCTCTAGGAAGAAATCATCGAGTTGAACCCTAGGGTTAGATCTTGGACGGGCTGTCTTTAACACACCTTCACATACTAGGCTAAAAGATTTATGGTCATCGTCTAATCTCCAAATACTTGAGGCAATTATTGAATCACCACCTTCAGGTTTGCTGTTGAACACTGATATGTGCAAAGCACCCTGTGACACCGAAATATCCCACCACGGTTTCAGGAGTTGAGGAGCATTGATATAAGAAGGAGGTATCTCTGGGCAGAAAGGATTAAACACAGCAATCATATAATGACGCTGAATAGACACCCAAAATAACTCTCCATTGCAGGAAACTACATTCATTCTGTCGCAGTAAAAATGGGTATCAACAACAAGAGGATCCTTGTTCCATTCTCCTGCCTCGGAACAAAACATGTCTAGTCTTGTCCAACAATTTGACTTTCTCGTATGTTGATATAAACACACAACCCGGAATCGATACTCAGAATAAACAACAGATCCTGCTCGGCCATCTCCTAGATCAAGATTATAAGAATTTCGGGGTTCACAAACTAACCTTGCGACCAATCCCGAACACCTCGTCGGCCGACAAGGCGCCAGAGGAAGGGCGATCCATTGCTTCGTAAACGGATTGCAAAGGAAGTACGACCTGCGGAATTCGTCATCAAGGTCTTCTGGCATCTGAAACCCACATAGAAGCAAGTCCTGGAAGGAATCCAGAACTGAGAAACGCAGCTCATGATCGACAGTAGGCATAGGGACAAAGCCCGGGATGATCGATTGCTGGTCTTCTGAGGAAAGTACCAGAGGTGGTTGCAGTTCGTTGATGCTCTGGCGGTGAGAAACGAAACGGCAATTAAAAGAGGGACTGGAGATCAGGGAGTTCCATCGCTTGCAGACAAGTTTGCTCCGGCAGGCGAATCTAGGGTTCAGAAAGCTGCGAATCAGAATTTCTTGGAGGAGATCCTCCGCAAGTTTGCTGATGGAGTTTACTCCTGTTGAACGGATCCATGGTCGTTTCTTGGAGATGCAAAGCCGCGGATTCGAAGCCGAAGCACAGTTCCCGGTCGCCATGGCAGACCGAAGATAACGCCACGGAGGAGAAAGGAGTATGGAAGGAGCAGCGGTGGTCGAAGTATCTGTTGCGGTAAGTGGTGCCTCCTCGTACTGGTCGGAATTGGATTTGTTTTTATATGGACCTGTATTGCAATTTGCAAGACACCATAATAAGGCCTTGAGTACAACAGAAGCCCAAGAGGAGTTGAGCCCGATAGTTGTGGACCTGTTATGTTATTAGGTGAGTTTGGATAGGAGGATTTGGTAAATGTCAAATTATTTGTTTGCATTATTCAATGGGGATTGCTATTCGTCGCCCTAAAAATTCTTATTCGTCGCCCTAAAATATTAAATTTACTTTAATGTCCTTAGTTTTTTTTTCTTTCAATTTTAAACTCTAAAACAATAATCATGTAATTAAAAAAAAATAAAACAATCACCACATAATTGCCTCCGGTGCAGGTTCGATGGTTGGGAGATAGAACGATGGTGACTTGGTTACTGGAATCACAACTTAGCATTCACAAGCATACTGAAAAGTTAAATTGAAACTTTTAAGTTGAATTTTTGTTTTTTGGAAGTAGTTCTTGAATGAAATCAAATGCGAGTAACAAATCAGTGGAGGCTCGAATCCACCATTGTAGTCCAGAGAAGGAGAGGAAGATCCTCCACGTCCGTGCTGCGAAACAATCGGTTGCCGGGAGGAATTAGATTTTCCGTAAATCCGACCATCCTGAGTCTCCCCGCCGTGGAATCGGCAGCTCTACCGCTACTAAGCCGGGAGCTCGCGGAAAAAAGAAAATCGATCAAATATTATCGTCATTTCCTCGTTTTTAGAGAGAGAGAGAGAGAGAGAGAGAGCAGAGAAGAAGCGAGAGGCAGAACCAAACAAAAAGGAAATGAAGAAAAGAGGAACCAAAGCTAGCCAAAGGTCACATTCACACACACAAACACATAACTATCAGAACGGCACCAGCGACGGATTTGGGGAACCACAGTGACGGCCGACAATCGGCTGGTGGGGGGGGGGGACAATTACTACGAATTAGGGAAATTGGAGTTAGGGATAAAAACGTCAATTCAGTATGGTTTAGGGCGAATTTTTTTAAAATTTAGGGCGACGAATAGAAATTCAGTATTCAATTTGTGGGTTTTGACTCGAAGCTTTGGTATATTTGGATTTGGGAGCACGGATTATGAGGTTAATTGAAAGGTTGGTCATTAAAATTACTAAAAATATTTATGTTTGGTCACTACAAATATTTAATTCCATTCATGGTCATTATGTTTACTAAAACATATCATATTTGGTCACTCTCCGTTAACCTCCATTAACGATGTCAGTTTTTTACTAACGTGGCTAATATAATCGCCCAATCAACCTATTTTACTAAATGCCAAGTAATGATCGAAAATAAGGGGAAGTACGACCCCCTGAATCCTTCCTTCAGTTTTATGTACAAAGCTTTCAAATACACTCCAACATCCTAAAACTGACTCTAGCTAAATTCTTATGTTTTCACTGAATTATGTTATATGGGAATGGTTTGTGCTTACAGATGATGACATCCTCTTCTCAGGAATCATCCTTTAATGGAGCTGGAAACCACACTTTGAATGTGTTAGGTTGGTGTGGCGTGAGAGCGATGCAACTGCATTCATGAACACAATAGAATCCAGGAAGAAAGTTTTACCGCTTTTCAAGAGTATGGAAGGAGGAGGCTGCAGAATCTTTAGGTTCCATGATCTCTTCGTGAGCAAGTGTAAGAACTCGAGGCCGAGAGAGACATTCTGCATGCAAAGAACAACCTCTCTGTCTGGTCTTTACTCCAGTCTCTCGGTCTGGACCATAGCCGTATATATAGTCTGGTCTGGACACCGTTTCCCAGCCTTAGATTTTGTGATACAAAATGGTTAAAATAATGGTGCAATTTTGTCATTTTCCATCCATTTAACAGCTATTTAATAGAAAACTAGACGAAAAGGCATCTTTTTATATTTTAATATTAGAAAGGTATGTCCGTTCAAAAAATTAGTAGAGAGTACGTTTGTTACTTTGCAATAGTAGAGTGGTAAAAAATACTATTAACTCATAATAATATGAGACTTGGATAGGTTGTGTGTTCAAATTCTATTAATAATGATTATATTACATGTTTGCTTATTTTTAAAATAAGTGTTGAGGTTAAAAATAAAATAAAAATAGTAAAAGTGACATGAAAAATCAAGCTTGATGTTGATGCATGAGAATTGAGAAAGTTTATAATTGTGAATTATAATTTGATGAAGTGTATAATTGATTCCCCCTTTTATAATGCATTTTTAGGAGTTTTACATATGAATATCATAACTATTTGACAATGAGCTATTATTAGTCCTTAGCTATGTTCTTGTATTTTTTAAGCCCTTTTGCTATGTTTCTGTGCTTTTTAATGTAAAATAAAATCTAGGATACTTTGGATTCACATTTGGACAATTATGGAGAATTAATGGAACATGTATGAGAAGATCAAAGAGGATTTTCACCTATTAGAATTAGACAAAGCCTAAAAGAGAGGATATTTTCCGAAGTCTTAATTAAAGCACAAGAGAAGCCAATTGCAAGGTACCCAGCCCAATCCTCAGAAGGAATTGTCACGACCTTACTCTCAATCGTGCGACACTAGCTCTAAATTTCGTTAGAGGGCTAGGCAGCCTTTCTCCCAACTCACTTGCAAGCAAAGAAACAAGAACAAAGACAAAGGAATTGGGAGAACTCTCTAGTGTGTATTACTCTAAAAAATGATGGAATGAGTTACAAGTGAGTGAGATGTCTCCTTATATAGGCCTCTTTTCATACAAGGCATCAATGCCCCTCATAATGTCCATCTACATCAATACACCCCATTAAGTCCCCCCATTATGCACTCTATAAATGTCACCATTATGTGACTCATAAGTGCACCATTAAGCTCTCTATTAAGGTGGAGAATCCTAGGAGCATCTCTATGCTACTAGTCTTCCATACACGACACATGTGCAGCCGCCGTGTTGTCATCTTGTTGGCGCCATGTCATCTGCCACATGTGACAGAATCTACGGTGGCCTCCATATGCGTCCAACCACCGTTAGCCCAAAGCTCTCAGTCCTCGCCCAAATTGCTAGGAGACGTTGCTCGACTCACTAAGCAACTTTGATGACTAAGCTGCTTAGTTGGAAATTTACATCAAGCATCGTTAAGTTTTTGTTTTTTTTTTTTGTTTTGTTTTGTTTTGTTTTGTATATGGGCATAAATGATCATTTAGTACACGTTCAAAGTTATATTATTGAATCAAGTTCTGTTACCGTTTATCTTAATCACTCCACTTCATGTTTTTTAAGCTTCCTTTACAATTTAGGGTTGGGATTCGGTTTTCCGGTTAAACCGATAACCGTACTGGTAACTGCGATTACCGGTTAAACCGTTAACCGGATGTAAACGGTTGTCGGATGTGAAATTAGGATGGCGGTAATACCGGAACCCGGCTGCCAGGTAACCGACGGATACCTAGTTGTCCGATACCGAATTTGTAGGGAGACGACGCTGTATAATTCTATTAAATAGTGGCTCTCTCTATTTCTATTAGGAAAAGAAATTATAGTTTATAGACTAATTAATTATGATTTAATCCTGCTCTCTCCCCTCTCGCTATCTGCCTGCTTAACCTAAGCTAACCCAGCCCTCAAGTCACGAGTCTCGCTGCCGGCCGCACAATTGGAACCCCAACCACCAATCCCTCTCCGACGCTGGCGCACTCAGACTGACGATAACGACGTCGCAACTCAACAGGTGAGTGAGGACGAGGTGACACGCACCACGCACACGTTGCAAGCAACACTGGATCAGGCAGCAGGCATTCGGTAAACGGTGTATCGAACAAAATACCGTGAAAAACTAATTCGGTAACCGGTGTATTGTGTAGAACTCGGTATCGGCAAACGGGAGGCGCATATGGGGTTCCGGTATACCGGTAATCGGTCAAACGGTAACCGGTTTAACCGGTTACCGACCGATTACCACCAAAGGCCCTTTGGTTCAATTTGGAGTCTGTTTGAGACAATATTTAATAATCTCATTTAATTGCTAGTTATTATTAACTAAAGTGAAATATTGTTGTCATCTATATTTAATACTATACTCAATTTCCGTCATCAAAACTCTCAGTCTCAATTGAGGAGGGCCTTCAGTTCCTGATACACGACGATGACAGTGTTTGGCTGCGGATTGTACAAACAAAAAATAGTTTACTGAGAGCTTTACGTTGATTTGTCCATGAATGGTAACTTTGCATCCAACTTTCTTGCATTGTAAACCTAGCTGCTTATAAAATTTCTCTAATGTTCATGTTGTTGCAGGTAGGTAGCGAACATGAAGTTGCGGCTTGTTAACTCGATCACGAACAAAGTGAAACTTTCTCGAGGTGCTTGGATCGCGTCTGAAAGACCTAATTGTTTGCGAGATAAGTAGCCCCAAATTATCACACCAGAAAAGAGGAGATGAAGGTGGAGACAGGGGCGGACCTATGTTGTTCCAAGGGTATTCCGCTGACAACCCTTACTTCTATAATTGGGACACAAAATAGTGGAAAATTTTATTGTAGTGATAACAATATTGAACTCAACATCATTTGACAATCCTTGAAACTTGAATTGAATAATTCTTTTATACTACAAATGATTGTTATAATAAACATTTAGAGCCCTAATGTATTTGTTCGCAGTATTCAATTTCCAAATCTATTAAATTTTCCATATTCAATTCATTAATATTTATGTTCCTCTTTGGAGAAAAAAACCTTTTAACAACCCTACTCCGTCTCAATTTTTATCGGATGAAATATCAATTTAAAAACGGTTTCTTGGTTGCATTTATCGGCAAGTCATAACAGAAATATTCATATATTTTTGAAAGTTAAAAAATAAAATGACAACACGTTTGATTTGTAGTTGAAAATTATGACATTGTGCACAACATGGATTAAATTTTTGTTATATTCTTGAACACCCTTAAAAAAAATTCTGGGTCTGCCTCTGGATGGAGACGGCCAGTAGAGCTTGTAACCAAATGATTCTGTTATAACAGGTTCTATGTCCCAACCCTGCCCAATTAGTTTTGTTGTAAGCAACAATGCAACATAGGCATTTAAGTACTTTCCCAACACTGTCAGAACTCAGAACATTATATCATGGAAACAAGGTTGACCTGTAGTTATAAATGGTTGTTACTTGCCGTCAGTCTTGCTGAACACGCAAGTTAAGTCCAACGTTCATATCATAATTTGATAGTGTAGTATATTTGGTTCACTCCAATGCTTGGGTTATCTGCTTCACGTCATATATTTCTTGCTTGGTTCACTCTAAGCATAATGGTTTGTATTGCAGTCAATTGGTCTCAAAATATAAGTCCAGAATGGTCTTAAAGAAGACGGCTATATGATTTGATTCGAACCATTTACCGTCGGATCAACCGACTTGATTTGATTTTATCATTTTAACAATACTAATATTTATATATTTATTTATATTATGAAGGAAAAAAAACATGAATAGTTTCAAATCATGCATCCACAGATAATCTCACATCTTTCAGCATGCAACAGATGGCCATGGCCATTGGCAGGAGCAACAAGAAACGATGAACGGAGCAAAAGTAAGCCCTTGTTCACTTTCTTTTTCGTTTCCCGTTTTCGTTCCATAAATCTGGCAACAGAAATGAGATAAGCAGTGATGAAATGACTCACATACTTACGCATCTATGCACTGTCATGCTGCTGCGTGATAAAAGTTCCTGCCAGGACTGTATCTTTTCTAGGTAAACCAAGAGGAACAGCTATATACACACCAGGTCATGCTCTACTTAGCTTTTCAGACAATACCAAAGCCACAGCCTAACATTGCAGAGTAAAACTTTCCATCAATGAATCTTCAACTTAGGAATACTAATCCAGCTCTTCTAAGTTCTAACCATGCAGTGCATAAGTTTGGTCAAACTCAAAATTAAAACATTTGTAAGTTCTACCTACATAAAACTTACAGATAGAAGAGACCCATCATAAAAGATCAATACATTCATATCACACCGTAATGGTGAAATAACACAGGAACTCTGATCCCATCCACTCATAATCAGTATATTTCTCACCTACAATGTCTTAACATTGGTGACCACCCCCTCACTATTCTACTGACTGTAGAATGATGTTGCTGCAAATAGGTTTTGGTACGGGGAACCATGATGAGAAAAGCACAAGTGGGTTCCAAGATGAATTAGAAGATTGAGTCAGTCTGTTTCCGGCCAAATCCAGGAGAGGAGACATAGAAAGGGATTCACAGGACAATATAACATGCATGCGAAGGAAATTGGCGGTATCTATAGCCAAATTTAAATCGCTCAGCTGTCACAATCAAAGCCCTAAATTGGGCGCCATAAAATATGCCACAAATAAGCCGCATGCTAAACCATTCCATGACAACAATATAAAGAAAGAGCAACTGAGAAAAGCTGATGAAATATCCATTGACAACTTTATCCCTGGTACAGTGCTGAAGAAACAGATTAACATTCCATGAGAACCATACAAATAACCAGCAATTATAACCCTTCATGAAAGATCCACTGCCATAACTCTTGATGAACACTGAAACTGGACAATTACTTCTGATAACAAAATAGACTCATCATCAACACAAACAGGGATTAACATTCCATGACAACCATAAAAATAACCAGCAACTATAACTCTTCATGAAAGATCCACTGTTATAACGCTTGATGAACACTGAAACTGGTCAATTACTTCTGATAACAAAATAGACTCATCATGGACACAAACAGGACTTGGTAAACTTGAATGCTAATGAACAGATTCCCTCACCTGCTCTTTTTATTACGGCACTGGGCACATATGTAATAGCACAACATAATTAAGTATCAGTCAGTAAATACTTGACAACCTACCAAGTGAGAGGATCGATTTTGCAAACAGATAAAGTTGAGGTTAAAAATCAGGTGAAAGTGGACAATCCCCATGATCTATGGCATATGGCACAAAAGACTCAATAATGAGGCTGCATTTCGAAAACCATACTCTCTTATTCAGCATCCTGGAAACCTGGGCTGTGCCTTTTTTCTTCCTTAAAAGGTATACTGTTACGAGATCTTCTATTCCAATTTGACATAAACTAACTATATCAAAGCTAAAACCAGTAGACAGAAAACACAACCCATTACAATAGACCAAATAGTAAAGAGTGGAATTTATGACAATAGATCTGCTCAAGAGAACCCAACAGCTATAACTTCCATCATAGATAACTCATAATTTCTCATACCTTGGAATTGATAGGCCAAACAGATACGTGCAGAGCACCCTGTGGTACCGGAATATCCCACCATGGTTTCAGTAGGAGTTGAGGATCATCGATACAAGCCGGAGGTATATCGGGGCAGAAAGGATTAAACACCGCAATCCTAGGAAGATGAAGCTGAATATACACCCAAAACAACTCTCCATTGCAGGAAACTACATTCTCCTAACTCGGAACAAAACACGTCTAGCCTGGTTGAATAACAAGCCTCCGATATACACACACAACCTGGAATCGATACTCAGAACAAACAGATGCAGCTTGGCCATCTCCTAGATCAAGATTATGAGGAAGCAATAGGAAATGCAGAAAATGCTGAACGATGTCATTTACAAGATAGGAATAGGAAATGCAGAAACATCGTCTACAATATCAGCGAAGAAGTTCAGATCTATCATAGCTCGAAGATTTGACTATATGTACCTTCAATCGTCGTCTTCTTCTTCTTCTTCTTCTTCTTCTTCTTCTCCTGCTGCTGCTGCTACTGACCGTTTCTCTCGACGGAGAGATTGAATCATACCGTTCAGAAACTGCTTGTGCATTGCAAATTGAGTCCCCCTCCGTGCTAGCTTGAGTTCCTCGATCTCAGCTTGAATGACGGCAACTGTCCTGGGAGCGGCTTCGGGATCGGGAACGATTGGAGCGTCAGGATCGGCGGCAGCGAGTATAACGGCGTGAGCTTCCGGGAGATGATCGGCGTCAGCCGCGGGGAGAGGATCTGCGCCGTGAGGAACGGCGAGAGGATCCGCGAGAGGAGGATCGGCGAGGAGAGGATCCGCGAGAGGAGGATCGGCGAGGAGAGGATCCGCGAGAGGAGGATCGGCGAGGAGAGGATCCGCGAGAGGAGGATCGGCGAGGAGAGGATCCGCGAGAGGAGGATCGGCGAGGAGAAGATCCGCGAGAGGAGGATCGGCGAGGAGAGGATCCGCGAGAGGATCGGCGGCGAGAGGATCCGCGAGAGGATCCACGAGAGGATCGGCGGCTGCGGCGACGTGAGGAGCGGCGGCTGCGGCGACGTGAGGAGCGGCGGCTGCGGCGACGTGAGGAGCGGCGGCTGCGGCGACGTGAGGAGCGGCGGCTGCGGCGACTTGAGGAGCGGCGGCTGCGGCGACGTGAGGAGCGGCCAGAGGATCGGCGGCCAGAGGAACGCCGTCATGGGCGAGAGGAGCTGCGGCAGCTGCTGCGGGGGGTTGACCACCAGGATTCATGGCGAGTGATAGATTTGACTGGTTCGGTGACTGGATCAGGCGAACGGAGGAGGACTGATATATATATCATTTGAGATCCCCGCTGATTGCTTTTCCCCTCGGGCGAGGCACAATCGATGATCGTGAGTTTCTTCCCCGATCCCTTGCTGGAGAGCATTTCCTACGTTTTTTTCTTCTTTTTTTCCTTACAAATTTCAGAGTTGTTCATTCCGTATTTCCTTCACACTACTAATAAAATCGAGTAAAGCTTATTGGGCTGGGCCTACTCCGTACCCAAGAAATTGTTAGCTGGGCCGTATTGACGAGAAGTTCTGGTCTTTTTGTCACCTAAAGAGCCCAACCTTGTTTGATAATATAGTGGTACTAGCTTTTACCTGATTTGTTGCTCGGATTAATTTCATTTCATTATTTATAATTTATGTTAATTAAGGTATTCATATTTTTAAATGATTTGGGATCCCTTAAATAGTTGTTACATGATTTAAAATTAATTTGTGATGATTATTGTTTGTCATATTACTGGTAATTAGTTTATAGACATTATTGTTAATCAGGTCAACATAACTTACTGTTGTCTGAATTTTTCCCCCCATATTTTAGAAGTAATTTCCGTACTTCTTATTGTTAGTATAAATGATTTAAGAACTATTTGTTCACAAGATTCGATGTTATTAACATATTCAACTTACGTGACAAGCACAAAAAATTGATGACAAGCTAACAAAAGACTCAATAACAGCAAATGCTGATAACCCATGGAACATGCTAAATTTCTAGTTCATGGAAGCAAGTTTTGAGTTACTATTTGCAACTTCCAAGTTCTTTGACCATCTAACTTTTTCTAAAATGTTCAATTCAAACTCTATCTTGTGTCTTGCTTCATCACCTAAAATAAATCAAAAACAAAAATGAACAAATTGAGTATTATGTATGTGATTTGGGGAATGAGCGGTCAAAACCCCGTAATAGTTGTATATGATCAACTTAAGTCATGATATAAAAAAGATCACTTTGTTAGTTCGAGAGATCTCAAAATGAAGGGATTGAAAAGACTAATGTTTATTAGAGCTTCCGCAATGGCTGTCATATAGCTGTTCCATTGTGATGTGGCACTTGCATCTTCCTATTTCATGGTTGCAGAACCTATTTCATATAGTGGGAACTTCCATTTTATGAAATACCAAATGAAATGGCAAGTGGGCCCGCGCCACGTTTTATATGCTATTTCCCTTATTTCTTTTTTCCATTCTCATTTTGTTGTCTTTTGTTGGTTGTAACAGATTATATTTTTATTATAGTTGTATTAAAAAGTCACTTCGGACCCACCATATGAAATAAAAAATGGATGTCATTGATGTAGAGAAAATGGTAGTGGTATGTGGTGAAATTGTAAAAGTTGGTGATGTGGCAGTAGGGGCCACTTATGATATAGGAATTATATTTCATGAATGTGGATGGTCCTAGGGGCAGTTGCCTAACCATGAATGACCAAAAAAGAAGAAGAGAAAGAAAAAAAAAATGATAATCATGGATGTTACATTTAAGATAAGTGAGAATCAACCTGGAGTAGCAAAGATGACTCCAATTAGAATGGCATCTTACAAATGAACACAAAAATGAAGCACCTGATCATCCATTTCAACACTTTATATCCACAGAACTTATACATATACATATAGATTCAGATAGTACTTGTTCAGGCTTCCTAAAGTATTGATCTAAGCATTTGAATCTACTACAATGGCAGAGATCTTATCAATCTTCCTTCGGTTGCACTTGATTTGAAGCCACTGTCCTTGAAACAACTCATACCATCAAACCAAGTGAATACTATGAATGGAATGATAACTAAAGCGAACAACTAATTCAAAAGAAGTTAAAAAAAGATATGAAGTGGATTTTAGAAGAAATCGATTTACAAAATCAAGTCAAGATCAACCTTGGTTCTTAGATCAAACTGAAAAAGAATCAATAACTAACAACATCAACAAATAAAGGCTCAGCAATCGAAGGCTGAACACCAAATCACAAAAAAAGGGGAAAAGAACGAAATATAAAGTCAAAGCAGAAGGTAAATGATCCCATCTAAAGCTAAGAAGATGGAATACTCGATACTAATAAGAAAAACCAATATCAAGGAAGCTAAAAGCACAACTGCAGAACTTGTGTTATTATTTCTCAGCCTGTATGTCCAGAAGAAAAGCTCAGCTATTCCTGGCTGACTATTTCTTTTGATTCCGAGATTTCCTTAATCAAATGTTCGTGAATTTTTTCGGTGAGTTCCCAAGTTCACTAATTTGGAAGCAATCGTTGGCCAATGCTTGCAGGGATGAGGAAAAGAGCAGGAAAGTAAGTGACGAAGAAAGAAACGAAGTAAACCTAAGAAAACATAAATGAAAAGAAATAAAATGCATTTATGGATTCATGCATGCTTAATTATGACTAACGTATGTATTTTTTTTTTTTTTTAAGGAATGAACAGCTAAGCTGAAGACAATGTAAGCCAAGTTCAAGAGCAAACGAACTCTCAATATATAACATATAGGTAAAATGCAACTCAATAGTATGGAAGTAAAATATTTATTTTTGCATATGAAGATTTATTCTAAACCATGTCAGATGTCCCAATTCTGTCAAAGTTAAAAGGAAGCAATTAGGTGAAGCCAACATATAGATGCTAGAGGAGGGGTACAGATCTTACCTGCCTTTTACATCATATCATAGAAGAGTGTAACGTCTTACCTGGAAGACATCAGTTGATGACAACAATCAGAAGCTGAAGCAAGAAATCATACACACAAACCTCGAAAGCAACGATGTTGTAGCAAGGGAAGCGAATAGGCTTCAGAGTCCTGACATATATGAATTAGTCGCTGCTATCCTTCTTCCTACCATAGTTTGCCAACAGAGGAGAAAGAAAACACCCAAAAGAGGACATCGATCGTTGGAACAGGATGCAAGCCCTAGTGTGTTGCGTTGATTTTGTTGTTGTCCCACACTAATTTGTCAGAAAAATGGCATTCCCCTCGAGAAAAACAAATTTTAAGTCATGTTTCTTCAGTAAACTTTCTCATGGCTGCATCTTTGAGATCTCCCTCAACAGCACCACCCTATACAAAGCCATTCATTAAACAATGGTATCATACAGAGTGTGGACTGAAGAAAATGAATTTCTTGTTCATCAAGTATAACTGCTAGATTGCCTATAACTCTAAATCTCGACTGTAAAAGCTATAAGGTTGGGCTAATTTCAAAATTCACATAATCTATCAGTTCCTCGCCATCTAGAGATGTTCTATCTCCAGTAACATGACCAATCGGGATCTTTAAAAAACTCAAATTTAAGGAAGGAAGCTAGATTCATCAAAGCATATTGGGACATATATGAACTCAGCCGCACATGAATGACGAAAGAGGGGAAATGCCAAAAAGGAAAAGAATGAGCCAATGTTGCAGCTTCCCAAAACTGGATGAGGTATGACTCAGATGATTTACCTTCTCCGGGAAGTGGAAAATGCTATATAGAACTAAGCTAATGAAATAAGACCTATGAAAGAGGGGAACAGATCGACTGAAAAGTACATAAAACAGTTTACCTGTCTGAGATCAGCCTTGCTGATCTTGTGGTGAAAGATTGTTGATGTGAGGACTTGTGCGACTAGCTGCTCGATTGACTTGTTGGGGGGTACATAGACCAATTCTAGGGTCTTAAGCAACGTCCATTGGATTGGAAGTTTCGACGTTGAAGCCATGAAGTGCAAAGGCTGCCTTTCGCATGTCGGGGGAAGCACGTGAAGGCATTTATTTAAGTAAAAAACAGGATGTAAGTTTATCAAACTACTCAACCAAGACAGGAAACTCCCATTTGTGAAACTCCATTCAGTTATGTTCTGAAGACTCAAAAGCACCAAAATGCATCCAAATAGTTAAACCTTATTACCCTGAGAAAAAGATGTCTGGTATGACAGCATTCCTTATTATGAACTGGGTCAAATCTGGCTAGCAATTGTAAACTTCAGATGATAAGGGACGCCTAGGTTTTGTTGCTGGTAAAAAGGATGGTCAATTTGCATAAAGAGATGAAGATGTCCCGCAATGTACCTTCTTAGCAGTGCAAGGAGAGGAATAGCAATTGAAAATGCATGTCAACAATATCAGACTGCTAATCTTAATGGTCGTTTATTGTACCACTCACATAGTGCAGTGAAACAGAAAAGAGCAGAGGATGAATTTAGTTCGGATCTATTAGCAGTGAACAATAGAGTAAGGTGGCATTGGACAAACCTGTTAGAAGAAACTGTGAGCTCCAAAGTTAAAACCAAAAATGGCAGCGGCAGCTCAAGTTCAAATTGAAAAGCAAGTGTATCCATAGCTTTCCAATCCAGTGAGGAGACCTCTGCTACTCAGGTGTCCAGGTCCTCAAAGAGGTAAAGATAATGGTGAAGTCCTAGAGATGAAAAGGACGAGCCAAGGTAGCCGGTTGCTCCATATATGGCTTGCCCTTCGGTCTTAGGATTTGGAGAAGAAGAAGTGACATATCAGGTGAGGCTCCATCTTTTGCTTCATTTTCCTTGTATAGCTACAAAAGCATAAGTTTGAGAGAGAGTTACGACTGAATGTTTCTCTCTAAGCTGATTAGTTTCCCTTCCTGTTAGAGGTCGAGTACAGCAGCCTTAAAAATGTTCAATCCTCGTCACAAAGGAAGTTCAGCCTTCCATTTCCCATTCCCTTCCTCCCCTGATGTTGCTGTCTCGGATCACAGCAAGTAGATAAGCAAAGTTCAGTTTGTTTTCAGATACGGGAAGTAGTTAATATCAATTGGGTGAGAAATCAAAATAAATAGAATGAGAAGCTACAATTAAAAGAGAGTTTGGGTAAGCGGGTATTCTGGGAAGAATAGAAGGTAAGTGTCTAATACGGGAAGGTGACAAACCTGATGGAAGGGCTCATTGTGGATGATACGGGTGAAACCCAGAAATGCCTGTCGGCGGCTGATCCAAAATTAATGAGCAATTACGGGCCGAACTTAGCAAACCAGTGAAGAGAAAAGGGTGGGGAATCTTTGGCACTGAAGTGCAGGTCGGGATAGGGAGGAATTGGATAGCAGCGGCAGTTACACGGCGCTGAGTTGATAATCCTTCATGATCCGAACAAAGCAAGGGATTTTGACTGCTGATTCTTTACCTGAAGACACCAAAATGCTAACTTAACATGAGCAATCAAGTAGTTAGAAGAGGTATGGGATGCAAATGGGTTTTAACTACCGACATGAACATTTATTATGCAACAGTCGATACCCAAGTGAAGTTAGTGTCTAATTGGGAAGTTTGGTTAAAAGAAAAGTACATTTTATTTTGCCTTAACTAATGAGTGAACATATGCTTTACCAATTACTGATCACATGCAAGCACCAAGGTGAAGCGATGATTGAAAATATTCTTGCACTAAAGAAAAACAATTCTGGTTAAAGGCAATTAGAGGATGAAACTGACCATCAGATGACCCTATTACCTTTTTCAACATACGAATATACATTGGCATAATAGTTTTGAATTTTGATATCCGAGAAGAGGAACTGAAAGCATATGCATTTCGGCTTTACTGACAATGAATACCATTGATTAATTCCCTAAAAGAGTTATAAGGATGACTTTTATAGAGGTTATATCGAAGCAGAGGAATATATTGACAGACAAATACAGCAACTACAAATGAAGAAATTGGGTCCTCTGCTACTCTATTCTTACTATAGAACTAACGAAAGCTTATGATAACACAAAATCATAACACATGAAAGATTCAAAGGAAAAAGTGACTATTTAAGGCACACATATGGATGTACAAATTAACACAGAAGTCATTGTCATATGCATATGATACTCTTGATATACAGGTGTTGTCTAAAGCATGAAAAACGATATTCTTCTTTAGTCCAGCCTGATCAATAACAGTCTCTTCCATACATGAACCCTCAAATCCGCTGGACGTGGATGTAGAGCATGTTTTGGCTTTCCTGAATTCATGAATGACAACGTTTGGTGGGAATTATTGCTAGGCAGATGAAATTTGCCAGGATGATTATAGGTGACCAAAACTCTAGTTATTTATCTGCGTCTACAAGAAACTTACCAAACCTGACTTAAGTTCACAACTTATATTGATTGTAGAAGTAATGTGAATTTGTGCCTAAATAGTAAAGACATTACAAAACTGAACAGAACAGGCAATCTGCAACGGGTTACAGAGCACCAACAATGAGAATGTAAACTAAAACGCAGATGCTAATTGAGTTTTACCATTCAGCTATCTGCCTGCTGGAATTTTTCTACCTAAACTAATGAGGATCACTACATGAAGCTTGAGTCAAATTTAATCAACGAACATCGAAAGACGAAACAGAAAGAGGTATAGCAAACGATGAAGATTTGGTCTATAGTATCTCATGGATCTAAAGAACATACAAACCATTAAAAACAAAGAGTGATGTTTTTGATTGTACAAAAAAGAAGAGTGTTTTTATAAACAAAATTGCATTAATTTCTAACGTCCACACTGAGTTTTGGAAATTATAGAGTTCTATCTATTAATTTATATATCCAACTTGGGCTCGAAAGTTAAAACACAAAAATGGCAGCCAGAACTCAAGTTTTAATCGCACAGCAATGCAGTCCAGAGCCTTGCAATCTAGTGGGCAGAACTCGACCTCTCAGGGATCCAGTCCCTTGAGGAACTCCTAATAATGATGAAGAGACATATCAGGTTCCATATTTGGCTGCATTTTTCAGTTAGAAATCGAGTACATCAGGCTTAAGAAGCTCAATCCTAGTGACAAAGTAAGCTCAGCCTTCTATTTCCCCATTACATCCCTTCCCTGATGTTGATATCTCGGATTATAGCTGGTAGATAAGCAAAGTTAATTTTGTTACTCTTTTTTCAAGTGCTTTAATATTTTCTCAGAAAGTGTGTTAGCCTATTTGTCAGTTGAACTTATTGGAATTGAGCTGCAACCCTTAAAGTGTGTTTCGGGCCTTGCATATAGAGCTTGAAGATATTGTTGGCACTGCATGTCTCAAGAAAGCAAGTGGTCAAGCAAGAGGATTCACATAAATACAGCAATGAATCATTGAGCAAGCTTGCAAAGGGAAGAAAAGATGAATTGGGTTCTATTTAATGGATCAATTACAGTTCGTTCAGGTTCACTGGAATTGAATTCACACAAGTACAAGATATAATAGAGACCATATGTACCTTGGGTTAGTGCGCAGATTGTCCAATCAAGTACAGTGGATGGTGCCTGTGTATTTGCCTGAAGAAAACCCGACCAGAGTGCAGTCAATTTACATTCCGACGGACGTCCTAACTCGTCGGTTGTCCCGCAATTGGAAGCAAAAGATTTGCATACCAGGACGATGCTTATGCGGAGTTGATGAACTGAATCAGCACCGTGAACATAGCGGCGGGTCGGGAACGAATAATCGAATTGACGGGAGGGGACTATTCTGAAAGCGAAGGAAGGATTGCGTAGGAATCGAACACGGGCACTCACAGAGGAATTTAATGGGTCGTAGAAATCTTCAATTAGAAGGGATTCGAGGGAGGTGGGCGTTTGACAGAGCATCCAATTTGGGATGGAAGGTCACACCTCTGGTATGGCTTCTCTCTCTAACCCTCTCTTTGGCTTTGACCAATGCAGGAGTGGCTGTTCCTATCCGGCAGGGGAGAAGCGTTGCACTGCAGCATAGCTCCATCGACGGTAAGCAGTCGGCAGTCCGTGAAATGAAACCGAGGTTGGCACAAGCAATCTGTCGTGAAATGAATTAATACGATAATATGCAAGCTTAGTCGACTCTCCCCCCTGCCTACAAATGCAATCAGATCTGATCAGAAGATTGGTTACTGCCACTCGTGGGGCGATGGGAAGGAAAAACCGAAAAAGTGTTTGGTTGCGGGCGGAGAATAGTTGAAGTCGCCGTTGCTGCGGGAAGGGGAATAGGTGTCAGGGAGATAGGAAATAGGAGTGCAGTTGGTGCGGGAAGGAGAGAGAGAGATAGAGAAAGATGGTTGCGGTTCAATTCGAGAAAGAGACAAAACAATGGTTCTTTACTTTTCCTATCGTCAAATACTCTACTCCGGGCAACGTTTGAACGTATAGCCACATATCTATTTGAATCAACGCTGTCAAAGCCGAGCCGGAGTATGATCCGGTAACGTGAACGGCTCGGTCATTAGTGGTCCAGCCGGTATTAGACCGTTTAAAAATCGTTTGAGAACCGGTACCTAATAAACAGTGATAGCACTTAAGGGATCCACAGTTTGCTAGCACTCAGCAACTGATTGAAGGAAACCCACAAATTACTGTACACTAATCAAACAATACAGTCACGCCACGCACCATACTAATCAGCCATTAATTCAAGCCCAAAAGTTTGAATCTTTTACCTCGCCAGGGGCCAGTAGACTGGAGAGACGAGAAGAGCGGGAAGCCGGATGGGGAAACGGCGGGCACGCGGCTACCGATGGATTTGCTGTGACGATCCGGAAATGCAATCAGCACCAAGAACACCGATGGACGACCGAAGCGCTGGGGAAGATGGCGATGGCGACGGGTCACAGGCGACGGGGAAGACGACGATGGAGACGGGGAACGACGACGAGGAGAAACGGCGCTGGGGAAGATGGCGATGGCGACGGCGACAGGTCACAGGCGACGGGTAAGACAACGATGGAGACGGGGAACGGCGACGAGGAGGAAGGATTTGGAGTCGGAAGCGACGCTTCCTTGTCTCCACGAAGAAGAATGAAAATTAGGGTTCTGCAGAACAGCCCGACCCCGACCCACCTTCCCCTTTTATTTTCGGTCTTTTTTTTTTAATTAAACCAACCGGCCGAATGTAAAAAACCGGACGACCGGCTCGAGCGGTTAACCGCTTCGGCCGCTCGCCGGCCGCCCCAGAGAACCAGTCCGGCTAAATAGCTTATCCGAGCCGGTTTTGTGCCCGGTTGGCGGTTTTGGCAGCTCGACTTTCACAGCACTGATTTTGAATTGAATTAGGTGCAAGAAGACAAATTGTACAAGTTACACCACATCAACCCAAAAATTAACCCAAACAGGAAGAGAGAGCATACACATATGTTCAACAACACAAGTATACAGATAAGGGGGTCAACTCAAAACAAACTCACACAAACCTGTTAAATGGCCTTCTGCCAACAGCAGCAGGCATGGAAACTGTGGAATTCACACTCAAATTCCCAATGGAGTGAATTGGCTGGTGCTTGTCAATCAACCTTGGTGATCCTGACCCCTTGTTGTTGTTGGAAGAGAACAAACTGCCTGCATTCCACTTGAATGATTGCCCACCTCCGAAGGGGAAAGAGACCCTCCTCTTCTCGCTGCTCGGCGTCCCAGGGAGAGGGAACCTCTCCCTAGGGTTACTGTTAGCACGGGTCTTTGCCTTGGCGGAGACCATTGGAGTCATGTAGTTAGGGCTCGAGAATGGCGGGCAGCTCGTCAGGCTGTCGTCGTCCTTCGATGGGAAGTTGAATGGCGATGGGGAGGAGTGATCGCCCCCTCCTCCTCCTCCTCGTGCTCTCGAGTACTTCGACAGGCCTGCTGAGCTGTTTGCTGCATTGTTGTTTGGGGTCATCTTGTGGACCGACGTTTGAACCTGTCTGGCAATGGACCTTGTAGACCGTAGTGTGGGGGTGTCCATGCCATCATAGGCGAAATGTTGTTGATGTACAGGGATAGGCTTCACTTGGGATGAAGGTCTTGTTGGACTGAGTTGGAAACTCTTTGTTGGCTGGCTTTCTTGTTTGTTGTTTGATGATGAGGCGGGGAGCTGGCACTCGAGCCAGTTCCACCACCATGGGAACTGGCTCAGGATCACCAAGGGTGATTGACAACCAATACCATTAGAAAAAGGAAAACAGGAAAATCAGTATTACCATAACATGACAACCAATATACGTACAAGAAATTAATACCAATAAACGACAACCAATACCAGTATGAACAATCTATAACTAGTACATGAAAATCAATACTCAACAACCAATACCATTACAAAAAACATAAAGTAACCTGCATCGACATATGAGATGTACAAGACATAAACATAGTGTGCAAACCATTGCTATTCATACTTAAATTAAAGATTGAGCGTAAACAATACATACTTTTACAGAGGTAAAAGCAGGAAACGACAGATCATTACTATTAAATAACTAGAGATCTCATCTGAAAAGCGTCTGCTTCAGAAGGGAAGGGACACATGGAGGCTGGGAGTGGGAGCTGCACTTTCAATCCGAGAATCCACCCAGATTATTGTTTCAACCAATCCGATAACTTAGGAATTCAACTACTTTAAATAGGCTGGTGTGCATGAACACCTATCACACCAGTGGAGAGCTTCACCCTTTGCCCTTTAATTGATACATAAATTCCTTGTAGCAGACGAGCCTTGTGAATTGTGATGCATCAGTGAATTGGTTGACGTTCTTCTGTAGGTTCAACAGTCAAAACACAAAACAAGATACTATTAGAAACCAGCCAGGACACAGAAAGAAATGGGCAGAATCCAACGGGCTGTCTAGCTAACTTCATTCAGGTGAAGTTCACAGAACAAAATTATTACGAAGACAAGATATGTATCATTTTCATTGGTGGGGGAAAAGAAAAGAGGGAACAATGTGACAAGATCAAGTAAGTACCAGCTATTGCAGGAGTTGTTGGTCCAGTTATTGTGGGAGTTGTTGGTTTGCTGCTCTGAACCCAACAGCTATAGCTTCCATCATAGATAACCCGCAATTCTTCGTACCGTGGAATTGGAATAGGCCAACAAAAAATGGTAGGATGGAATAATGCCCAACGGGGTGAAAGTAGTACTCTAAGTTCAGAGTGGAACTCTAGGTCTCCCCTTCTCAAATCACAGGACAAGATAGCTCCCTTCACATCAAGATAATGGAAGAAGACAATTTCCGGCTTCTCTGGATGCAGATAAGGAAGGACAATGTTCCTCAGTGAGGCACTCATACTCCTTTCTAACTCTAGGAAGAAATCATCGAGTTGAACACTAGGGTTAGATCTTGGACGGGCTGTCTTTAACACACCTTCACATACTAGGCTAAAAGATTTATGGTCATCGTCCAATCTCCAAACACTTGAGGCAATTCTTGAATCACCATCTTCGGGTTCGCTGTTGAACGCAGATACGTGCAAAGCACCCTGTGATACCGAAATATCCCACCACGGTTTCAGGAGTTGAGGAGCATCTATACAAGACGGAGGTATATCTGGGCAGAAAGGATTAAACACGGCAATCATAAAATGACGCCCAATATCACCTCGTATAGCAATATCCACCCAAAATAACTCTCCATTACAGGAAACTACATTCTTTCTGTCGCAGAAAAAATGGGTATTGACAACAACAGGATCCTTGTTCCATTCTCCTGACTCGGAACAAAACACGTCTAGTTTTGTACAAGAGTTAGACTTGTTCATATGTCGATATAAACACACAACCCGGAATCGATACTCAGAATAAACAACAGATCCTGCTCGGCCATCTCCTAGATCAAGATTATATAAACTTCGGGGTTCACAAACTAACCTTGCGACCAATCCCGAACACCTCGTTGGCCGGCAAGGCGCCAGAGGAAGGGCGATCCATTGCTTCGTAAACGGATTGCAGACGAAGTACGACCTGCCGAATTCGTCATCAAGGTCTTCTGGCATCTGAAATCCACATAGAAGCAAGTCCTGGAAGGAATCCAGAACTGCGAAACGCAGTTCATGATCTACACTAGGCATAGGGACAAACCCACGGATGATCGATTGCTGGTCTTCTGAGGCAAGTACTAGAGGTGGTTGCAGTTCGGTGATGCTCTGCTGGCGACAGACAAAACGGCGATTGAAGGAGGGACTGGAGATCAGGGAGTTCCATCGCTTGCAGACCAGTTTGCTCCGGCAGGCGAATCTAGGGTTCAGAAAGCTGCGAATCAGAATTTCTTCGAGGAGATCCTCCCCGAGTTTGCTGATGGAGTTTACTACTGTTGAACGGATTCCCGGTCGTTTCTTGGAAACGCAGAGCCGTGGATCGGAAGCCGAATCACAGTTCCCCGTCGCCATGGCAGACCGAAGATGATGACGCCGCCGGAGGAGAAAGGGGCGGAGGGAAGGAAAAGCCGGGGGCGAAGAAATCTCCAATTCTTAAGGGCCTTGACATTTGTTGCGGTATCCTCGTACTGGTCGGACTTGGATTTGATTTTACAAGGCTTTATGCGTACAGTAAAGCCCAAGAGAAGATGAGCCGGATATTGGTCACCTGTGATCCATGATCCGTGATCCGATACCATCATGCATACTCTTTATACTATAAGCAAGTTGGGACGGACGGGACGGGACGGGTATCTTAATGTTCAATTATTCATGGCCAATACTACGGTGCCGCCAATAAAAATGCGGCACCGGTGACGCTACCCTTCATTGGTCCACGTAGATATGAGGTGGCGTTGATTTTGTTTAATTAATCCCAACCAAACCCCAGGTGGCCCGTTAGAACTTAGAAGTAGCCCAACCGGGCGAATGGATTCTCCGTAACTCCGTTCAACGTTTTGTTTTCGTTTTTATGTTAATTAATTAAATTAAAATTCATGTAACTGTTTTTTTTGACAAAATCAGAAAACAGAAAACATGGATCTACACCAAACGAAACAACAGCACAATTCATCGATCTCCCTCGCTGGCGGCCTCTACAAAATCTTTCCCGACGACTTGTCCGTCGTCGATCCCATCTCCCCGGTCTCCCTATCGCCTGGACTGAAATCCCTCACTGCTCCCTCCGACATTGATTATGATGTTGTTCTCCCCTTCCCTATTTCAGTTTATGCTTTTCTTTCTCTTGTCTGGAGATGGTTGTATTGGCAGTGGCCTGCTGCATATTGCAAGGTGGGAGGGTATTTTCTTATCTGGAAGATTTCCGTTATTTGGTTGTCTGTTTTTGCTATCTGCTCTGGCATTGATTCCAGTTTACCTTTACATTGGTAGGTGGAGGGTAAGCTTGCTGACTTGAACTTCCTCCTACAAACATGTTTCTTTCCAGGCACCAACGAACTTCGAATTATGCTTCGTCAACAGGAAGGGTACAGAGCGGCGAGACGCAACAGAGGGAGGGAGATGCACTCTTCATTTGCCTTTGGATCGTCGGTATCGGCAGAGTGCTTCGATGGAGCCAGAGGGCCGCTTGGGAACAGGGTTTTGTTTTACACAAATCAATCAATGGATTCGGAATACAGTGAAGGTAATGGAGTTTGGACCGCCCGACGGATTGTGGAGTTCGCTGTTCGATCGTTTCAGAATCGGACGAGCGAGAGTTTCCTTCTTTCTTTTACTACAGAAAAATAAATTATATCAATTTTTAAATAAATGAAAAAATAAAACAATTAATCGGATGGGGAGGACTACCGTTAGTTTGACGGGAGTTGGTTTGGTCACTTCTTCCTCCGTTGCTCGGTTAATAATTGTTGGGCTTGGGTCAATCAAAGCCAGCCATGCCACATCAGCGCCACGTGGCCCAATTAGAAATGGCGTCACCGATACCGCACTTTTTAGTGCGGCACCGTAGTATTGGCCTTCATATATGTCACGTAGTAAACACAAATCAGAGTGAATAATATCTTTGTAGGTAGTGAAAAGGCCGATTCAATCTTATATATTATTTGAAAAAAGATTGTCCATACTTAATGTTCAATTATTTATATATGTCACGTAGTAAACACAAATCAGAGTGAATAATATCTTTGTAGGTAGTAGAAAGGCCGATTCAATCTTATATGTTATTTGAAAAAAGATTGTCCGTATTTAATTTTTTTCTAAGAGCATATATAAAGACACACTTCATAAATAAATGAATCAGCGCGTCAGCCATTATATGATAAAGTGTACAAACATATTCTATGGTAAAGTCGATGTCTATCCTTAAATAATCAATTTCTATACCGAACAAACTGCTTTGGTGAACCAATTGTTTCCTCTTCTTTTTGTCTAGGGTTCAAACTCTAGTCACCTCCATTCTTCATATATAAATGAAGTCAACGCATCGACCATTATATGCTAAAGTGCACAAACATATTCACACGTGGTCGCCTCAACTATTCTATGGTAAAGTCAGTGCATGTCCTTAAGTAATCAATTTCTATACCGAACGAACCACTTTGGTGAACCAATTGTGTTCCTCTTCTTTTTGTCTAGGGTTCAAACACTAGCCACTTCCATTCTTGTGCTTCATCGCCCGCCGCCATATGTAGTTCTTCTGGATGCCTAACTAAAATCAATACCAACTAGTGTGGCCCCCGGCCAGTTGGCTGGAGGAAGGTGAGGTATGAAATTTGATAATGTAATGGGGTGTATAGCTTATTGTTGTATAGTTTTTTTTGGGAAACACGTGATAAAAATAGTGAATTTTAGTAGGAAAGAGACATGAATGATGCAACGAATAAAAAATCGGTCTTATGAACCAAAATCAAGTACATGTTACCTTGTGAAATAATATTGTTTCTGATAATATGATGAGGGGGAGTAAGTTTTATAGAAACCGAATTCCAGAAAATCGATTAAAAAATCGTCTATCCCGTCGGTTTTCGGGAAATGAGCATCTCACAATCGTTGCAAGCTTTTACTCGGCCCGTTGGCCGAATAATTTGCTTCATAAAACTTTCATATTGTCGTCATTGTGCTTTCTGGTTTTTGTCAGGCCATGATAAAATCTAAGGAAATCAAGAACGAACAACACGATTTGGGATAGGAACCGCTGTTGTCGTATCCCTAGAAAAATGGTGGTAAACACGGACTCACCTGCCAAACTGGTTTGGATTGAGATTTTTATCGGATATCAGGGAACCATGTGATTATAAATTAGAATTGATCAAAACGGGCCAAAACTTGAAACTCAGCCTGTTTGACCGACCCATGCCAAACTCTAATTATTCTTTACTTTTAAACTTTCTATTTTAAAATAAAAAATAGTGAAAGAAAAGAGATGACTGCAATTCGCCATTTTCACATCACTTATTCGGGAATAAAACCATAGAAATTCAAAAGGAACTGAAAATATTTAGGATCATTTTAATGTTTAAAATAACCAAATTGATCTTTCTGTTTAGTTTTTTACTAACAAATATCAAACGATTCCCTATAAAATACACTATAATTTGATCATTATGATATCAAATAATTATATAATATATATTTGAAATGATAAAAATTGGAATAATTGGGTTGGTCGAGGTTGAACCATTGAATAACTTTAAAATACATTATATTTTAGCCACTAAGATATAAAATAATCGCATAATATATATTATGCCAGAGAAAATAGTTTGTTTTAGAATGTCAAACCAATGATGTTCATTTGTTTTACTTGATGGCCAAATCCCGTGTAGGTCAGGCCCATTCAACTCTTTTATTTTATGGTTAGCGGTTAGCCTGTTAGATACCATGCATTAGTTTATTGTTAAATTTTTTATGTTTAGCAATAAAAAGAAGTATTATTTTTTCCTTTTCATATATATTTTATCACCACGGAGAAATAAAAGGGCTTAAAAAAAAATTGACACTCCTGGACCCCTTCAAATCCGCATGTGTACGGCCAACATGGCACCAAAGGGACAATGTACAGGATGGATGGAGCGAAATGTTGTGATACTTGGTCGCCCTCATATGTAGGATATAAAAGAATACACCTAGAGATACTTAGAATTAACTGTGTAAGTTGGCCCGTTCCGCAAATGAAAGAAAAAAAATTGACACTCCCTATTTTACCCTTCCTACAAACGCTCATGGAGCAGGGAATTTGAAATGTGAACGCTCCTGTTGTAGGGAATTTGAAATGGGGGAAGGGTTTTTTCCTCCATGCTATTATATGTTTTTAATTTAAAAAGATATAACAAATGTACTTAGTGTGATTGGTTGTGATCCTTGTTTTTCTTTAAAATGGTCATGGTTTGAATCCCAGTACGTGTCTTTTTAATGAATAAAAAAAAGTAACTGTGAAGACCAAAATGTCCTTCCTACTTTCACTCTCGTTGCAGGAAATTTGAAATGGGGCTCCCGTTTTTCCCTTCGGTGTATTATATTATGTGTAGATACAAGAAAAGCAATACTATACCAGTACACGACAACCAATATTAGTACACAAAATTTATACCAACAAACGACAACCAATACCACTACGAACCATCTATACTAGTATATAGTATATGAAAATCAATACTCAACAACCAATACCATTAGAAAAAGAAAAACAGGAAAATCAGTATTACCATAACATGACAACCAATATAAGTACAAGAAATTAATACCAATAAACGACAACCAATACCAGTATGAACAATCTATACTAGTACATGAAAATCAATACTCAACAACCAATACCATGGCGTGCAAACCATTGCTATTCATACTGAAATTAAAGATTGAGCGTAAACAATAAATACTTCTACAGAGGTAAAAGCAGGAAACAACAGATCATTACTATCAAATAACTAGAGATCTCATCTGAAAAGCGTCTGCTTCGGAAGGGAAGGGACACATGGAGGCTGGGAGTGGGAGCTGCACTTTCAATCCGAGAATCCACCCAGATTATTGTTTCAACCAATCTATCAATACAACCACGAACCAAATTCATCTGTTGCACCTATATGCATGATAACTTAGGAATTCAACTACTTTAAATAGGCTGGTGTGCATGAACACCTATCACACCAGTGGAGAGCTTCACCCTTTGCCCTTTAATTGATACATAAATTCCTTGTAGCACCATCACCCGGCTTAGGACACGAGCCTTGTGATGAATACGTGAATTGGTTGACGTTCTTCTGTTGGTTCGACAATCAAAACACAAAACAAGATACTATTAGACAACGGCCAGGACACAAAGAAAAGGGCAGAATCCAACGGCTAATCTAGCTAACTTCATTTAGGTGAAGTTCACAGAACAAAATTATTACGAAGTCAAGATATGTATCGTTTTCATTGGTGCAGGAAAAGAAAAGAGGGAACATTGTGACAAGATCAAGTAAGTACCAGCTATTGCAGGAGTTGTTGGTCCAGTTATTGCGGGAGTTGTTGGTTTGCTGCTCTGAACCCAACAGCTATAGCTTCCATCATAGATAACTCGCAATTCTTCGTACCTTGGAATTGGAATAGGCCAACAAGAAATGGTAGGATGGAATAATGTCCAACGGGGTGAAAGTAGTACTCTAAGTTCAGAGTGGAACTCTAGGTCTCCCCTTCTCAAATCACAGGACAAGATAGCTCCCTTCACATCAAGATAATGGAAGAAGACAATTTCCGGCTTCTCTGGATGCAAATAAGGAAGGACAATGTTCCTCAGTGAGGCACTCATACTCCTTTCTAACTCTAGGAAGAAATCATCGAGTTGAACACTAGGGTTAGATCTTGGACGGGCTGTCTTTAACACACCTTCACATACTAGGCTAAAAGATTTATGGTCATCGTCCAATCTCCAAACACTTGAGGCAATTCTTGAATCACCATCTTCGGGTTCGCTGTTGAACGCAGATACGTGCAAAGCACCCTGTGATACCGAAATATCCCACCACGGTTTCAGGAGTTGAGGAGCATCTATACAAGACGGAGGTATATCTGGGCAGAAAGGATTAAACACGGCAATCATAAAATGACGCCCAATATCACCTCGTATAGCAATATCCACCCAAAATAACTCTCCATTACAGGAAACTACATTCTTTCTGTCGCAGAAAAAATGGGTATTGACAACAACAGGATCCTTGTTCCATTCTCCTGACTCGGAACAAAACACGTCTAGTTTTGTACAAGAGTTAGACTTGTTCATATGTCGATATAAACACACAACCCGGAATCGATACTCAGAATAAACAACAGATCCTGCTCGGCCATCTCCTAGATCAAGATTATATAAATTTCGGGGTTCACAAACTAACCTTGCGACCAATCCCGAACACCTCGTCGGCCGGCAAGGCGCCAGAGGAAGGGCGATCCATTGCTTCGTAAACGGATTGCAGACGAAGTACGACCTGCGGAATTCGTCATCAAGGTCTTCTGGCATCTGAAACCCACATAGAAGCAAGTCCTGGAAGGAATCCAGAACTGCGAAACGCAGCTCATGATCTACACTAGGCATAGGGACAAACCCCTGGATGATCGATTGCTGGTCTTCTGAGGAAAGTACCAGAGGTGGGTGCAGTTCGTTGATGCTCTCGTGGTGAGAAACGAAACTGCGATTGAATCGAGGACTCGAGATCAGGGAACTCCACCGCTTGCAGACGGTACTGATTCGGCAGGCGAATTTAGGGCTGGGGAGGCGAATCAGAATTTCTATTAGGAGATCGTCCCCGAGTGTGCTTATTTCTGAAAGGATCTGTAGTTTCATGGAGACGCCTACCGGCACATCCGAAGCCGAGGAGTTGTTCTCGGTCGCCATGGCGGTCAGAAAGATAACACCGCCGGAGAGTAGTAATATACTAGCTTGGGACGCCGGAGATGCAGGGAGTGAAGAGGCCGAAATCCCTAATCTCCTCCTCTTTTGGTGGGAAAGTCCCTAAATCCCTCGAATTTTCAGCGAGCACGGCAAGTAATTATTTGGGTCTGAGGCTCTGAGCCGATTAAACAATGTAAATACGGAAGTAAGTTTGGGCTGGGCTTTGTTTACTGGGCCGTGTTGATAAGCACTGAGGAAGGAGTGCTGGTCTTTCTTATCACCTAGCCCAATGTACGGGCACATTTTATGCACATTTGAATGTTGAGGGGTTATAAATAACTCATCATGAATTTAACGTGATTTCACTATTACCTTATACTGTTTCCATTATATTTGTGGTTCTTTTCCAATCTCCAAATATTTCAGGCAATGTCTGAACTCTGAACAGCTAGTCGCATATCTATTTGAATTGAGTTACGTGCAAAACAACTTATGAGACCGGAATATCCCATTTCCGCACACCTATATTTGTGGTTCTTTTCCAATCTCCAAATACTCCATGAAATGTATGAACAAATGTAATTGAACTACATGGAAGACAACTTGTGAGACCAAAATATCCCACGCCCACACAAAAGAGGATTCATGCCTTGCCATGCAATACAAGCAACCAGATACTATGTTCTGTTTCCCTAATTATCTTACACCAGGATACTTAATTACTTATCTCAATCACATCCATTGAATCAAGTTACACCACATCAACCAAAAAGGAAAAAACAACCCAAACAGGAAGAGAGAGCATACACATATGTTCAACAACACAAGTATACAAGTGAGGGGGTCAACTCAAAACAAACTCACACAAACCTGTTAAATGGCCTTCTGCCAACAGCAGCAGGCATGGAAACAGTGGAATCCACACTCAAATTCCCAATGGAGTGAATTGGCTGGTGCTTGTCAATCACCCTTGGTGATCCTGAGCCCTTGTTGTTGTTGGAAGAGAACAAACTGCCTGCATTCCACTTGAATGATTGCCCACCTCCAAAGGGGAAAGAGACCCTCCTCTTCTCGCTGCTCGGCGTCCCAGGGAGAGGGAAACTCTCCCTAGGGTTACTGTTGGCACGGGTCTTTGCCTTGGCGGAGACCGTTGGAGTCATGTAGTTTGGCCTCGAGAATGGCGGGCAGCTCGTCAGGCTGTCGTCGTCCTTCGATGGGAAGTTGAATGGCGATGGGGAGGAGTGATCGCCCCCTCCTCCTCCTCGTGCTCTCGAGTACTTCGACAGGCCTGCTGAGCTGTTTGCTGCATTGTTGTTCGGGGTCATCTTGTGGACCGGCGTTCGAACCTGTCTGCCAGTGGACCTTGTAGACCGTGATGTGGGGGTGTCCATGCCGTCATAGGCGAAATGTTGTTGATGTACAGGGCTAGGCTTCACTTGGGATGAAGGTCTTGTTGGAGTGAGTTGGAAATTCTTTGTCGGCTGGCTTTCTAGTTTGTTGTTGTTTGATGATGAGGCTGGGAGCTGACGCTCGAGCCAGTTCCACCACCATGGGAATCCATTCGACCGAATGTCTGTTAGAGATAGTTGTGTAGCCCTCGGAGTGCCCTTCCATAGCTGAAATGTGAAGGAGAGGGGAAATTGTATGCATATATATGAATATGGTTTTTTCATTGTGTATAGTAAGGTTTTTCTGTGCATTTTGGTTGATAATGTACCTGGTGAGAATATGCATATGCCATTGATCTTTCTCTCTTGATGACCGCGTCCATTTTACTCCGTAATCCTGCCTCAACTTGATCTTTTGTCAGCACACTGTCGTCCCAGTCATCCACATTCCCTGCTTCCGACTGCAGAATGCACCCAAAAAGAGTAGTCTCAACGACATGATAAGAACTCAAAGGAATCACGACAAACTTGACAAATAAGTTACGGATATTTGTGTGTAACGGTGCAAGCCATGAGTCTCTAATTGTAAGCAAACAGACAAAAAACAACAAGAGCAACAGTGGACTTACAGTTTGGCTCCGTTTCCCCAAATGAGACTCAACTTCGTTATCGTTCTTCTTATGCTGACGTGCCTGGTTTTCTAACATCTGAATCCTCCGTGACTGAATCTGAGACTGGACGCGAACCAAGAGCTGCATGCATTTCATCGCGTTCATCGTCTGGCGCTTCACATTCTGTCCTCTGATCACTCCCTGGAGCCTCACTAGACCCTTCAATGCTCTAAAGCTTCTCCTTGCCTGCATAGGATTTGAGTGATGAATTTCATGCTAATTGTCAACTTCAATAGATTTTTTTATAAGAAAAGCGGATATACCGTCATCAGATTATGTTTCTATATTATGCTTGCCATCCAGTGCTACCTGCATACTTCTAATGGGAATCCAATCAAAATTCACACTACAGGGCTGTTTGTGAAAAATCATAAGATAGTAATATATAAGTTTGTTAAAATAACTTAGTATACAAGGACTAGAACTGTCCGGAATCAGGCATTCACTCCCAAATGGAGAACAGCCACTGCTAGCCTATTGCTACTGGTATACATGGTCATGCCATCTAATAATCAATAAGGAAAAAGTGAGAAAATTTGGGAAAGAAACTTACCATATAGCCTCTGTAAGCTGCTTGGATCTTGGTAGCACAAGCATTCTGGTTTCTCAATGTTGGCTCAATCCTCCTATATACTTGCCTCTCACGCTCCACATTCTTCGGAGAAGTTGCTCTAGCAGAAATTGAAGGAGCCGCAGCCTTTGGAGATGGAGGCCTAGGGGAAGCAGCAGGCCTTGGAGATGGGGCTCTTGGCGAAGTAGCAGCCCTTGGAGAGCTACTAACTCGTAGGGAGGGAACCCGTGGAGAAGAAGAAACTACTCTGGAAGGTGGAGGCACAAAATTTGGAGTTCTGGGTTGTTCTGCAGGATGAGTTGGTGGCCTGAATGTTAGTTTGTGTTCCCTTTCTGCCTCACCCAAGATCTTCTCGATGCTGCTCGGTTCCCTGAACAATGGAATGAATGAGCTGCTGCTCTCACCCTGCCTGAACTTTCCTATGCCTTTACTCTTTTTCTCTTTACTACTACTTTTCTTATCTGGTTCCTGCATTGAGGTTAAAACAATGTGCCATTATATGTTCATCTGCTGTCTTCACTTATCAGCAAATTGGGAAACAGTCAGGACAGTATACCTAAGGGATCACTTTGATGAAGGAATGAACAAAATCATCCATTTGAAAGGTATTGAGGGTGCATAATGCATTTGAAATGTCTAGTGCACTTTTAACAATCAAGCGATCGTTCATCCAAACGACCTCTAAGTTCTATAATGTATTGTTTAGGTCTTGATTAGCATAAACAAATGTAGAACTCCTACCTATGCCTAGTACCGACCATTGAAAGCAAGCAGATAAAGATCATCCAAGGGACCTCTACATTCTATGAGAGGTATCATTCAAAGTCTTGCTAAGGATGCACAAGTGTGGAACTTCTGCCTCATCATACAGCCTATCATCAAAAGCAAGCCCACAATAAATAAATAAAAACTAGTTCTCCCTTCATTTGGTCTAAAAATTGATTCACCCTAGCGCAACAGAAGACACCGACTCTCAAGTGGACATTCAAATATCATATAAGCACTAGATTTCAAAAGTGCAAATGCAGATAATTACTGGGAGATAAATTCTCACTCTTCAGAACTTACATTAGCTAATTTATCCTTGGAATGGGGCAAAAAGACCCTCTTAATTGCTGAAAACCAACTTCCCTTCTTCCCCATTTTTCCCGCATTACTGTTCCCAACCAGACGGAGAAGTGAGCAGCACAACTAGTTCTGCAAGTCCAGAACAAACCTTGATCAGTTCATAGCATCTTACAGCTTCTGATGAAAGAATGCCAGAGCTCTTAAGAGTAAAGGGTACTCAACTAACAGACTTTCAGTACAAAGGAACATGCCAAATCAAGCAGTAATAACAATCATTTGACAATTGCATTAACTTGTAAGTGGGGAACAAGCAAAAGTACTTAGTAGGTTTAAAGAAAACAAACCAAAACAAGTCAAGAGAGAGGAACCAAGATAATTTAAACCCCCTATCCAAGAACAACTCCAGAAACCTGCCTAATCCATTGGACTCCTATACTCACAATTTGCAGGGTATTTAACATGCAATCCTCACAATTTCATGAGTTTGGAAGTGGGAAGCCGGCCAAAGTACATGTTAATAGTTTGAAGAACACAAACAAAAACACAAGTCAATAGCAAAACCAGAAGAATCAAAGGAATCCAAAACCTCTCAAGTAAGAGCCAAGTCCAGAGATTTCTTTCTTTCTTCTGTGATCAAACAAGTGGAACCAGTTTTTGCCAAGACAAAGGACTATCTACAAACTAGCAAGTCATATGTAACCAAGCAAGCATATAGAGACAAGCAACAACATGCCAAAAACAGAAATTAAGAATTAAAAATTCGTCTTTCCCTCCTTCCCAGATAGAGAGATATTAGACAAGTCAGCTGTTTGCTTGCAGTCTCCATGACAAGACTGTCATAAGAATTTGCAGAAACCAAAATACAGACAAGGGAAAGTAAGGCAACAGATCCAAGAGACAGAGGAAATTAACTCCCCAGGGAAAAAAATAATAATACAAATATATCTCCTTGATGCAGATCCCCATGAAACAGAAACAAGAGAAACAAAGTTCCCAGATGAAGAGAAGTGAGGAAATTATTATTATTTAAATACCCTTCCCACCTTTCACCCATATATTCCCAGATGATGATCATAGACAGGAACAGCATAATTCCCAATAGAAAACAGCTAAAGGAAGGAACTTTGAGAAGGGGGAGCAAAAACAGAACAAGCACAAACAAAGGGGAGGAGCAATTGAGTACCTGGTTGAAGACCCAGTTGAGGAATCACCATGGCAGCAGAAAGCTGGTTCAAGAAGCAAAGAAAGTTGGGAAAAGGGGGAAAAGGAAAGAGAAGAGAAGAGAGGCAAAAACTAAAGAGAGACCCACCCAGCCAGCCAACGGAGAAGAACCCTTTACCAGCCAGCCAGCAAAAGAAGAGAAGACCCTTTCAATTCTCTCTCCCTGTCTCTCTTTTGCACTTTTTTTGTTTTTTGTTCTTCTTTCTCTACCTGGCTTTCCAATAGAAGGATGGTGTTGGTGGAAGTGGAGAGGTGGTGAGTTCTTTCTTGGGGGATATTTTTTTCAGCAAATATAAATGGTTTTTTTCTCCATTTGTTGGTGGTGGTGGTGGTGTTATCTGTCCCTCTCTTCCTTACTCTATCTCTCAAAGCTCAAAGACTGGACTGCTTCTTCACTTCCATTTTGTATCTCTCTCCAAACCTTTCCTACTAACTTGCAAATATTTTTTTCTCTCTTGATGATAATTTCCACTTAATCCTTTTGCTTAACTTGTATCAATATGTGTAATCTAACTCTAACCCATGTTTTCCTTTCCCGTATCCCTTTTGCAATTTGGGTTGCTAGAAATCATGAATCAAGATGGTGATGATGATTCCATTGGAGGAAACAACAGAAAAAAATGGTGATGATTATGGTGGAGAGAAAGAGGGAGAGAGGGAATGAGTGGAAAGAGAAAGGAGTTGAGTTGTCCACTTTCTCACTCAAGTTGAGGCTCTCTCTGCCTAACTTCAACCAAAACTTTGCTTCAAGTAGAAGACTATTTCTTGTTAAGCTCCCCACATCAAAGAAATATGTTTTCCTTAACCGTTATGTTTGGTAATTGGTATCCTCTTAAAAACTTCTACCCAACTCCACTCCTTTCTCTCTTCTCTTGAAAATTGCTACAATTGCCTCATTTATACCTTCTAGTGACTAGCTTTCTTATGTGGATGATAACCCAATATAGTTGTTTTCGATACAATAGCGGGTAAAGTCTTGTTGTTTTCTCTATTAGAGTTAGATTACTTCAATTTTGTAACCTGACTTCAGTATTACTTTGGAAGGATTTTGAGTTGAGAATGTATACTTTTTCTAACTTTTCTCTTATTACCTCTTGAAAAAAAATTGTTTGGCAATCAAGAAAACAATCACAAAAAACAAATAAGAAATACGAGAAAGAGTGGTTTATTTAGAGTCATCTCAAAGTTGATTGATGAAAAAGTCGATACGAGAACCAACTTATTTTAAAACAACTTGTTTTTATAATTGGTAGTATGTTCAGTCGACAAACAATCAGCTAGTGGATTTGAAATTCTTACTGTTGGGTCGTATTATGATGTTTACCCTCCCGATTGATAGAATGTGAAATGTGAAACAAGAGAGTGTCATGCAAATTGTAAACGTGAATTATAAGAAACGATTGTTCGACCTATTAAAATCACATATTTCATTGGAAGAATTTCATTACTTTGGTATCAAAAAATTACACAACCCGCTCAGGTCGTACATTGATATGGAATTCGGGCTGCTGGGCTGCTGGCCATTCATCAGTCCAGCCCATTTCACGATTGGTCCATTTCTAGTTAAAACAATTCGATGACACACCGAGTAAGCCCACATCCTTCTCGGGCCCAACCCAACAACTCAAACAAAGTCAGTCAGTTCTCGCTCATTTCCGATCTAACGATACACAATTTTCTCCGCTCTTCGGTCGCCGGACGTTCTCTGGGAAATCCAACTCCGAAGCAACTTTTCCCAGGGTATCGTACTTCTTTCCCGCTTTCTCTTCTCTGTGAATCACTTCCGTTTGCTGGCTTGGTTGCGCACTTCAATAGGGATTCGCTTGATTATGCCGTCTCTGGATTCTCTTGTGAAATGAGGCATTGCATTCCAATGCCAGATCATAGGTCTTTTGCTATTTTGGATCGAGCTTTCTCTGGAATTATTCTGGGAGTTCTATGGCTCTCCCTGGAGAGCTGAGGGTTTCAATTTTCGGGTCCATTGCTTATGTATGATTAATACAGGAAACGTTCTAGGTTCTGAATGGCTTCTTTGATGCTCCACGAGTACGTTAATGTTGCACATTGCATTACTTTTGGTTTCTATTAGGGTTCCTGATTGATTTTTACCTCTGGAGACTGTCCTTACTGCCTCAGTTTCAACAGGTGTAACTATGTATGGCTGCTAATACTGGTGGTAGGGGTTGTTAGATTAAGATTATTGAGTGTGTTTGTGGTGTAACAATGGGTGCAGGAAATGGGTTTGTGGACTTTGCTAGAGGGCTGTCTGCTTCTTGCAAATGCATTAGCAATACTGAACGAAGACCGTTTCCTTGGACCTAGAGGATGGAGCTTCTCCGAATTCTCGGGAGGAAGAACAAAGTCTTTCAAGGGGCAGCTTATAGGTCTTATTTACGCAACGCAGTACATGAGAGTTCCCCTCATCATACTCAACTCGATATGCATTGTTGTAAAGCTTGTTTCTGGGTGAAAGCTGCTGCTGCTGCTGATAAGGTAAGTCAGAGGACCAGAAAGATGGACGAAAAGTTGCATGTCTATATGTCATTAGAACAACTCCCTGTAGCTGTGTTACTGCATCAGAAACTTAGTTTCTCCCAACTAGATTTATACTAGCTACAACCAGCAGTTGCCATTATTCTGGCATGTATAGTGAGCTATATATCGCTATTGGAATCTAGCAAATACACTGATCTTTGTCTGCATTCTAGCATAGAGAGTGAAGTGGATGCAGTATTATGAGAAATATCACTTTAACAGGAGGGATAAGCTTGCTTAACTGATTTTAATTTTTTGCTCTCCTTTATCTGCGTTTAATAAGGTTTTCCCTCAATTTCGTGCAGGATTGTGATGTGCAGCAAGGCTAGCAGAGAGAGAGAGAGTTTAGAAGAACAAGTTTTTTGCTACAGGGGCTGAAGCACACACGGTTGGTGAGGTTGATTACAGTGTTCGTTGTATGATTAGTGTGTTAGGTCGGGTTTGTCTTGCTTTTCTTTTTACGAACAACCATTAGTTGTAGAAATGTGGATGTACTGGAGTTTGAGATTCTATACTTGTGGTGTTTAGATGAAAGAGTTTTGGAAATGTTGTCAACCTTCTACCTGGTATATTTGCAGTTAAGGGTAACCTGAAATTATATATCTCCTCCTGAAGGCAAATTAAGGCGTTTAGTTCGTTTTAAGTATTTGGCAATGTACATTGCACTATGAGTATGGAGGAGAGCAGAAATTTGATGCCATAACATACTGATCTCTTCTTCCGGCCCTCTCGTGTTTTCGCTTTTGGTTGCTGTTTCATCTGCTAGGCAGTTGAGGCTGCAAAGAACGTTGAACTTGATAACGAGGAACTATCACAGGCCATACAGAGGAATAGCAGTAGCAGGACATTTCTTGGGCTCTCTCTATTTGTGCTTACATTTTCAATCCCTTTTCTTCATTGGTAGAGTTGAATCAATGCAATACCCTGCCATTGCTGTTTCACACTGTACATTCTTAGTGCTACACATTCTTGTTCTCGCTGGTATACAAATTAGCGACACGTAGGAAGAATGTGAATGCTGAAGCAAACTCTGTTATATATCTTACGTGTAGTGTAAGTAAAGATGATGTAACTTGATTTGTGTTGGAAGGATATAAACTTATGCTTTGCTTGTAGATGAAGAGTCTACTATATGAGAGTACATGGACAATTTTTATTGATAATGTCTCTAGTTTGCACTCCAATTGTAGATCTTCCCTTCGGAAATTTAAGATAATTCACCAAAACAATGCCCTAGACCCTAAACAATTGCAACATTTTATTGCAAAACTGCCAACAGAATTTACAATCATGTTATAATCAAACTTAATCCATCTAAAAAAATGAAGTTATAATCAAACTCAATATTCAACGGTTTCATGATCCACCTCAGCAATCACCATTTGGCTAAGACGGCTAGGCCCGAGCTTCTTCCTCCTCATCATCACACTACTCCTCTTCCTAATAATCTCCATTTGATTCATCTTTCTCCTAACCTCCATCATCGCTTCTTCTTCAAGCACGAATCTCCTCATAAGCACGTCCTCGTTCAACGATTGTCCTCGAAAAAAAGACCTCCTACCTTCGGTGCTAAGCCTCGTAGGGTTCAACGGCGGTACTATTCTTTCTTGCGGGACGAGAAAAGCTTTCGACGAACTGGGGTAACTGTTGCTTCTCCTTGGGGGGAAATCGGCCCGAAACACTTCGTTATAAGACGAGATGGGTGCACAGAGACAGACCCTAGTGAATGAGGTTGCAACCCTCATGGATGTGCACTTTCTTAGCCTGGCATTTCCCTTGGTAGGGTTGTTGATGGTGGTAGGGAAAAGCTCTTTAGATGATTTTGTAGTGGGGGATCTCCACAATCTTGGAGTGGAAGTAATCTCTTGGGACCTTGGAATGACTCTCCAATGAGAAGCCATGTTTAGGGCTTTTTGGTACCAGCTGGGTTTCCTGGCATTCAAGAAATGCAAGTCATTCATATTGACACAAGTTTAAAGGATGATGATTGAACTTTTAATATTCTTCCAAGGAATCAAATTAAGATTGATGAATTCATCTAAGAACACTGAATTATTATATATATGGGATGGAAATAACTGAAAACTAAGTTTGAACTTCTTCAGTTGACTAAAAATTTCTTTACCTTTCTAAATTAGGAGAACCGTTCAAGTTCAATAGTTTCTCACCAAAAGCCATGAACTTGAAAACCAATTACACGGTTTTAGTTATTTATATAAAAAAAAACATATAACATAATGTTAAATAAGGAATATTGTATTAGTGATTGATTTTTGAAACAACAATTTTTGTTGGTTGGGCTTCATTCATAATGCTGAAGTGGCTAAAAGTAGTTTGAATTCCAAAACCATGAAATCCTATTGTACTCCAAGTCCGATCAACTTAATCCGTGAGAAATCCAATTCAAATTACTTTTAGAACAACAATGTACGCTTGTGTTTCTCGTTCACAAGTATTCACTTATTCGAAAATGAATCTTCAAAATTCATATACAAAATCATAGTTGAGAAAACGATCACAAACACAAGATCACCAAAGTGCATACATCAAGCAGTGAATCCACTCGAGGTAACACATCACTTCAAGTTCAAAATCGTGGGGACCAACATCGATCATCGACTCATGACGAAATCGAGCCAACACTTCAATTGGACAACCTATACTTTTCCAAACTTACATTCCATGCACATAACCCATCCCATCCCTCAACCTTTGAACTGATGAAAACAGAGACAAAGTTACCTTGAGCTCTGCAAGGAGGAGGTGTCAGCTGGATCTTGCATATGAACATAAGAAAGAAAGTGGAAGAACTGAGAGAAGAAGAAGCATCAATGGAGGAGGAATGTGGAGGGAAATGGAAATGCTGATGAGTTGTGAAAGGGATGTATGGGGGAAGAAGAGAGGAGGAAAGTTAACAGTTAAAAAGTTGGGTTTTCAAACAAAGTTTTTTGGGGGAGATATGATGATGATGAGGTGGTGGTGGTGATATGATATGATGAGCATGATGGCTTGATGGGTTGGCAAAATTCATTCACATAAACACCCTTTTGCTTTCTCTTCTCCTTTTTCTTCTAGATCAAGAGTTTATATATTTGTATTTGCTGCTTTTTTGCTCTGCTCATGGCCATGGCTGGCCAAACTGCCCAGTACCTCTCTTCCCCACTCCTACTAGCTTTTTCTTTTTGTTTTGGTTCCCTTTTGCTTTGCTTTTGTCAGTGATCCACATATCCATCCATCATCTTCCTCTCTTCTCTTTCACTTTCTTTCTTCCTTATATTGTACTCTCTGTTTAATGCAAGTTGAAACTAGTGAGCATAGACTTCGGTCGATCAAAAGTTGATGTTTGAATCGGATCAAATCGTATATCAAAGTGCATGTTCACTTGATTTTGATTCTCAATTTTCTTAAGTTATAACATAATTTAATCAATAAGCTAGATTAAAATTAGTCAAAATCGAATTGGACAATTATTTTGATCGATTTTTATCTCTATCTTCATTTCGATCGATTCCTATTACCTAGACCAATAAGCCAATATATGGGGCAAATTGTTGTTCATCATTATGGGTTTTATTTCTCATTGCTGTGATTGATTGTCAGCCCTCTTTAGTGAGGCTAGTAGTACAGCCCATTGATACCAAGTGGCAAAGCCCATTTAGTTAATAGGTAGGCTAATGAAATCATAGTTTGGGCCAGGCTATTGGAATCCTTGTATGGGCTGGGCTTTAATTACCTCTGGAAAGTTGGTGCACAATATAAAACGTGCCAAAGTCCCCAATGCCCTTTTCGCGCAAAAAAAATAAAAAAAATAAAAAAGACGCGTTTCGTTTTCAGCGGCTTCAGTCTTCACTAACCAGAGTAGTAACCACACCGCCATTTTCCCACTTGCAAAAATAAACTGACCACCGCCGCTCACTTGAGCTCCGAAGAAGGACCTGCATGCGCGCTCCAATGGCGGCCATTTCTCCAATCGCCTCCGCGCCACTTCCTTCCCTATCTCTCTCATCCTCTTCTTCACCTTCACCAGCTTTCCTGGTCTTCAAACCTGCTTACCCGGTCCTCTCATTCAACAGCAACAACTCCATCCCTCGCCGGAACAATTTCCTATCCGCCGCAGCCGCAAACGCCGATTCCGCCGCTCTATCCTCCTCCAGCTCCCCGCCTCCGAATCCGCCTCCGAGATCCAAGTAATTGCTAATTCATTGTTTGTAGTTTTGTTGTTTGATTGGAAGAAGTAGCGTTTCGCTCTGTTCTGAAATGTGTATTTGGTCCTTTGCTGTAGGGTGCGGCGGCACACGATCTCCGTCTTCGTCGGCGATGAGAGCGGGATGATTAACAGGATTGCCGGCGTTTTCGCCAGGAGAGGTTACAACATCGAGTCGCTGGCCGTTGGTTTGAACAAGGACAAAGCGCTCTTCACCATTGTCGTCTCCGGAACGGAGAGGGTGCTGCAGCAAGTCGTCGAGCAGCTTCAGAAGCTCGTCAATGTCTTGAAGGTTGTTTTTCGAAAACCTCTCTTTCGTTTCCATTTTAGGTGGGAGTTGGTTTGAACTGATTTGGGAAGGCTTTGTTGGGTTCTTCGTTTCATATGTAATGTGGTTGCCATTTGAATAGGTTGAAGATCTCTCCAGTGAGGCTCAGGTAGAGCGCGAATTGATGCTTATAAAAGTGAATGCTGAAACTGAGCACCGTGCTGAGGTTAGTTGGTTTATGCTTTTGCTGTTTGTTCAGTGGCTCGAAATGTATGTTTTCCATTTCCAGTGAGAAAGTTGTTTTCTTTCTTGATGTCTTGTTTACTTACTGATTCTAGTATGGGTTTGAATTTCAGATCAAGTGGTTGGTCGACATCTTTAGGGCAAAAATTGTTGATATCTCAGAGCATTCAGTCACAATTGAGGTTATGATTCTTGAACTTGAGTATCACTGAGAATTCTGCGGCCAGAATGATTCATAGATCATGTAGGATTCATTGGTCTATTTTGCTTGCAGTTTTCGGTTTATTGCATTTTTTGAGTTATTGAATTTAGTTGATGACTGATAGTGGCCTATGGTCCTTAGAAGAGTGCAGCGGAAGTACATCTCACGTGATTCAAATTGTAATTGAATCGTTAAGTTCTTCCCTGAAAAGTGGCTAGTGGCATCGATGTGTTTAAAAAGTTTTAATCTTTGTATGCATTTAACTATTGCACTCTTTGAAAATAGGGTTTGCATCATGGGAGTTTATTGCTTATTAATTCTGTTTTGGATTATTAGGTCACTGGAGACCCTGGGAAAATGGTTGCTGTGCAGAGAAACCTAAGCAAGTTTGGTATCAAAGAAATTGCTAGAACTGGCAAGGTTACTTTTTAGCTCTGTTCTCATCATTGTGGCCCTTGTCCCCGTTACATCTGTGCTAATGTATGAACTTCTTCCTTGCATTAGATTGCATTGAGAAGAGAAAAAATGGGTGCCACTGCTCCCTTTTGGCGATTCTCTGCCTCTTCATATCCTGATCTTGGAGAGAATGGGGCTGAAAATGGACTATCAGCGGTTAAAAGTAGAGCAGTCATCACTGAAGCTGATACGAGTGCAGGGGTATGCAGTTTCTAGATCCATGATCTTATACTCTCTCTGATTTGAGGGCAATTAGATTAGTAAGAAGTTGATGCCATAATTTACCATGAGTGTTGACTGTTACTTTCCATATTGCTGGCTGAGAAGTGGTTCAATTTAAATTTTCAACGATGATTATCCTCAACTCACCAAATGACTTCTTGACTGACACATTCTGTGAATGTTTCTGTTTCCCTTTTGTCTCCCCATTTATGTATTGGTTGCTTCTAGAAATGAAGTTTGTTATTTGTCATTTTGCCTTCAAGTGGTTTTCTTGCTTCTGATTTGCTGGAATTTCAAATTCATTTATCCAGGGAGATGTTTATCCTGTGGAGCAGTCTGATGGGTTTCCTTTTCATCAAGTTCTTGATGCACACTGGGGTGTTCTAAATGAGGAAGATGTAAGAAAGCTCGCTTCTGTTTATAGTTCAGTTCATCAAACAGATTAATGATAAGTGTTGATCATTTTATTCAGAAAAGTGGTCTTCGATCACATACTTTGTCCATGCTTGTAAATGATGTCCCTGGAGTTCTCAACCTTGTTACTGGGGTTTTTTCTCGACGGGGTTATAATATTCAGGTATGTTCATTCTTACTGTGTTTTGTTTTTCTTTGCGACATTAATATGTTTGCACTTTTATTTTACTATATTTTCTTCTGGGTTGCCAGAGTTTAGCCGTTGGGCATTCTGAGAAGGAGGGCCTCTCGCGTATTACAACTGTCGTACCTGCTACAGATGAATCAGTTAGTAAATTGGTGAAGCAACTGTATAAGCTAGTTGACCTTCATGAGGTAATTGACAGAATTGCACTGTGAAAAAACTTATTTGTTTCTTACAAATTGCATTACCTAGGTAGAGATGAGTATTAGCAACCTGTTCTAGGTACTCAACATAACGTATCTGTCTAGGACGTGTTTGACTTGTTAATCATCATGCTCTTCAGTGTTGCTGATCATCCTTCGGGTTTAATATTCAATTTGGAAGTATTATCGGCAGAGTACTTTCCATCCCTGTTAACAGTCTGCTGACCTTTCAGGTTCGTGATCTTACCTCCTCCCCGTTCGCTGAACGTGAACTAATGTTGATCAAGATCGCGGTGAATGCTGCTGCTCGCCGCGACGTCCTTGATATTGCCACCATTTTCAGGGCAAAAGCAGTTGATGTCTCTGACCATACCATAACCCTCGAGGTTAGTAACTTGCTGTCCCAGTCATAATACGACTGCAACCTTCACTTCATGGCTTCTTCAAATTGCAAAAATTTGACTTTGATGAATTCACTATTGAACAACACTTCGCTTGGCGCAGCTTACGGGAGATCTGGACAAGATGGTTGCTCTGCAGAGATTGTTGGAACCCTTTGGCATCTGCGAGGTTATTTCCTCTCTTTCCTTCATTTTCTGATGCACCAATAACAACCTGCTTTTTGTGACTCGAAATGCCTTCCTCCTCTTACTATAGGTTGCACGAACTGGACGAATAGCTCTGGTTCGCGAATCAGGCGTGGATTCCAAATATCTCCGCGGATACTCTTATCCTATATAGTTAATTCACAGGCACCCGTTCTTCGCAGCAACGACGAAGAAAGCAGTCTAACAGCATGCTTCAGTGAGGTAAGAATGAGGCCCCTGCTGGGAGACAGTTCGGTTACCGAATGTTGTGCCATTGCTGTGCTGTATGCCGTAGTTTGGGACCAGCTACATACTGGGTAGAACTTCCATGTACTATAAAACGAAATTTTGTTCGCTTCCCTGTCTTCGAAAATATTGGTTTCTGTTTTGGTACGAGTTCTTGGCGTAAGCAGAAATATGACCTGTTGCTATCTTAGTGGTGAACCGCCTGATTCGTAGGATAGATATTGGCCCTGTTCTCGCTATGCTGCGAGTCGAATGGATGATGTTCTCGACGTATACAAAACGTTACGACGAAGTGGTAAGATATGATAGCTGCCAATAAGTGCTCTCAGGTTTAGTTTTCACAACCTATAATTCACAAAAATACAAATTTTAACGGCCGTCAATGAACCTAAAAGTTTGAATCGCGCGTATCCGCTCTTATGAATTCATCTAGCTAGTATCTATGTATCGACCGCATCTTTAAATCGAACCATGAGATCTATCAACAGTGTGAAGAGTAAATAGACCTAAACGGCTAAACCATTAAAAAAAAAATAATGCATCCCCAGCTAACCCTCCCAATTATCACCACACTTCTGAATCTGAACCCACAGAAACACAGTAAAAAACAGACTAAGATAATCAGATGAATTCATTCATCTGACCTAGCGACCAACACGGTTCAGATAAAAAGCTAGTATATATATATATATATAGTAATAACACAGCCAACAACAAATTCAATACAATACTGAGAATAGCTCATAATTCATTCCCGGTGGGCAACAAAAACCTGAATATAAGTCATGTCCCAATGCCCAACCTCATGATTTCACCCCACACTGACCAAGCTTTCTTTGTTAACATAAACCCTGCGAGCTCCATGAACATCATCTTCCACAACTTTAGTGGCCTGAGTAGCAGGGTCGAACAACACCAACTCATGGGTTTCAGATGTGCCATAACCCCTAACAAGAATAAGCTCGTCGTCCCTCCACCACCCAACCACAGATATATAAGGGTAATTACCTGGCATCCAATCCTCACCAGCAGCAACCTCCGGCGTCGGCAGCATCACAGAAGGTGGAATAAAGGGAGCAACAGTCTGGTGCTTGACCCAACACCATTCTTCACTCAGTAACCACAGATCACAACCACCGCTACTCTCCTGGAAAAGAAACAAAGCAAGCGCATCCTTGTACACAAGTAGCTGTTTCATACCAGCCTCATCATAAATGCAATCATATAGGTTGGGCACCGGATCGTCAACCACACGGAAAACCTCATTCTCGAGGTCGAACGCCAGTGCTGCAAGAGGAGATAAGCATGCCCAGAAAAAGAACCCATTCAAGTAATTGTAAGATCGGACGGAGTCGAATATACGAACTTCAAGCCGCAACTCTTCTAGCTCCCTCCAAGTATCAGTGCCAGGTGTGTACACCACCACTTGTGAAGGGAATTTGGGAGAGGAGCTGGCTACAAGAACGCACCAGGGGGTAAAGACTGTATCATCATCCCAGAAGTGCCTAATCATAACTATCTTGAAATCCTTAGCCACTGGATCTAGCCCGAACCCGTAGCTGTCGAAATAGTGTGTTGCGGCAGTGCTTTTCCTGACCGGTGGCATCGTGATTTCCCTAGATTTGCCGGTTGCTGGGTTCATATACGCACTTCCGACTTGCCATCGCCCATCAGAAATATCCGTTGCAGGGTCCGGCGATTATAAGCGTATCAAACTCCAGGTACTGAACTTGTGGTGATACATGATCACCGTGACAAAGAGGAGAGAATAGCCTAACCGGTGTGCACCCATCATATCTTACATCAAAGTTTGGACGCTCGCACGCCATCAGGGTCTGAGAAGCAGAGCCAGCCGGGCCGTTGGTGTAGTTTCTGAGGTGCATGGAAACCAGGAAGGGGCTTGAAATTGTGGCATTCCAGCTTCTGCAGATGGACTTGAGCTGTAACAGATCTCTAGCGGGGAGCCGAACCAGGATCTCCACCAGCAATTCTCCCGGCAACTCATCCACCTTGTTAACCACCGCAGGTTTGAACAAGGTCAGATCTTTCTCCTCCCCCTGTGAACAAACCCATAGAGGACAGAAGCCACGGCAAATTTTACAAGCAGAGCAAGGCGGGAAAACAGAGAAAGCACATAGGAAAAGTAAGGCTGCAAAAATAAAACAGAAGCCAGAGAACCAGCAGCCACATAGAAAGCCGACAAATGCAGTCAGCCGGACGGATATGATCAATCAGTGATTAGGGTTTTTTCCGGATACGGAATCAGTGATTAGGGTTTTTATAAGGATCAAGCTGAAGATGCAGACATCAACTACTTCAATCAGCTCAGGGCACAAACAATTCATCAAGAATGAGATGCCGATACCTCTATTTTGATCTGGCTACTGCGTCTCGACGACGAGAAAGCAAAGATTACACTGACAACTTGTCGAATCATCGACACCGGAGAGCTGAGAGCTGTGAGGAGAAACAGAAACACTGCTGCCAGGACATGAGTCGCCCAATTCGTCTTTTCATCCATCGCCGATCCTCAATGGTATCTGTAACGCCGTGGTTGCTCGATGATTAACGAGGAAGAGAAAGGACTGGGACAACAAAAAAAAAAAAATTTGAGAATGCAGACAGAGGGGTAGTTTTGAATACCACCGGAAAAAAAGGAAAGCGCGAAACTTTTCCGGCAAGGAAAAGGGCGCCAAATAAAATAAACAGAATGTGATCGCCGCCGCTTCCTCCTTAATCCTCACCCTCCGCCGAAACCTAAGTTCGTGACGTAGGCAGAAACATGACCTGTTGCTATGATAGTGGTGAACCGAGTGAATGGTATGATAGATATTGGCCCTGTTCTCGCTATGCTGCGAGTCGAATGGGAACAGTCATGGCTGTCCAATTTGGCCTGGCCAAGATCTGGCTGTGAGGACCATAGCCGAATTGGTTCACATGGAACATACACAAAACATCTCGGTCATGTTCGTAACATATACAAAACGTTACGATGAACAAAGTATAGCAACAATACCAATTTAGTTTAACATTACTTTCCTCCAAGCAAACAGGAAGGTTTGGGGGAGGAAGTGGCAGAGGGAAGGGAAAGCGAACTTAGGTTACAAAGGAAATGTGCCTCGTTTGTTTATTCATTACACAATCAGAACAAATAGTCTGGAACTTGAAGGGGAAACCGCGCCACATCTACATCGAACGGACCTCCTTTCGCCTTTGCCACACTGTACGACGAAAAATAAAGCACTTGAAACAAACACCCGACTGACTTGGGACACGAACCAGCTTCAAGAAACTTATAGCTACGATTCACCATATGAGATAATCTCTCTACTAAAATGTGAATGAACTACAACGGTTGATATAGATGGCAAAAGCAATGATGACGAAGATCATCTTGATCTGAACTGAGAGATGCGAGGACATCGAACACCAACAGTCGAAACTCGAAAGCAATGATAATAGAGATCATCATGATCTGAACTGAGAGATACGAGGACATCAAACACGAACATCAAATTTATAGATTTATCCTAGATGAGACTAAATGCCTACCTGCCAGGGACAAATGTGAAATAGCCTTCAACGGATCCGGAAGTAGTAGGAAGAGGGGTGCAACTCTCATAAACATATTCTTTCTCGCCTGGGCGCAACAGTGGCAACTGCAAACATAGTTGGGAAGAAGAGTGATTCCGAGTACTTCATGGTGGGTAAAGAAATTAGAGCCAAAGACTAAATACATAGACCAGTGAAATGAATTTGCTCAAGCAGCGGCCAGTGCAGTGATAAGAAGAAAGTCGGAAGCCTAGCATTTTGCAGTTGACCCACAAGAATAGTAGCTTCCGTTAAAATAGCAACCCATGTGTCAATCCTATATGGATTCCCATTGAAGGAGCAACTAAACATAGAACAGCTTTGCAAACCACGAAAGACAACAAGTTCGACATATTCATCAGTAGAATCACTCCAAAGCAAGACTCGAGAGAAATTTGGGGAACTTCACAGGTAACATAATTAATGAACACTCATAAATTCAAGGCACAAATTTCTTGCAAAGAAGATCAGGGAGTCTCAAGCACTGAAAGAAGTAGCAGTACTAATAAGAATCCTACCTTGCCAATCACACCTTCTCCATTGACGTCGGATATGATCCTATCATTTGCACGGATAATCCAGTGTCTCCAATGCAGCTGGCAACTGCTGAAGTAAACACCACTAACGAAGCATCCTTCTGGCACGAGGGAGATGCGTATCGAATATGAAAACCAGAACTTCTCAGAATCATCTTCGAGGTCGGCCAGCTCGGGAACAAAAACAGCAGAAGCACGGACCTGACCAGCATAAATGCAAATCCGTGTAACATTATTTCTCATACAAATCTAAAATTCCAACAGGTATCAACCTGACTAACAAGAAAAATATAGATGAGGAGATAAAAGAGAAGAAGCCAAGTAAACAACCAGATTTGCCTACCTTAACACCATTAGTCACAGAAGTAGTACAGAAAGGTTCTGCCTCGGGAAATTGACAAATGCTTCTAACATTTCCCTGTTCGCGAAGTTGAATAACACCTTGTTCTAAGCGACGAGCATGCTCTTCCAACCATAGTAGCATTGCATCCTGTTTATTCAACCCTTCAGGTACACATGGCATCATTTCTCCATCAGTCACAAGATTCCTGGAACCAACATATAGCTGACCGTTGTTGCAGTTTAGGAAAAAAAGCTTCTCTATGAAAGTAGATGAAGCAGCAACTAGAACAAACTTGGATTGCTTTGAAAACCCCATATCCCTTATGATGTGCTGGGTTTTCATTATTACTTCGTGTAATGGCAACAAGTAGACGTTAACAAGGTGACTGTAGAACAGGTAACCACCAATCAGACCCAACTGACTACCATTTTGAGTTGTAGGAAACCCCTTGCCTTGTAAGTCCTGACCATCACAAAACCGATAGAGTATCCTGGTAGATACGGGCAGTTTCACTTTCAAAATTTTCTCTGCCTCATCAATCTGAGCTTCCGAGACACCATTTCTTAATGTAGTAGCAGCTTCGGGAAAATTGGTCATCAACCAATTCTTCAGTCTATCCAAGCATCTTTTGACTCGCTGAACAAGGTGCCAAGGATACATTCCAAAAGCTCCATACCACAGCTTATAAGCTGCCTGCATTCATCGAACCAGTTGTTTACTTAACCGTTTTGCTTCAAGGAGCAAAAAGAAACAGACTTAAAATGATTTCAGTCCCTTTAACATTCGAATGAAACAAACTTGAAATGCCAACTTACGAAGGAAACAAAACAAATCATCCTTCAAAGAAACCATAAGTAATTGACCTTGAAAGATGGAGCAGTGTTCCCATGCGAATCAACAGGGGCAGAGAGATCGAGATCTTCAAGACAGAATTTTGACCAGAGAGCATCCTCGGAAGCCCAAACGTTGAAACTCTTGCTCACGCAAGCCACTTTAGCGGCGTCTTTGGCTCCCAACTTGGTGAAGATCGCATTAAGGATTAGATCTCCCACTGATTCCAACCCCATTTTTCTACAACTGATATGAATGAAAGATAGCTTTACTCCTTCAACTTCCCACTTCTTCAAGCTCTCTCTGAGTTCACAACAACGCGCTCACTCAAGTCAGTTGTAGCTTCAGAAACAACAAAACAAAAAAACTACCTGATCAAAACAACCATATAATCCCACTAACATAAGGTGTTCAAATTTACTCTTCTAATGCTGACAATGATATCCAGCTAAACACCAATCAGATTACCACACTAGCATCGATTCATCCGATGAGTTCAGAGTTCGAGGTAGCATCAATGGATTTTATACAATATTTTCAAGCCAATTGCAAAACTTCACGGAGAAATCGTTTGTCATGCGTCACTTCCAACTAAGCTCGAAATCAGGCAAGAATGAAGCGAAGGTAAAGAACACTTACACTCTCCGATTACTTCCGATGTACCGTCGCTCCGATTTCCCGGTGGCTGAAGAAGGCAGAAATGAAAATCAGAGAGAGCGTAGGGTGAATAAATTGAGCTGAAAAAGGATCTTACTTTCGTGATCCACCGCCAATAAGACGCCGCCCGGCGAGAAGGAAGAGAAAAGCGTGGGCTTTTCCTGTTTATCGCGGTTGGAAGCACTCAGACTTCTGGTGAAAGTCCGAAAGATGAGAAATTGAGAACTGAAAACTGCAAGTCGGTCGGCAGATAGCGGCGGGATATGATACGGCGTCGGCGAGGAGGGATTAATGTTACTTTTGGTCCTCATACTATCCACTTTGTGCGAGATAGTACTTTTACATTTTACAACATTGTTAAATATTTAAATATCTTCAAATTGGATGAATAACTAACATTTAGATGTTAAAATTTCTCGTAATAATTTCGCATTAATCCTTTGATCTTTGTACAAAATAAAGCGACTTAAACATTTTCCCTCTGATTTTACCCTCTTTTTTCTTCTTTTTGTTATGTATATGTCAACAAAAGAAAAGGTTGAGTGATAAGAAGAAAATCAAAGGAGAAATGGAGATGGAGGTTCCCATATGGAATTCTCAAAACTCTAGATCTTGCGTTGTGCTCGGAGGTCAGGGCTTTGTAGGAAGATCTCTCGTCTTAAGACTTCTCAAGGTTGGAAATTGGATTGTTCGAATAGCGGATTACGCACAATCGTTTCATCTTGATCCCGTGGATCGTAATGACTCTCTCATTTGTGATGCCATCTCGTCCGGTCGTGCTTCTTATCACCACATTGATGTTCGTGATACTTCTCTCATTTGTAAAGGTAACGGATTCAATTGACAAAACCAAGAGATCAATCATATTTGTCCCTAAAAATGGTCGTTCTGATGCTTGTCATACGAAAAAAAAAAGTTAGAGATATGAATTTTTGTGCACTAAGAACATGGCTTTTTCATATTTTCTTTCTTCAATTGTTTTTTTTTTTTTACTTTTCCCCTTCAATAGATTTTTGCTCTTTTGGCCACAAAAGTTTACTTTCATTGTTAACCATTATGCTATTGGCTAGCAATATTGAGAAACTAATCATACTTTCAACATAATTTTGCAGTAATCAATGGCTCTTCTACTGTATTTTACTTAGAAAGAAGTGACATACAACAATGTGATGTTTCTCTATGTCACGCAATCATAGTACAAGGTAATATATAAGTCATCTCGTGATTGTTCGCAATATCTTTCTTATTTAGATGAAATACAACTAATGATATATGATGCCTTTTAGGTGCAAGAAATGTAACCAAGGCATGTAGAGAGTGTAAAGTCAGGAAACTTGTCTACAATAGCACTGCAGATGTGGTATTTGATGGCTCCCATGATATAGTCAATGTAGATGAGTCATTCTTATGCCATGGCAAAGTAAGCTTTCCATTTCTTATCTTCTCCTTTTTTATGCTTTTGTTTTCCTCATCAAACATAAAACTAAGGTGTAACTTAGACTTGTTCATGATCACAGTGTCTCCAATTACACATATAAACTAAAAAGGTTGAAATTCAAGATTAAAGCTTCTTGTATATAATGGATTTGATTGGATTTCAGAAATGTATTCGCCTGAAATGTAACTAATTTATGATAATAACTTTCAACTATTACAAAGAGGATATTGAGCGTAGATACAATTATCCTTGATTTTGATCAAGATATATAGAATGTATATAAAACTCTAAACTCTACGACATATATGTTTATGTAAATATAGGTTGAAGATGCACTAAGTGACTTCAAGGCTCAAGCAGAAGCTATCGTCCTTTCAGCTAACAATATTGATGGTGTTTTGACGTGCGCTCTTCGCCCTAGTAATATCTTTGGTCCACGTGATACAAATCTTGTGTGGTTTTGGACACGTTTAGCTAAATACGGATTAACAAAGGTTAGAATGTGAAGTTTTTTGCATAATTTTGATCGTGTACAATCACTAGTTTGATCCATAATCTATATTTTAGTTGGTGCTCAAATGATTATGAATGTATTCTTCATATTACTTATTTTTCTTTCTTTAAAGAACACTCATGTTTAAATTGTGATTAAAATGTATCACTGCTCTTAGAGTTTGGTTGATCAAAAACATGTTTTATTTTGTAACAAATTTTATTGACAACATATTTTTCATGAGTTATTTAAATCTTTAGTTTCAGATTATTGCAGGAAGTGGTGACAAAATATCTGATTTCACTTATGTTGAAAATGTTGCTCATGCCAACATATGTGCATCAGAAGCTTTAGAAACTCAAAGAATTTTTGTGGGAGGAAAGGTAAGTGAAGATTTGGCTAATCTTTCATTATTGTATACTTAACCATTTGGACATAATCATTAACTTATTGATTATCTCTCTATAGGCATTCTTTATCACCAATGAAGAACCCATACAATTTTGGGAATTTGTTTCTATGATATTAGATGGCCTACGTTGTCCAAGGTAATATGTTTCCCTTAGATATGTGTGTTGTGTATGAATGTGTCTATTTATAGTTCATTAGGATCAAACAATGACGAGATGATTTATGCATTCTATTTCGGTCTACGTTGACTCATTTCTATTTTAGTCTTGGTTGACTCATTCTATTAAACCTTTAAATTGGCCATAGTATATGAAAAATGACAACATATTAGAGTTATTTGCTATGTTAGTTGGTCCAAATAGACAATCTTATTTACCTCGTTATTTTAAAATAATTTGACTTAAGTTTTGTTTTTTTATTGCAGACCTTTAATAAAGCTTCCTGTCAAAGTGGCACAATATTTTCTCGCAACAATAAAATGGATATCCATTAAACTTGAATTCAAAAAATTCAACCATTTGCAATTATCTCGAGTTTTCAATCTATCCATACACAACCGAACGTTTAAATGCACTGCTGCGCGAGATCATATTGGATATTCTCCCATTGTCACGTTGGATGTAAGTAGCATTATTTATCTCATTTCATTGTCACACGCCTGCACCCATGAGTTTGTCGAATATTGTTGAGAATCGAGTAGTCCTGATCGCATGTATTGGTGTCATGATGATCAAACAAATTTCTCAATGCAGGAAGGGATTTCATTAACCATTAACTCATTGACACACTTGGAATTGGAGTCATATCTCACGCGATGTGGCAATGAAAAAAGGCATTCAAAAGCTCATAAGCTACTCGGCAGTGGAAAAGGTTTGGCTATTCAATTTGACATTTTAAGCATCAGAGCATACTTAATTGCATGGCTTACTGAATTCAACATTTTACAGTGGCCAAAATTCTGCTATGGAGAGACATGAAGGTAACCTTAACCTGGTTGCTCGTCATTGCATTCCTCTTTTACTGGTTCCTGCTCTCCGAAAGAACATTAATCTCGTCTCTCGCCAAACTCCTGCAATTGGTCACAGTTATCCTCTACTTTTGTTTCATGGCCCCAATCAAAATGTAAGTTTCACTCTTCCCGCGAATGCTAGAATTTACTTCAACCGCTCGAATTGTTGAAAGATCTAGTTCAGTTGGAGGGATTTATGTGTACTTGTATGTATATATAAACTTTTTCAGTTTAAGCCAATTGAGTTATTGAAAACAATGATTATCTATCATTTGTACCATGTTCATTTAGATTGAGGTGTGATCAAGTTCTTACTCTACCCAATCAATCATATTGTATATAAGTACTATAATGATAATATTAACCCCATTTAGTATGCTTATTTGTTAATCTTAACATTTTTTTTTGTAACAGGTGCCTATTCACTAAGAAAGATCAGCCTGCATCTTGGTTTCAAAATTCAGAGTCAATGGCTAAAGATTTAGTAACATTTATGACCTACATATGGAATCGAGGAGTTTTAAGCACGAAGTTATTGGCTCAAGGTCGTGATTGGAGTAGATGTTCAAAGGTATGAATTGCATAATCACATCACAAATGAAGAGAGGTTGAACTTGTCTTATTTGATAAACACTTTATGAATAATCTGTATTTGAAATAAATAGGGCAGCTTTCCATATTTTGTTCATGTACTAGGGAAAAAAATTTACATTTTTTCTGTAAAGAATAGTAAATGGTCAAATCCTTTATATATCTAATAATAATAATATATATCTTTTTTGTGTGTTTTCAGATTTTACTTTCAGTGTATTTGGGGAAGATACTTATGATGCGATCGGTGACTGGGACACTAGGTGTAGGTAAGTTTATTTCCACTTGAAATTAACTTACATATATCATGTTGCAGATTCACCATTTTTTTACGAATTCATTGGATTGATGTTTTTTTGTGGTCTAATGCAGCTATGATTATTGCCTTCACAATATTCTATGTTTACGAGCAATATGAATTGCAAATTGATGCACTTTCCCGAGTATTACATCGAAGAGTCAAAAAGTTGATGATCATAGAGAATCAAAATTGTCCTAACACGAGTAAGACCAGATGAGGCACTGTAATCCAAGGACGACAAGGATTGGTGATTTTGTCTTGTATATTTTTCTATATCATCCTCCTATATTTGTACTTAGCAATATATTTCGACTTAGTTTTTGGTACTTGTGTATTGGCACAATAGATTATGGTACACAACATATTTGGAGTTGGTTAATGATACTTGTATATGGCTATCATTTATGTTAAAATGGATGATGATGTTCATGTGACAGACTAATGATCGATGAATAATGTAGGTTCACCTCATCTATCCAATCATCAAGCATAATGGGTTGTCAAATCCCAAACCAAGGAAATCTTTTATAAGAGTAGACCTAGGTTCTTTTTAATCCATATTTTTAACCTAACTAGACTTGTACCATTATTATGAATGATCACCTTTTGAAAAAGAAAAAAACAAGTTGGTTGTATACAATTATGAGAGGAGGCTTTAGTTTAAGTTAGAGATAAGGGATTCCATATAGTGAAAAGGGATCCATCTACTAAAGAAAATTAGTTTTTAGTTATATTCTTCATCCAAATAATAAGTAAACCCTCAATTCTATATGATCTATGAACTTTGTGAATTGTGTGGTTAAAGGAATTTCAATTACATAACATTAGCATTTGGGGAAGCACAAATCAAGGTTCTCGACATGGAGACGAACTTCGTATTACAAATTAAGAGGTTGAATGAAATGAGGTTATTATGAGCACGTACAGAGAGAAGGTGGTAGTGGTATGGGTTAAGATTAGGCGCAGGAAATAACGAGTTGAATGGTCTTAATGATATGGAAAATCACATGATTAAAAAAAAAGAATCCTTAATAATCTGGCTCATATTGCTTGATAGGGTTACTACTTACTAGGCTAGAAGTAGATGTCCCTAGAAAAAAATATAAAAGTAAATAACAAAGCAACAAAAACTCAGGCAGTTATTTGTAAGTATATGAAACTTAAGTGACTAGTATGAAATCCAGGAGCCTGAACTGGGCCTGGGCTAGGGCCCATGCCTCAGCCCACACCGCATATTCTCATCATTCTTATCGTTAATTTCGGGTGTGACCTCCTCCATTCTATCAAACACGAAATTTTTTGCTTGCTCTCCCTCCATACTTCTCTTCATCGGCGCGCCTTTATCTCCAATCGGAACCCTAACTCGCCGGGATTTCTCCAACGATGAAGCAAAGCAGGCAATCGCAGCGGGATTCCGACGACGGCGCTTCGGCTCCGTCGAACAATCTCTGGGTGGGGAATCTGGCGCAGGACGTGACGGACGCGGATCTCATGGAGCTCTTCGCCAAGTACGGCGCCCTCGACAGCGTCACTTCTTACTCGTCGAGGAGCTACGCCTTCGTCTTCTTCAAGCGCGTAGAGGACGCCAAGGCCGCCAAGGATGCCCTCCAAGGCGCGGCGATCCACGGCTCGCCGTTGAAGATCGAGTTTGCCAGACCGGTTCGTAGCTCTCTTTTCGTCTTATCTTCTTCTTCTCCCCCCGCCTCCCCCTTGTCGTTAGGTTTTAAGCTCAGAACTCTGTTTTTATCGATTGTTTTCCGATTTCATGGCGCCTGTAATTGTTGTTGTAGTAGTAGATGTTTATGTTCAGGAATCGTTAAAACATTGATTCAATTTCAACATATCCAGTTTGAAAGAATTCGTGTGTGGTTTCTGCAATCTGTGGTAATTTGAATCTGCCCGATTTAGATCGAATTTCGAATCCGATGATTCATCGTTGTAGAATCAGTCGATCCGAGCTCCTGCACAATCAATTCGATTATTCATTCAACATGATGGTGAATCCTCTGGACGAGAAAATCAAATGAAACAGCCATCGTCGATCAATTGCGTTAGCATCACCAACACGACCACGAACCTGCTGTTCCATGGCTAATTGCTGCCGTCCTAAACCCAGATTAACTCAGGCATTGTGCTGGATCAGCCCGAAAATTTCGAGGTTGCTTATTGCCATCGTTGTGCAGTGATCTCCAGCTCTAGTCTACTTACAATTTACACCCTCTAACAACTAAGCCGTACTGGTGTTCATGCAAACATCTGTTTCATCTTCTGCCCATTCACGAATGCTTGCCTAATTACGTACATCCCTGAGATTCTTGGTGCGGTGCGAACTAATTACCTCATGGTACGACGATTCCTTCGAATACTTGCAGTGATGACGCCACTGCCCTTTTCCCTTGCGAGATCAGAGAATGACAGATGCTGAATCTCCGAGGGATCTTTTGTGGCCATATCATTGAAGTATTGTTCGTCACCCGGCAGTTATAACATTGCAATCGTCGCTAGTTTCTGCCCAGACTCCATTTGCTCGTGAGCGGGTAGCCTGGATTTCCTTCAAAAGGACACCTCAGGATAGGCTGTGTTGCTCCTTAAGAAACAATGCAAAAGAAGTAGAGTTGCCCTCTGTTAGGAACTAAAATCTTTACTTTTAAGAAACTTCGATTGTTTCTGGGTATTGTTCACTCAAGTGATAGTTACTCCTTGGTTCTTCCGTGTGTGCTTTTCAATCATTCCTTCGGTATATACAATTGTGCGAGCAAAGCACTCCTTTTGCCATGCTGAGATCCTTTCGAGTTTACTTAATCGAGTTTATTGGTTCCAGGCCAAGCCTTCAAAGTCGTTATGGGTTGGCGGAATCAGCCCTACATTATCCAGGCTGCAGTTGGAGGAAGAGTTCCAGAGCTTTGGTAAACTTGAGGATTTCAAGTTTCTCAGAGACCGGAACACTGCATTCGTTGAATTTTGTAAGCTGGAAGATGCCGTAGTAGCCATGAAAAGCATGAATGGGAAGCGAATTGCTGGTGAACAGATTCGTGTGGATTTCCTTCGGTCTCAACCTTCAAGAAGAGTAAGTTTATGGATCCCAAACTCCCAAAGCATGCGCTAAACAAGTGTAAATCTAATTATTATAGTGAGATCTTGACATCAGATTTCTAGCTTCCACTTGGAGGTGTTGGTTGATATCATATACATAAGACCCACCAAGCTGTTCCTCAATTCTGTGTTCATACAATAAGCTGTCTATTTAGTTAGTGAAGTCAGCTTACTGTCTCTCTGTTTCATAGGAACACGTCCATGACTATCGTGATTCAAGAGAGAATCAGTTCTCCGTGGCACAACCCGGACTAAAGCGATCTCAGGTGACTCATCTGCTGCCTGGTCTAATAGGACTGCATGTTCTTGCTCATTTTCTTTCAACTGTTGTGTTTAGAGTATGCTTGCCGATTCTTCTATTTAACCAGAAATGATAGTCTGGCACTTAAAAAGGCGCATCTGTTGACTTTTGTATCAATCTATTTTGCAGCAACCCATGTCCTCTGGTGGGCGAAGAGAAGGTCAACCTAGTACTATATTGTGGGTAGGTTATCCCCCGGCCCTGCAGATCGACGAACAAATGCTCCACAATGCCATGATTCTATTTGGTGAGATTGAGAGAATCAAGAGTTTCCCTTCAAGGCACTACTCATTTGTGGAATTCAGGAGTGTTGATGAAGCTCGTAGGGCCAAAGAAGGTTTGCAAGGGCGCCTATTTAACGATCCTCGTATAACCATCATGTTTTCAAGCAGCGGGTCGGCTCCAGGGAAAGAGTATTCTACATACTACCCTGGAAATAAAGGAAGGTCAGATGAGTTTGGAACGGGGCAATTGGAGATGCATGATTATCAGCAGCAGTCAATCCATGGACCTTTTAGTCATCAAGGTGGTGGTTTGGATCAATTAAACTCGAATGGCCAGCTGACTCCAACCTGGCGGAGGCCCTCTCCACCGACAGCTGGCATCCTTCCTTCTCCCGGGTCTAGGATCAGGCCATCGATGAAGTCTGGTACTAGTGGGTGGGACGTGCTTGATACGAATCAGTATCAGAGGGAACCAAAAAGATCGAGGATTGGAATTCCAGATGATGACTCTTTCCCACTAAGAAATAACGTTGATGATCGTGGCTTAGGATTAAGCAGATCAAATGCACTTGGTCCTCTAAGTGATAAAATAGCTTTGAATCGCTTTGGAAATGCGCCAGGAAACAACAGTGCAAGGGGTGAAGCAGATTTTATTTGGCGTGGTGTCATTGCCAAGGGCGGGACGCCAGTCTGTCATGCTCGTTGTGTCCCTATCGGGGATCTTATGGAATCTGAATTGTGAGTATTGTATTGAGGTCACACATGAAAAGTTATCTAGAAAAACTAAAATTGTTATTGGTGAAACGGGCAACCTTAGTAATCAGATAGATGTATAAGTTAAACACCTGAGACTGCATGTGAACCAGTGTGCGATGTGTTATGCTTTTGTTCAGTCTCTCCTTTAATCCTTAGTAGTCTTTGTCTATGCTCTTATCCTATCCAAATCCATTGATGTGCTGAGTTATGATCCTATGTCTGATTGAATTTGTAGTACCTTCAGTCATTCACCAACATCAAGTCACAAATACTCCAAACTGAGTACAACCTATACGTTTAGAACAACCAAAATCTTCTGTTAGCCTAATCTTGGACGTTTCTATTTTGCAGTCCTGAAGTTGTCAATTGCTCAGCCAGAACAGGACTTGACATGCTGGCAAAACACTATTCCGAAGCCATAGGATTCGACATTGTCTACTTCTTACCAGACAGCGAAGACGATTTCGCTTCCTACACCGAATTCCTCCGTTACTTGGGCTCCAAAAACCGTGCTGGTGTTGCCAAGTTTGACGACGGCACCACACTTTTCCTGGTCCCACCATCAGATTTCTTGACAGATGTCTTGAAAGTCCATGGACCTGAACGTCTTTATGGCGTAGTTCTGAAGCTGCCCCCACAACAGCAGTTGCCCAGTAACAATTTACAGCTGCAACATCACCCAATGCAGCACCTCTCTCATAATTTTGCTAGGGATCATCAGCTTCCTCCTGAAGCTGACTACAATGCTTACCATCATCATCCAAAGGAAGAACAGCATGGGTTGGCACTAGATTATAATGGGGTGATGCATGATGAGTCATCAAAGCTTCCTTCAAAACAGTTTTATCCATCGGTCGCTGAATCCCCGTCAGCAGCATCTCTTTCACGAGACTATCCTGCCACAAACAATGCAGCTCCAGTATCAACTACTGGAGTTTCCTTGACACCAGAACTGATAACCTCTCTTACATCCCTACTACCTGCAATAGCCCAAGTGCCTGGGCCTGCAAGTAGTCAGCCTGCACCGGGTGTGTCTACTACGAGGCATTTTTCTTCAGCTGGAACTCCCCCACAGGGATGGAAGCCTGACTATTATGGTGGAAACCCTAATAATAACAATAATCTACAGCAGCTAGGGGCTCAACCCAATTCTCAGCCACAGTTTCAGTCTCAGTATCAGCCATATCCCCAGGTCAACCAGCAGATTATAAATCACTCCAATGCGAACTTATCACATCAGGTGGCAGCTCAATCTAGGCCAATGAACAGTTTTCCTGTGGTGTCTCAGAGTGGGCAGATGGTTTACCCTCCCCAGGTCAGCCAGCAGCAATATCATCAGCTTGATCCCTATGGAACTCAAAATAGTTATGGAATGGTTCATGGGTCATCTGATGCTCCTGTTCCATACAACCCATCTGTTGTTCAGCAGCCTCATAACCCTGTTCCAACGCCTAGTCATGCTCCAGTTGCTAATTATTTACCAACGCAGTCTGGAATTCCACAGTCAAGTGTGGATCACCAGAACCAGGCGGCGCAGTTGCAAGCTCAGCAGTCTGGAGCTGGTGTTCAAAGCACGTCGGAAACTGAAATTGACAAGAACCAACGGTACCAGTCGACATTGCAGTTTGCTGCTAACCTCCTCCTTCAAATACAACAGCAGCAGCAAACGAATGCTTCAGCTGCTCCTGGATCAGGAAATCAGCAATGACATTTCTCTCTTTATCTTGGTAAATACCCCTACTTGGTTACCTGTCTCTTTGATTTCCTGAAGTTACCAGCTCGTTGTCTCTCCTGTCTATGCTGCTATTATTTTTCTGTGCTCCGATTTTGTTCTTTTTGTTTTTCTCCTTGTAGTTCTCAAAGTGCGGTCTTGGATAGGACCTTAATTAGATTCAGTTAATTCTGGCTAGCGTTCTTGTGAGTTTCTTGGTAAATCACATAAGACTTTGAGAATACTATTTCTTGCACATCAGGGCGATTACAATTGCTCTCTTCGACAAGAGCTTGAACTGTAGTAATGCTTTAGTTACAAAACTACAATACTATTTGAAAGCATGGTAGGAAAAGTTTTACTGATTATGGTATTAGACTCTACCTTCTTGATATGGTATCCAACTTCTAGGGATTGATGTCTAACTTGTCTGCTTAAACTTGCTGTGCGAACTGATATGATTCCTTATTTCTGTCTTCTTTCTCTTCCTTCTTCTATTTGTTATTCGTGCGAGTTTTGGTCAGCACTTCTGAGATGCATACTATCCCTTTCCTGAATTTTGTTTCTTTGGTGCAAGTGTCGTTCATTTTTCTACCTTTGTGGCTTTGCTGGAGCTTCAGTTTGTAGATAGATCAGTGCTCATCGTATGTTTAGAGTTTAGGTGGTTAATCCTTTAACTGTAAGCACCCGATGTAGTTGTACTTATTGCTCGAGCTTGTTTTATGAAGAATTAAACATGTATTTGATGAACATTTGTGATGGTTTTCTTGCCTCTATAAACTTGACCCAGTATTGGTATTGCTGCTGAAAGCTGCACTTTTGAATGTCTTTATCCCAATAGTTCAAAACCAGCAGGAGTGTATTGCTTGATAAGAAATTCGGATCATTTTTTATTCTTCGTTGTGTTGTCTTCCCGTTTACTAGTCACTGACTTGGCATCTGCTTCCCGTTTATTAGTCACTGACCTTAGCATCTGCCTGCGCTTTTCATCTCCTCATATCCGAATCCATGCTGTGATTTCTGGTCATTCTGTGCCGATTCACCTTTCTATCATCCTCCAGTAGCATGAGTGAACTTTGGGTAGAGAGCTTTCAAGATTTTAGGCGCCGATATCATAAGGTCCAGAATGCCCGCAATAACGTAGTAAGTTGAGAGCATCCATGCTGAATTGCGTTTAGCTCTCGATATCTATTGCAACAGAATTTTTTATCCATGGCTGCCTCCTATATTTCGGTCTCCTGCATTTCCTTATTACCGTGGCTGCCTCCAGTTACATCGCGAATGCCTGAAACGATTCACTTGCATTCATTTCGTATCTAATCGGTTTAAGCTTGGGGACACATCTTCCCAGTTATTGAAATGAAGGGGGGGATCAAGCTTGTGCAAGCGCTGATGTATTCTCTTTCCGTTTCATGACTTTTGCAGAGCTGCTATGAGAAAAATTTTACCGCGCTTCTTCGAGGCACGAAACAAGGCGATTTCGAGCCACCCCTGCCTACCGCCTTGTCATCGCTCTCCCCTGGGGATCTACCATCCCTTCCGGCGAGCAATTTCCCAGTGTACAGATACCAGCACAGCAGTATCAGCCAGCAGGAGCTTTTCTGTGCTAGATGGAGTTGGCCGTGCTCTTTTTTTTCTTGCCTATCGGCCCTCGTTTCTTCCAAAAATCATAAAATTTTAGCATACGGGCCGAAGCTAGTTGGTAGAGTCGAGCTCGTAATGATCTCTCTTTCATAATTTTTGTATGATTGTATTGTTATTGTATGTTTAGCAGTGTACTATCTATTGTGACCCGACAAGGTTGAGTTGAGTGAGTGAACTATCCTTGCCTTCCTTTTTTCCTTGATACTCAACAAATCTACACGTAATTGGCTTCTTTCACATTAGCTGCCTCATTTGTATCTGCTCTTTCTTAACACAAAAACTCATTGACCGTGCTTTTTTACTAATTCGACCGAGTTTTTACTAAAATGTAACGAAAAAATGATCGAGTCGGTGCTTTTTTACTAATTATGATTAGGGATGGCAATCAAACCCATGGCCGCGGGTACCCGACCGCCCCCGACCCAGTCAACGCGGGGAATCCCCGCTTTGACCGGGTATGGGGCGGGTATGGGTAAAACCCGCAAAAAGTTTGATGGGTATGGGGCGGGTATGATTTTAGCCTCCCCCGCCCCATACCCATACCCATACCCGCCCCACCAAGAGAATTTCTTCACATATAAAAAAAATATGTGGATTAAATTGTAATCTATCAATGATGATGATGATAACTCGAGAAAATAAATAGTAGAAATGCAATTGAGTAACCACCTCAAACAAAACCTAATTCATTTCCCTCAATTCTCCTTCCACTCTTTCACTTTCCCCCTTGTCAACAAGATTATGTTAGTTAATTATTACTTAGTAAATGTATCAAGAGTTAGAGCATGATAATTTAAAAATATTATAGTCTATATTATGTATTAATGGATGTTTTAGGATCATATTCTTTGAATCGTATTTAGAAAATGACCGTGTTTTGTTGACTTCATGATATATAGGTTTATTTATGGTTATAATTAAAACTTTTCTTGTAAGTTTTAGGTATAATAATGTTGGATGTACGGGGATGGGTATTACCCATGGGTACCCGAAACCCACGGGTATGGGGATGGGTTTCCAAAACATTACCCCGCATGGGTATGGGGCGGGTATGGGTTTGGGTGTTTGAAGATGGGGATGGGGATGGTTTAGGCAAACCCGCCCCAAACCCGCCCCATTGCCATCCCTAATTATGATGGATAGTTGTGATTAAGGAGGCCCACGAACCTTTATCATAAGCCCACTTAATATAATACATACCAAATAATACCCAACAGCCCACCCAATCTACTTTTCATTTTGGATAAATACAAATTTAATATCCAAACCTTTTATTTTAAACAATATATTAGCCAAACCTTTTCGAAAACAATCTAATATCCAAATCGTCAACTTTTTGTCTGTTTGACCGTTAGTTGACACTTCAAAAAAGTTCGAAGTATGACACTTCATCAATATCTATCGATATCTTCTCTGAAAAACCACCAACATATCGTAGTTCCAGACCCGGGAAGTCTCTGACTCCACCATGATGGTATAGAATATCTAAATATTCAGTCATCTGCAATGTCAAAACAAGAAAACAAAGTTGTATTGTGACAATTTCCCCTAAACGAAGCTTTTTTGAAGTGTCAACTAACGGTCAAACGAACAGAAAGTTGACGATTTGGATATTAGATTGTTTTCGAAAAGGTTTGGCTACTATATTGTTTAAAATGAAAGGTTTGGATATTAAATTGTATTTACCCCTTCATTTTCTATCGAACCGTGCAGTTTTTCGTTGATTCTTGCAAAACGTCGTCGTTTCATCACTCTCGTGCCAATCTGCTGCCCACTTTCCCAGTTTCCCCTCGGCCCTCAGTCTCTGACTGACGTAAGGCAAACATCTCCCTCAGTCCCACTCTCCAGAGCTGCAGCAGCTGAGCTCAGCTCCCATCCGTCTCCGTTCTGCGATAAATTTCCAACATTTCCGCCCGTCGATCAGGCAGCGACGGCGAATACTCCGCTTCCAACAAGTAAGGCTCTTCTTCTTCTACTACTTTCCTTCCTCCTTGTGTTCTCTGTCTAATTACGGCGCGAATTCCTCTCTTCGCGGGGAAACATCACCACTTCCCTGATTTCGTGGTCTCGTTCGCTGGCGAAAATGCGGTGACTCCGGGCCGTGATCCGATTCGAGTGCGAGTTGGAATATGTCATCGCTTCCTTCCTTTTGTTCTCTGTTGGATGGAAATGGCGGTTCCGATTTTCTCCTGAATTGGGGGAAGAATTTGGGCTTTGCTTGCTTTCGTAGATTCTTCTGCGAGAGCTGCTTTTTCTTTCCCCTTTCGATGATAGAATTTGAAATACGGTCGTGTTCGCTTCACTTCCCCTATGGTTTAGCTGAGCTTTGTGATGGTGGTTGTGCTTTCCAGAGCAAATGCTGAAACTGTTTTTGTGGTATGTTGGCTATTGTTGTTTCTTTGTCACTATTCCTTCTTGTTGTGATCTTGCTATCGTGATTGCATTGGACCACATAAAACAAGCTGCCAATGCTTGTAAATGTTCTTCCACAAGTAGAAAAGAAGCAGAAATGTGACTGGAAAACCAACTATGAAATGATTTTTGTTTGCGCTGGATGCTTCGGGTTAAGCTTTAGTTGCTTGACCAGAATATTATCATGTTGCTTGCAGGTTTAACTTGAACCGTTTAAACCAAAGGACGGAGTTAACTCTCCGGTCAATTTTTCCAATTGAACCCTGATTTCTATGGTTTCGTCCACTATGTCGTCTTCATCCACAGCTACAGTTTGCTCCACCATGTTGTCTTCATCCATGGTGGTTGTCCCCCATTGTTCCTCCAACCTTATGCCTTTTTCTCCCCTGAAGTCTCGACAGAGGATGCCACTGATAAGGGCTATGAGTTCAGACACAGGACACGACCAGCCTCTTACATCTTCCAGTACTAAAAGCCCACTGTCAGTTGTTTTGGAGGTCCCCAAAACTCTGTGGAGACAAACACTTAAACCGCTAAGTGATTTCGGGTTTGGTAGGAGGAGCATTTGGGAAGGTGGGGTGGGATTGTTTCTTGTATCAGGTGCAGTGCTTCTCGCACTCAGTTTGGCTTGGTTGAGAGGGTTTCAGCTTCGGTCTAAATTCAGGAAGTACCAGGCTGTATTGGAGTTTTCTCAGGCTTACGGTATTTGCACTGGGACACCTGTTAGGATTAGAGGGGTGACTGTTGGCAATGTTGTTAAAGTTAACCCTTCCTTGAGAAGTATCGAAGCAGTAGTGGAGGTGTGTTGGCTCGGAAGTCGCTTCCATGCTGATAAGATTTTACTTTTCTTTATTTGCCTGATTGATTATGTCATCTCCATTTGTGTTGCAGGTTGAAGACGATAAAATAATCATACCGAGGAATTCACTGGTTGAGGTTAATCAGTCTGGTCTCCTTATGGAAACCATGATCGATATTACCCCTCGTGACCCTATTCCAACACCCTTAAAAGGACCTCTTGATTCTGACTGTGTCAAAGAAGGCCTTATTGTTTGTGATAGACAGAGGTTAAAGGGACATCAAGGAGTAAGTTTGGATGCACTGGTCGGGATATACACTCGTATTGGACGTGAGATGGAAGAAATCGGCGTTGCCAATACTTTTTCACTGGCTGAGCGTGTGGCTGCTGTTATTGAAGAGGCACAACCACTGCTTGTAAAGGCATGGACTGCCCTTCTTATCTCTTATCCTACCCTTGGATGTATTTAAAGCTTAGATATATAATAATGCACACTTTTGTTCTGATGTAGTGATGTCTCAGATCAAAGCCATGGCAGAAGATGTCAAGCCTTTGTTGGCTGAAGTCCGTGAAACCGGCCTGGTGAAGGAAGTTGAGGCTTTAACTAGAAGCCTTAATCAAGCTTCTGACGATTTAAGGTGAATTAAGCTGACATGTTTTCATCTCGCTAGTAAGACATCTGATGTGCATGTTTGGGGCGTAGTTTACTATTGGCATAGCAGTCTCTTGCTCTGGCTTGTGCCATACATTATCTTTTCCTAATAAGTGACTGTTAGTTACTAGTATATAATCACGCCAGGTAAGGATCAAAATGTGCTGGTAAACTGTTGCTCTTTTTGATTGATGAGTAAAAAATGGAGTCGATAGTCACTGATACTCGATATGCATTGGCATAGAGTCAAGTATTTCAGACCAATTGCCACTTTGATGACCTACTGTAAGCTTACAAGCTTCTGTTTCTGCAGAAAGGCGCATACGTCAATTTTAACGCCTGAGAACACCGAGTTAATTCAAAGATCAATTTATAGCCTCATTTTCACTTTGAAGAACGTTGAGGTAAGTTCGGAAACCTGGACCCTTTGGCGCGAAATCACCTAGATCCTCGTGTTTAATCTTCTAATCTCTGCTCCCGATTTCCCTTCAACTCATCAGAACATAAGCTCTGACATTCTGGGATTCACTGGCGACGAGGCAACTAGGCGAAATTTGAAAGCACTTATCAAGTCCCTCAGTAGGTTGCTGTGAAATCATAAAGTGCCAGTGCAAGAACTGCTGTTCCATTGACCGAGCGAGTATGAGAGGAATGCAATCTGATTCCGGCCCATATAGGTTCTCTTTCTTTCTTTCGATTCCCTCTGGTTTTGCGATTCTAGCTAGTGCTAAAGCTGTAACTACTTAATTAATTTTTACTGGTGGTAGTTTTGTTAAGTCATTGATCTTCTTTAAAGTCCGAAGAAATGGACGTTCTCATAGCTACATTTACATCAGTACTACGTCAAATTGCCAACCCCATAAAGTTATGGTCGAGACAAGCATTTCTCACGATGAAGTCATCTTCGTGTACATTCTCTTTTGGGGTCGAACGAGACGATTGGATCAATTGTCTCATTTCATAGAATGAGCAATTTATAACCAGTCAATTCGTATTAAAGATGACGTGGAGAAGACTCATGGGAGCAATAAAAGAAGAGCTCAGTTTTGGTATCTAACACCATTTTTACCAGCTGTGTATTATTTTTTTCAGAGCGGATGAACTGTACAAAAGAGCTGCGAGTCTGTCAATGAACTCGATAAAAAGGGGGGGATCGATTTGTAAAGTTCCCCAGGAGGGTGGGAGGGTATATCGAATTCATTGAGAAACCTCACCCATAAGAAATAAAATTAGGAACCCTTATGTGAGAGCTGTGTAGGTTAGGAAGTTTCGGCCGATCAGACGCTAGTCGATTCATTGTTGTTACCTGGACGAAATCTGGCCATTTGTTCGTTCTCTGCAGCTTAGGGCTGGAGATATAGGTAAGCTAGGCATCAGGGGTCTCTCATTGCCGCTTCTTCTGGTAAAGTGAGTACCCTACAAGGGCAGACATCAGGAAAGTCCATAAGACCTGCCAGCCAAGCGAAGAGGATATTGTTATTAATCCGTTATGTACGTTTCCCTCGGGGTAATTCACGAGCGGATTCGAAATGTGCGTGACTGATGATGAATGTGATTACCGTGTTGATTATGTTCCATCTTTCTAGCCTCTTGATTCTTGACTGCATGTCTTCAATAACAGTTTCGATTGGAGCCGCTGCATCCCTATATGGGGATGACTCTGAAGCTGTACTGGTGTTGCTTCCCTGTCAGTTTACAAGTACAACCGATGGAGCATAGTGAGCAGACAATTTACAGCGGAAAGAAAAGAACACCAACACGAGAAATGGAAGGAAAGACTTAATTGACCGGATCTACTCGATTAATGCACAACTTCATGGACAGATAAATACCACAACGCCTTACTACAAACCTGAGACTGTATGAATTCAACTAACTCCTGCAATCTTGAAGCTTGGTGACTGTGGACACCATTGGAACTTTGATCGGCCGGAAGATTTTCTAGCACAATTTGGAGATAACTCTGCAAGTAAAAAGCATATAAGCAAAACAAGGTGAAAGAAAGGCCAATGGCTAAACACGAAGGAGAAGTAGATTTGACAGAGACTAGTGGGAAAACCTTAGTAGTATATGAACCATCGAGCTTAAGGGTTGAGCCGGCAGCAGCGACCACTTCTTTGTTAACCCCTTTTATTTGTAGGTAAGGACTTGGAGCATCTTGTAGGTGATCGACCTCAATAAGAATCTGGAAAAAAACGAGTGGAGAAAGCAAGACGTAAATAACCACCATATATTAAGAGGGTGCAAGACACCATCTTGCTGTGTGAGAATGTGGAGAGAATATGTCGGTGTGTGAAAGAAACGAAAGAGACCAGGCAAGAAGAAATGAATGAATAAGTTCATAGAAGTGAGACCTTTCCATCTTGGTATATAAATGCAGACGCTTCAATATAAGCTACAGCTTGGTACCTGAAGCAAACAAAGTATTTCAGTGAACGAAGGCGAAACTTAAGGAAGAACGTTCACACAAGGAAAGCTATTTTTTAAGAATAGTAATAGTAAATTATAGAGAATGCTCCAGGAAGTAGAAGTACTAGGTAATCTTCCTATATCATCCATTCCAGTTGTGTTGGAACCAAATAATGTGTACGACAATCATTAGTTCACAACCCTATAAACAGGAAAATAACAAAGGAGACCTTATCATAACTTAAGCTTCCTTCGATAGGGAACAAAAATAAGTTTGCAAGGAAAACGAAGCAAGGCAGCGAGGCAAACTCATGCTTACCCAAGATTGAGAAGGCCTGCAACAGTACTAATGCTAATATCAAAATCCACTTTGGGTTGGATGATAAAATTCCCTTCTCTAATGGGCTGTCACAAAGATTAATCAATTAAAACAAGAAATATAGGACATACTTCAGAAATCAGATCGACTGAGCTAGGAAAGACTGCTTCATGTTAGGATGACCACAGAATCGTTTCTAAAAGTGCAAAAAAATCACAAACACACCTCTCTTATCAACAATGCAAATCTTCCTTCGCAAATTCTAACGCGTACACATTCACCCTCAGTCAGCATCCCATTACTTGGAATTCCAGGAAGCCTTAAATATATATCAATGAAATTCTGAATAGAACTGAAGAACTTTGCCGGTTCGAGAATTTTCATTATATCTTGGTAGCTGACCTGTTCCGTTGCAAAGAAGAAACAGATTTCAACTGAAATCCTAATGAGCATATTGTTGACATAACTTAGAGACTTACTTGTTTATTACTCTTCAGAACAAACAATGAGCTCTCTGGTGAAAGCACAGGGTCAAAATCATTCCTTATTTTCAGCTGAAATGAGGACATTATGATGCCAGAGTTAAGCATATGTGAGCTCAGCATTGGAAATGTCTGCAAATATGAAAAAAGTCGGGAGGATATGTTTTCTGTATACTGACATGTGCATGAACAAGATGAGGTTCGATATACTGCTGGAACATTGGGAACACTGCCATCATGATCTCATTTTGCGACATAAAACACCCGACTTTGCTTTTGTCTCTCTGAACTCGAGAGATGAGATGCGAATTGACACCCCCAATCTGGAAACCAAAGGAAGGTAAAATTCACATGAGCCACTGAAACGCTACACTGTCAGTTTCATGCAGATATGTAGGCAGGGGAAAACAGATACATATAAAGAGCAATTAGCCATCTTACAACAGCAATCCACAAGTCCAACGACTTCCTTATCTCAGGATGCAATGCATAGACCCCTTCAAAGATGACCTGCCAAAGTGGAGCCTGTTAGAAATAATATAAGCAATATTGCAGGTCTAACCATTAGCATCAAAGCAGGCCAATTGAACCTGCCAAAAATCATTTCATCAATCACTAGCTTCCACTAACTATTAGCCTTCAGCCCTTCACACTCAGCTATCCTAATTAGTCTACTATGATTTTTGTATTAGTACTAAAAAGAAAACTTTCCACACACTAAATTCAGGTAGCAAATAGCACAAGTCCACACAACAAATGACAGCATACTCGTTCGATAAAACATACAAATCTCAGATAATAACAAGAATAATAATAAATGAAGAAACAATAGACTCTTATTAATTCCAATCCTAATTTATTTAATTCAACTAAGTTTGATTTCCAGGAATACAAGATGGATGCTTCACCCGATAAAATACACAGAAGGAGATCAGGTTTCTAACTAGTAAGAATTTAAATAAACAGTAAATGCTCTCCATAAAACTAAAGGATTCATCATAAAATAAAGTAAAGATTACAGAAGGAAAAACGAAAGATAAAAACAGAATCGATTAGGGGAAGGACAAACCACGCCACAATCTTCAGATACTTCAAGGTCTTTGAATCCACTACGGGCACCAGTCTCCAAATCAAATATGGGTACTGTTGTTTTTTGGCCATTGCTTATGTCATCAATGTTCTGAAAAGAGTTTAGCAACAGTGAATAACCAAACGTGCACAAGCATTAATGACACATTTTTGTGAAATATCCAAGCGGGCTAGTGAACATTATATTTTATGACTCATACCTTCAAAAGCAGAGGTAGATCAAGGGAGTTAAAATCATCATATTTAAAATCCTTAACATGTTCAGATATGAAATAGCTTTCAAGCGATACTACTTCACAGCCAACAATATTTGCCATTTTATGAGCCAAGCTAGTTTTCCCAGATCCACTAGGACCACCTGCAGCAAGAAGAATCAACAAAATGAAAAGCGGGAGAAAGTAAAGATGACAAATAACAAACTTTACAGCACTCAAATCAGAAGAGAGGGCGAGAACAGATAGGGGACCACAGAGAATTATCAAAAGCAGTCAACAACATGAATGTATTACCAATTCCAACGATGACTGGGGTTCCCATATTCTCCAACAAAGCCTGAAACAATGACAAATAATACGTTCAGCTTACATAATCACATGTGTTTAACCTTTTCAAACTGAAGTTGCATAACCTATATCAGGTTCTATGTCTAATTATTGCATTATTTAACACTTTGCACCTGTATTGCTTGAACAGCAAGAAGCAACCCTCTGTCCAAGTCATATGAGTCCGGCATTGGAGCAAGCTTCATCATTTTCCTGAAAGAGGAGGAATCTGTGGTTGCTTCATGAGAGAAGTCTAAACAAGAAGGTGATAATTATGATTCCGCATTTAGCTGTAACAGTTAAGCAAGTAGGGGACATTTGGGAGGAAGACACAAAGAAAGATCAAGAGATTATGGATGAAAGAAGAAGAAGAAGAAAGACTTACCTACTCCTGGTTGACTAGAATGAAGAGGATCACTTGATATGAAGTGCCATGTTGCTATCACAGGTTCCATTTGAGATTTGGTTGGGGACCGTGTCCATGGTTGAGATAGATCCTCAAGACGATTAACGAGGTTTGGAGTGGTACGAATTGGCTTTGGCGCTACAATCGTCCTTTCCTGCCCGCTAGTTGTAGCAGTGGCAGATAATGGTGGCGGAGTATTCAACCGAGGTACACCTGCAAGTTGAGCCAACTAGTTGGAGAGAACAATAATTTATTGTCTAAATTAATGATACAGACACTTGTATCTATGAACATGGACCATAAAAAGATCAATCCACCTTTTCTCTCAAGAATCATTTCAAGATATGACTTAGTGATCCACGGTCCATTAACACCAATTTTCAGCGCTTCTGCTCCAACAGCCTACAGAAAACAAGAGTGAAAAACCCATAAACCAATTTGAACAGTAGTATTCTCAATGCAAGCACGAGGGGCATCTGAAATTCCCCTTAAAAACGGCATCACAAATCCAACGGATGGTGATGATGCCATGATAGAGATAGAATATTGAATACTTCTTGCTGTATATCTAAGGGGGTAATTTTTCCTTAACAAACCAACACATTTCCGAAGTTAAGGACTACTCAATAGATCTTGAAACCACAGGGACTAAACATAGATTTCTCAGGAGTCAGGACTCTGTAGCACTTTCCTAAATAAATGAAATCAACTCAATATTAAATCAGAAAGGAATTGTTCATACCTTCCTAGTAGTTCCTCGCAAGACAAAGAATGTCTCACCAAGAGAATCAATAGTCTCCAGTGATATTGAAAGAAAGCCATTAGTAACAGATGTCGATGCTCGTTTATAACTGACAACAACATTGTACCCCAAATCCAGCAATCCACCAAGGGTCATTCTTCCAACCTGCACGACGATAGGAAATCAGTTATGTAAAAGGTCTAAAACCCAAGGTTACCTGAAGATGAATGGAATTTCCGATCGATGTTCAATAAAAGTTTCCCATGGTGAGAGAGCATGAAACAATCAGAAACAATTTTAAGCAAAGGAATAACGTAGATTCAGTATTCAGCATTGAAGAAAGGTGATTAACCGTTTCGTCCCACATAACAAACAGGTGGGCATTAATTCTTCCAATAATTTTCTGAGAATAAATTTGGAAGTCTCAAGAAAAGGGCAATTGGAAGAAAATTCAAAAACCTTATCTAGCATTTTCCTCGTATAACATAAAAATGTGTGAAACATCCAAGGTAAAACTAGTGGTTGAGTGCCATCGAAAATCTATGATAGATTTTCACATCATAACCCAGGGAGACTAACCTCAAACTCAGCTTTAGGCCGGATAATGAAGTTTTTGTCAACAATCCTCTGATCTCCAAGAGACAGATAGTATCTAATACCAGACTGTCGCACTTTAATCCAATCATTTACGTGGGCTTCTTCACTTGCTGCAGGAGGCCTAAGGTACATCTCTATGAAACTACAAGGCACAAAAATACCAAACAGAGTAAGTTTGAAAGAGACTAAGAGTACTCAAATTAATCAACATCTGCAAGTAAGCCAGTGCTATGAATAAACACGTACTTGTCTGTTTGTGTTTCAGTTCCGTGAAATGCATAAGCAGATGCACCTGATGACTGTGACAAGAAATTAAAATTAAATATCTTTGATTGGTGTATTATGCTACAATTGAAAAGTAAAATGATTTTGGCCTCAAGTTTCAGATGAAGAAGCAGTCCACTAGGTCACGAGCACAAAAACTAAAGCTAGATAAAATATGGCAGATGCAATCTGTATAAGTGATGAAAACAACCTCACTTCTACACTTCAGCTTGTAGATTGCTTCTCGAAATGACGAGACAAAACTGTTGTTTATCCGAATCTGCAGAGAACCAGAAACACAATCAGAACATAAGAGAAGTACAAGCATACACATGATTAAGTTTTAGAATACAAAGGCACCAACCTGTGCATGATGAAGATCTGGTTCTATATGCTTTCTGAACATTGGGAAAATGCTGTCAATAAGGTAATCCAACGAGCAAGAATCTCCAATATCATAGCGAACCTTGGAAAGAAGACTAAAATGAACTCCACCAACCTGATAAAAAGGAAAGTTGATTCACGTTGACAAAACATTAAAAGGACTAATCCATCGAAATCCCTCTAAATGTTCTGGCAGACTAGAGTAATACATACCACAGCCACCCGGATATCCAGTAGAGACCGCAATCTTGCATGTAGAGCATAAGTACCATCAACTATTACCTAGAAACAATATGTTAGCCGGCAAAATCCTGACTTCATCACCCCATTCTTCCAGTTAATCAGAAGGAACTTACCACACCAGATGCAGTACTCTTTATTGCTTTTGAACCAACCCGCTTTTTTCGTTGATAATCAAACAAAGGTATGAAAGTGTCCTTCCCCAGCGTCAAATCCTAATGTTCAACATGTAACACAAGTTCAGCAAACACTGAAAACTCAACAGGCCAGAAAAAAAATCCGGTATGACATGCAATAAGAAAGCAGCACAACATAATTAAAACCGAAGATAGAACGATACAATGCGCACCTCCAGGTTATGAACCAATGCGTCAAAATCGATAGCATCCACACCATTCGCATCATCAACTTCATTCCGGTAATTCTCCATCGATACAACAATACACCCTATGACGGACGCCACCTTTTCAGCTAAGCTTTAGCACCAACAAGCAAACATAACAGAAAGAAAAACAATCAAACTAGCATCATACCACTTCTCTACGAACAACCTACTATCTCCCGGAGAGAAATCGTAATTTAAACTTACCTCGACTTGCCGGAACCACTAGGACCGCCGATACCGACAGTAACTACACCGCCTTTCTTCTCCCGAAGTTCTTGAACCGATTTCACAAGCAAGTAATATCCATGATCGAAGGACTGCAGCCAAACGAGAGACAATTCAAATAAATCAAACATCAAACGAACTACTCATCTCGCCTTCGAGCTCCCGCAAATGACAGAGAAGAAGAAGCATACCACATGGAGAGGGAGGGATTGAAGTATGGAGGAGGAAGACGAAGAAGTCGTAGGAGACTGTCTGAGAAACTCGCGGCCTCCTTCCTGGAGCACTCGCTGAACCACCTCGTCGTCCATTTCCACGAGAGGAAAACTCCGCGGCAACGATCGCAGAGTCTTCTTCTCCGGACGGTCAGCACAGTTTCTTGTTGAGCAACCAGTTGAAGGAAGCACAAAATGAAAACCGCTTTTCACTGTTTCTCTTTTCTCGATTCGATCAAACAGATGAAATTATCCCGAGAACATTGCTGAGATGGTCACTAAAGTGGAAGACTTATTCTGATTAGGCCACTTAATTACTAGATTCTTCTTCTTAGGTCCGACTATTTTCGCTCCAAGTCAAGTACATTTCTTTTTCTGCGGAATTTGTTCCCACCTTTTCTTTTCTTCTCCTTGAATTCAAGTTGAAGTATGTTATGCAAAGAAGTTAAATTTTTCTTACTTTTATGGTATAGGTGTTCAAACGGATTGGTTACCATGGTAACCAATCCGTTTGAACACCTATACCATAAAAGTAAGAAAAAATGGTAACCATATTAACCAGTAGTATTCGGTTAATTTGGTTTGGTTAATTTGGATATTTGGTTTGATTTGGTTAAACAATTTATCTTATTTGGTTTAGGTGGTTTGGTTTCAACACTGCTAACCAATGAAACCAATTAACCAATTAATGATACACCTAATATACAAAATTATTTATACTTCCATGCAACTAACCAAACCAAACTTTCGTGATTCCCTATTTTATTTCCATGTGCACAACAAACCAAAACATTACGGGTCAAAAATTAAATGGGTCTGCCTATTTACTAAACCAAAACATTTGGGACAGCTACTAAACTTTAGGATTACGTACAATATAATGTTTTCATGTAATGTTATGTTATTTGGTTAATCCAATTATCCGATTAACCAAACCAATTAAACTTTTTGGTTAATTTGGTTTTCGTGTTCATTTTTGGACGGTTTGGTTAAGACATTTTATTCCATGGTTAATGAAATTTAGGCTTAATTGGTTTGGTTATTACCATGGTAACCATTTGAACACCCCTACTTTTATGTTTAAATAAACTCTAGTAATAATAAATACATTAAGAGATTTCCTAAAAATTTACACGTATAAATAAATTACATAATAAGAGATGAGAAAGGATGATTAAAGTACAGAGCTCTAGGAATACAACACATCCTCTTAAAATCATATGTTGTCTTCTCCATTAGCATAGTCAAGAATATAATACAGTGTAGTCCAACGATTACTCAGACGTCGGTGCATATCAATGGTAAAACGTTTGAGATGGGAGGGTATGGTCTATCATTTGAGACTTTCCTTACCAACCCTTAAGAGTATATCTTTTCTTCATGAATTTGATATCCAAATTCCAACTTTGATGTATTTAAACCAGTTCTATCATTTGTTATGAGTGTCAAATCCATCCGTAAAAAAAATCACTAACAATTTATTTACATTTTAAGCATCTCTAGAACTTGTTCGGTAAAGTAGTTACTTTTAACTTCAATCCCCCAACGTTATACCATTCATTTCCATTTAGCTTTTGTAGCCTCGTTGGTTAGAAGAGAGCAACTTGTACACGCACAATTCAAACAAACCTTGCACGTAATAGCTTTTATATTGATGCACTATACTCCACTTCCCTCGAGATATGAAGTGAAAGATCAGCTTTTCCTATTTCTTTTCATCAAAGCTACAGCCTACACAGTTTCTGCGCCATCAAAATTGCACCTTTCATTGTACAAAATTTACCCTCTTATAAAAGGGCATCTCTCTCTGTTTTTATGAACTTGGATGGGCGATGAAACTTGGACTGGAGCTTATGGGCCGAGTTGGGTCACTGGAGTAGTGGGTTGGGCTTGATTGGAGCCCAAAGATCTGCTCCGTTGCTACTAGCCACTCCGGCTGTTGAAGAGACTGGAACAAGGAACAGTCCTCTGCTTCTCAGACTGTATTCATCCAAACCCTGTTAAGGAAACCAATTATTATTGTGTTTAATTGAGCTGGTAAATTTAAGTCAAAATGGCATCTCATTCATATGTTCAAGTGCAGAAGAGATTCGAAACAAACACGGTGCTAGTCATGCATTTGGACATCAGAAACTTGCTGGACAAACAATTAAAATGGATGTCCCAAGTCAAAAGACGATCTCCTATACTAGCATTCACAAGTCTGGAGAGGTTTGGGTTGGTTCAAGTTGATCGAAATTCAAGCACAAAGGCGGTTACCTGGGTATAAATTGGAGGTGTAGCTTGCAGATATGGAGCACTCAACACATTAACTTGTTCATGGAGGAAATGAATGTATTGCATGGCCTCCAAAAGCACTGATGCTGTATCCGTCTGCATTGAGAAAGACGCGGATGGTAAGTCAGCTATCCTGGCAAGTTCCGAAGGATCCATCCACACATGAAGAACATACTGGTTACCAGAGAATCAATGGTTGCATGTACCTTTCCATATGGTGAAACAAGCTGCTGCAGAATTACAATCCTTTCACCAAACTTCTCTTTCTGGTCCTGTATTAGTCATGCAAAAAGAGAAGACAAGCCGTTAGTTGGCCATATATTTCAGAAGCAAAGAGCTTCAGCAATTTGAAAGAGATTACTAAGTATTCATTTAAAGGGTACTTGTCAACATCGAAAATGCTTAAGGACTCCATCCAAACAACAGCTAGAATCATCAATTTTTCATGTAGCATTTTATACCATCCATTTTCCATTCTTCAAGTTGGGAAATCCAATATAAGTTAAAATGGGAGAAACAAGGGGAAACCTTGATTGGGGGGCCAGCCTTGTGCCTTTTGGTTGATAGAGAAGTGATGTTCCCTTGGTCAAGAAAGCAAGGACTTCTTTTGTTTTCCATCATCTTTTCTCTAAGTATGAATGCCTTATTCCTCCCTGCTTTATACCACGAAAGACATCATCAATGGAAAAAGGGATTGATGCAGAAGCAGACAAATTGTAGTTAGCTAGTTAAATAGTAAGGGTCATGTAAGGTTAAACAAAGCCATTTACAGAGAGCAAAGTGTGCATGCAAGTACAACCTACTAGTTTCAACAAGTAATCAACTTATTAGGATAAGATCATTAATGCAAGCCAAACGTATTGTACTCTTCTTCTTACCATCAAAAGGAAAACAGTCATTTTCCTGCTACAAAGGATGAGAATGAACGACATTCCCTTCACAGCATGAAGGCCACTTTCAGAGGAAAGAATAGCTTACTTGCATATGTTGATACCAAACCCGATATATAAACCACATTCTTCTTCACTACTTTCTAGTTTAGACAATGAATGTATGCCATTACCATCTTCAAAGTATAAAACAAGTCGCCATTCATTAATAATCACTTTCATTTCTCTTTTCATTATTAATAAGACATGCAAACTTCCAAATTAGAGTGGTACGAGTTAGGTGATCCTTTGGACTCAAGGAAACGAAGCATCAATCCAACGCGGATAACAGGTGGTAGGAAAACTACTCCTAAGACACTATTAGTCGTGTGGGAAAACAATGGCGACGTTCAAAAGGAAACAGACAATTGGTGGTTGACCAATCAATCCTATTGGGAATCGATTTTTGATCTCACCAGAAACAAGCCAAGAAAGGGAAAGCAAGCAAGCAACCACCCTGACCTACTAATTGCCAGACCTATATGTCATCATCATATAATATTCACATGCTTTTACTAAAGGGTGTCCTTTTCTACTCTTTAAGTTTTGACAATATAGCACATACAGCTGTAAATGTGTGAAACCTGCCTAATCAAATTATGAGAAAGGGGGGGAAAACAACTACGTTCACATATCTCAATCTGGCCACATATATGATGGTACACAACCCTACTGCTGAAGACATGGCCAAACAGTAAAGTAGCCGACTTTCGGGTTATTTCGATTTTCGACCCCGGTTTCGAATCCCAGCCATGGATGTCGATTTTTTTTTTTTTTTTGTTATGTGGGTATTTGTTTGGAATATAACTTGTAACAACCCTTTCAACATATAAGAACAACATGTCACAATTATGGCCACAGTACTATACTAGGAGACAAGAGTAGTTGTTTGATGTTAATAATAGTTTAATAGCAAGCCCATCACGAGAAAACGTTGGTATTCGACTGAAATGTAGTCTAAATTCTCTGTAGGGAAGAAAAACAACAAGGCCAAAGGGGCAGAAATTTCTTGTGAAAGAATCAAAGGCAGAGACAATTTGATGGGTCGTGTACCCACCGTTCACATTGGAATTCAATAAACACACCCATATTGGTTGAGTGATTATAAATTCATAACATCGGATTTTGAGCTCGAAAATCCCGATTTAAAGATTCGTAACACGCATTAATATACGATTGCTAGCATATAGCATTTTAAAATTTTAATAAACTAGTTAATCCGTTACCTAAAAAATTAATGAATAAAACTAAAATTATTAAACTAATCATGACAATTTAAAAATAGCGATGATTTTTCTTGGCCTTGGTCGTGTTTGGGTCCCTGCGGCGGGAAACCATGCAACTAAAGTATAATCATGAAAAGAAAGCTACTAATTAAGCTAAGCCGATTTCGCATTAATTAACTTAAAAGTAATTAAGCGGGAACGATATCAGATGAGGGAGGGGAAGACTCACCGGAGATTTCAGCATTCACCGCGCAGAAAGATCCCGCCGGGGAAGATTGTATCGGATGATCGCCGTCGCTCGATTTCTGTCTCCAGTGAATAGTCTTCACTTTAGCACGCCGCGGCCAAACGCGAAGCAGACCGACTTTACTTTACTTCACTTTACTTCCTCCTTCGTCAGCTGCTGCTTCGGCTGAATGCTTCTTCCTCAGCTGGTCTATCGGAGGCACGAAGCTTTCTCCGGTGATGTCCAACGGAAGAAATTACAGAGCAGAAGAAAACGCGCGCGCGCGAAATGAAGAGACGGAGGAGAGTGAGGGTTTTTGAGGTGGAGCGGAGGGGTTTTTCTGTATTTATGGAGAAGGGGGAAAGGGAAGAAATGGTGTAAGAATAAGCTGTTTTGTTTTTTTTTCTTTCAGGGGGGATAATTTTGTATTTTGTTGTGTTTGGATTTGATTGGTTTCATGGAAGAAAAAAAGAAATTGGGAGCTTTGACAGCTAATTTCCAGCGGGAGAAGTGGATGTCTAAGTGACGTTGGATCATTTGGAAGCATTTTCAGGGTTGTTTTGTTTGGCATGGGGGCAATTTGGATATGTAGTTCAGCATAGTGTTACACGCATCGATCGAGCTTAGTTATTAGACGTACGCGATGATATCTTTTCCATTTGCACGAGGAATTCGAGTTCATGAGACTATGCTAACCAACAGCTTCATAGCGCGTCTTAATTAGAGATCAACTCTTGGTTAATCCCGCAACCACGGAGGGTGGTTTGCTAGTAAGTTATATAGTCATTTGTAAGGATCGAGTCGAAACGATAATATACAATCCATATGATCGAGAGTTCAGCTTCCTTCAAGCCACAATGGTCCTTTGCATACATATTGCGACATAGATGTTGCCCGCAGCACTTGTCTAAACTACAAATGAAAACGAGATTTTCTTCGTAGTGCATTTTTACAAGCCTTCCCGTGCTGCCTCTATGGAATGGCTATCATTTCCCTCCGTAGAGAAAAAGAACAATGATCATCAAAACGATTGTAAGAAGAAATATCGATGTCAATCTCTTATCGGGGTCTATTTGGAGGATTGAGACTCGCGCTTAATCAAAAGTAAATTAGTATTAGAAGAAGAAGAAGAAGGAAAAAAACATGCCAAGAACACAAGAGGGATATGGCGTGGTGTCGAGAAAGGAAGTATCGTGCCCTGCTCTACGATATGTACGGAGGTAAGCCAGCAAAGTCGAGTCGAAATTGCCTTTCTACTACACTAAAGGAGCAATGAGAATAATTAGCATCCTAATTAACCAACTACAGCCATTCGATGGATGAAATCATGCATTATTTACCAAACTACAACGATGCTTATTCGAAGTTGCTGCACTGCTTCTTTCTTATGTTCTGGCAATTTCACATTACATGAACCACTTCCCTAACATTCATACAATGCACCAAACACAAGGACAAGGGAGATCAATCTGGGATCGAAATCCATGGATTTTTTTTTTGTAATGTTGGCCTCATTCAAACTCAGGGCGTGACAGATATTTTCAACAAATATCACCACTAAAATGAATCGACCCCAGAGACAGTATATGATATAAACAACAATTACCTTTAATCAAGAGCGAAAAGGCGCTCTCAACCTGTAGATACAAAAGAGGAGAAGAGAAAACAAAGAGTGAAGGAAGTCTTTTGAGATCCAAAACCAAAAACAGACACACACCACCTACTTTCCTCTTCAGGAAGACAAGGGTGCAGTGACATTTTTTCTTCTGTTACAACATCCGGGCTACATGAACCATCCACCATCAGGAAAAAGACGGTGTTGGAGTATGAAGCGAGAAAGCCCTTGTACAACATAGCACCCCAGGCATTTAAAAAAAACAAAAGGTAAAAAGCTTACTTACAATGCTTGGTGCCGAAAGGAGCATTGGGATGTGATGTGAGAGTGTAAAAATCATAATCAGTTTCCTTCTTGTGTTGCAGCGGGCACAGCAGACGACGGATGCAGATCACTAGTATCCGAGTCTTTGCACGTGTGCGAAGTGATGTACGAACGAGCCACCGTCAACATAACATCCACCTCTTTCTTGTACTGCATGTCATCATCATAGTTGAAAATCAGATGGATCATTTCAAACATGTTCAAGATGTGAAGCAAACTAAGAATTCAACCACGTAGTTGTGGTAGTTAAAACTCGTAACAATAGCAAATGGGCAGGAAGAAGCTAGAGAGCTCAATCAAGATCAAACCCAACCTCGTTTATGGCTCCTGCCTTGATTTTAGACTGCATAACGCACCATTTCTTGAAATGTGCTCCTGCGAGAAAAACGTTATTTCAGAGTTATAAGCCTTCGTTCTCACAAAAGAAAAAGAATCACACGGTAGACAGCACATAGCCAACAGTTTTGAGGAGATCAGATGCTATTAATTTGTGCCTAGAAAAAAAATGTGGAAACTGAACCTTAGGATGGAAGACAAATTTACTAAAGTAAACGGTGAAAGATCAAAACGCATTTGATTCATGCTACAGACCAAGAGAAAAACAGGATTTATGCGGACAAATATATAAATGCGTACTTATTAGGAGCTAATACTTGCACCTTCTCGAGATGGCTATGAACTAGACAAGGAGAAACTGAAACCTACCAACTTTAATATCAATAGTGGAAGAACTTTCGGCATTGGACTCAATTTTCCAGCAGCAATGAACCTGAAGAGCCATCACCATAAGAAGTTACATACTTGCATGAGAAATACATCAAGAAGAAACTAAAACAAATGCGAAAAACACTCCTATCAAGCATCACTGGACTATGCTGCTAAAATCTCCAGAAAGTAACAGTCCAAAGATGCATTTGGGGACTAAGCAAGCTAAAGGAAATTATGTTTGGTGAGTTTTGAACAAATGGAATCTGCTTTCCTTCCTTGACTTCACATGTTCAAAGTTCACATATAAATATCAAGGGAAAGAAAGCAAAGGGAAAAGCCTGAACCAGTGAAATTTTGATTCATCGAACGAGCTACTGTCGGATATGCAATTAATCATACTCTTCGTAACATACAACAGGCTAGTGATTCAACTGCTTCTGAAGTAAAATGTTCATGCAGTATGTACCTCAAAATAAGATCCGAAAGGTACGTCGTGTGCCTGTTGCACTGTTTCAAATACCTGAACGGGAACAACGTATAAAAAGTCAACACAAAAGTGAAGACAGAAAATGCTGCACAAAGATCATATTATTTAATATTTTCCAACAGTGAACACAAGTCAAAACAGCAGCCTAGAAGAAGAACAAAGCAGTTAGCGACGGCTAAATAAGAGAAAGGAAATGAAGTCGAACCAGGATTTTCTTGTCTGGTGATAAAACAAAATGCTGATATTCCGTCATGGCTGTATCTGGTGGGCACATAGGACTATTACATACGGATCTGAATGTTAATTCTCGCACTTGACCATCATATTCATCAGCTGGATGCCATGGTCCAATCTACAGAACATTCATCAGAAAAAGATACAATAAGTTGGTGAATATATCTCCAGGGTGTAGGATCTAACTGGACAAAGACATAAACCATGAAAGCAGACAAAAAGAAAAATAATACTTGACAAGGACCTATAATACCGTAGAACACTAGCAGCAAAGTCTACAACCTAAAAAGAACAGACAGATGAATGGTAGAACATGGATATAGCAATGCATAAGCGTGAACCAATATCATTGTAAAATACAAATAGCAATAGTTTATCCTTGACTTTTGTGTTCCAATACACAACTAGTATTCAGAAAATATATCCAGCATTTTTTCAATATTTACATTTTCTACGCGAAACATGCTTTGTTGACAAGAAATTCATGGTTTCCAAAGGACATAATGCTTTTGAAGTTGCAAGCTATATTTCCATATTTTTTCACAACAAAACATTTCTTACAATAAACTAATTTGTAGAATCTATCTACTTCAAACAGACACCTAAGAATAATGGGTTCAAAGCGGCCCTATACCATTTTTGCCATGTTTAGACATGCTATCATCCCCTCGTAATCCACTAAAGGGGTTACACCAGTGTTTAAAAGCCAGACCAAGCAGAATAGAAACAAATAGAAAACGAGAGGAACGGCATTTGAACACTGATGTAACCCCTTTAACGAGGAACAAATGGCAGACCAAGCAGAATACAAACACATACGTCACTAACAGCATACTGAGAGGAACGGCATCTACGAATATAAAATATGGGGAAAGATGTTCAACTTACAACTAAATTTGTATCCTTTCTAGCTGATCGGTACTCGTTTATAAATTTAGAATCATCACTCAATAATAAATTTAGGAACTGCTCTGCTGAGCAAGGAAAAATATCCTGCAAGGGAACAGTTAAATTGCATTAATCAAATCATACAAGGTACTATCTGCAACTAAATTTATTCATGGGAAAGTTAGACGAAGATATTCCTTACATTATGTATACCAACAAGAACCTCGTATTTGATAAAGGGTTGAACCTTCTCAGCTTTCGGCACACTGCTTTCCAGCGACAATGGTTCACCTTTTCTAACTCTGACAGAGCTACTGTGCGCCCGTAATGCAGATTCTGCATTTTCCTATGCAAAAAAGATAGAGGTACAAAATGATTAATTCGGGGGAAGTATAGTAATAAAGTTGGAATATTAAACATACAATACAAGAACAGACAGCAGAGTCCGAAAAACTGGCATTTTGCCTTTAATGTGAAACAGTTGCTGGATCAATATGATCACTACCCAGTATATTTGGTATTCCATCAATCACATATTACGACATAACTAATTAACATGCTTTAGATTGATAAAGCAACAAGAGCACTACTGACAAAGATTCTGGCGATTGTGTTCCCATAATAGCTGTAGAGAAATAGAGCTCTTTAAGCCAGAAAACAAGTACTCGTGAATAAGGTTTCACGGGCGCAACCTCGGTTGACAAAGACTAAAAGCTTTTCACGAACTAGATAATAATATTTTCTTTCCCATGTCAAATAGAAAATTCATAGAATTAGAAAAGAAGCATACAGTATGAATCGTAATAGTACCTTTTTCTCAGCTTCTACAAGTGTATGGTAATTCTTTGCTGTACGGTGCAGTATTCGTATAGCATGATTCCTGTTCCAAAATGATGCAAACTTATATCTGACTCTACCTGAAAATGACACCATAGATATGCCCAATTTGAGAAGTAGATCTCTGTCAACAAGAGTTTTGAGTATTCTTTTCAGCGACTCCAAACAATACGCACAAGGAAAATGGATAATTGCCAGCGTCCACATTTTAAGAAAAGAAACGGCTGAATACTAACCATCTGGGCTTCCTAGAGGAGGCACACCATGCCCACCAGCACCCATCCGAAGGATAATGGTTATGGCGGGATTTATAAAAGCATGCTGACTCCGACGTATCTACAAAAGAACCAACCAGGATAAGCCATATGAGCTATTATCTAGTTTACTTTGCGAAATATAACTTGAGTACTACCTCATCAATATCTCCAAATGGTATGATCACCTGCAAACACAAACACAAAAAAAGTATCAATGAATGCATCAAAAGGTTCACTAACATTTTCTTTTTACAAGTCAAAAAGGTTCACACACATATTATCTCAACCAGTGCTTCTGGAAGTATTTTCAACAAAGTATTTACAAGTCAATAACCAAAAAAAATCCATTTCATTTTCAACCACATAACAGGCTAATAAAGATTGGAAATTTTCTTGAAAAAACAAAGCAGGGAACTAGAAAACTATTAACCATGTGGAAAGAAATAACCAAACAATGAAGAGGCTAACCTTCATTTGCTTAGAGAATACGTTAGAGTGGAAGCAGATGTGCCATGCAGAGACATACATGCGTCCATGGTACAGGAAAGACCGTTCAAGTGCACATGAGTAGCTATGTTCTGCCACCTGAAAAAATTGAAATTATTTGTCAAAATGAATGAAACAGAAATTATGAAAGCATCTTATTACAAAATCCTGTACATCAGTTGAGTTGAACTTTGTTCGACCCACCTCGTCTGGAAGGAGATTGAATATTGTCTGCATAGGCCCAGGTTTCTGATGAACCACAGTAGGCCCTTGTTTGTCTAAAGAAGCTCTCCTTCGATTAGTAGCTCCAGCAATTCTGGCATTTGAATGAAAAAAAAAACAACAAATATCATGTATTGGCCACAAAGGAAAAAAAATGGATATCAACAGCGAGAATATTACCTTGAAGCATTTCCAGCAATCTTTATAGTCTTTATGTGAAGACAAACCTGAGAATATATCAACATTAAGGTACAAGTCCAATGATTTCCTCGCAGATGGCAGATAAATTCCAAAGTACATACAGCTAGAGAAACTTACTTGCCCAGATGCGCTGTCCAAAGAATACCATAAGGCACCAGTTTGACCTTCGCTCTCAACTGGAACAGTGACAGATCCAAGAATGGTACTTTTCCAAATGATATCCCAGTCATATATTGTGACATTGATCTGCATGGCAGATGGGGGAAATATATCAGTAAAAACTGAAAAGAAATTGAGTATTCATCCCCCAGGTCGTTTCATGACAGAAACTCCACAGAGCTTCTTAATTGGTAGGGCATACGGATACTAAAGAAAGCTACAAACTCTATTATGATAAATGTATCTACTAACAAGCTTTAATTGTCAAGAAAAATACTACCCAGCTATAAAGTGAGATGCATGAACAGCGATGCGTAAGCTTGGTGAATACACGGAACACTCCCTTTGGTAACAAACGGAAAAGGAATTAAAAACATTGTCATTACCTTAACAGGTAGCTCATCCACAGAAAAGTTGAATTCTTCACCCCACATAGGGTTTCTTGAACCAGGAACCATAGAGCTGTGACAGTAATGGTGAGAATTTTAGAGAGAATGAAAACAGGAAAAAAAAATTATGCATAATGGAGATGAGAGCTTGCAGCCATTTCTTGCTTCGAAGCATCTAGTATACATGTCTTCCATTTTAAGATAAAGAACTCTTTTCAGGTGCTAAAGGCTCAGGGTTACAGCCCTTCTATTCCAATTTGACACAGAACTATTTTTGGCAATTCCATAACAAAAATGGTAAAAGCTAAGCCAGGTGATCTAACCTATGAGCTAACAACTCAGCTTTCATATTTACTATATCATCAGCTAGATCATAACCACTTAAAAGGATTTACTGGATAACTTAATCTACACCTCCAAGCCTCCCAGCCAATAATAACCCAGATCAATATCTATAGTGACTAATTAATGAATTCAATGACCAAATCATCAAATGGGACAAGTCAGCTGCAAGAATGGTGCTTCAAGTTCAGAACAAACTGTGTATAGAAAAATCTAGTGATGCTACCCGAAGTCAAGTTGCGCTTAAGATTCAAACATAAAATGAGAAATTTTTAAACAAAGATTTTTCAGTCATAGAACGTCTAGAACAAAGCCAAAGACATAAAGAAAGACCTGAATCGCTTCTCAGAACCACAAGCAATAAGAGCATAAGGATCTGATGTGCCATTCAGATTGGCACCAATCAGATTCTTAGCAGCCAACAATTCCACCTGAAATAGAGAAGAACAACAGCAACCTCATCGCGTCAATTCACTGGGAACATGGAAATTGCGGACAAATCCAAACAGCCAAAGCATTCTCCGTATATTTAAGACGGATCATCTCCAAAGTCAAGCCTGCTAAGAAAATCGACTAAAATAAAGATGAAAGATACTTTGATTATATATCCAGAACTTGCTTGTGCGTCTGCTTTCAGAGGGCCAATCTACAAAAAAAATGCAACAACTGCACGTTAAAGAAGTGGAAATTATTCGAATAAACTAGCAGATAATACTAGAATCCACAATCATTCATATGTTCAAAGCACAGATCATGAACTAAGATACAATCGTGAAACAAGACATGGGCAAGTGGAGAATCATGAGAAACAATGCTGCACAGAGAATAAAGTCTCATTCAAGCTGTATTTCTGGCACTAACAAACCAGGAACGGAATTCAGGTACCACCATTTCCTCTATGTCTGACCAACAGAAGAAAGAAACACAGCCCGAATGACGTCTCTCATCAGGTAGGGAACAATAGCACAGAGAAACAAACAAGATCACCCCGCGGAAATGACAGACAGCAATTCAAACTTCTTCCTACGTGTTGACTTCCCTCCTATGCAGACGATCACACTCATAATTTCAATCAGCAAAACAACAAATCGAATCATCAAATGATGGCAAGTTCAGGGAACAGAAACCTTGTCGCTGCTCTCGAATCCATCTCCACCATTCCCCAAATTCTCCACACTCCCACCACGAGGACCATCGCCTCCGCCGCCGCCGTGAGCAAAGAACCAGTACGCGAAGATCAGGAACATGGCGGCAGCCAAGGTGACTTTGATCTCCCACCACGACGGGACCAGAAACACCAACGCCGCCTCCATAGACATCACCATCGTCATTCGCTTCCTCCAATCAGATCCTCTCTTTTTTTTTTTCCCACTCTCAATCTCTCTCAAGCTATTCCTATATCCGTCCCAGTCGCCGGCGGTTTGTTCCTCCGGTAGCGAATCACGCGATCCCGACGAAATTGAGAGGTATCAGGGTTGATGCGACGGAGACGAGACGGAGGGTTGAAGAAGAGTAAACAAAGGCGACACGGAGGCCAAACACGACGAACGGGAAGAAGAGGTCGTCCATTTCTTGAGAGAGAGAGACTTAGCGGGGTCGCACTCGGACGGAGAAATCAAAAGGGAGAAAAAGTGTGCCGACGACCTATTTTCTTTGTTAAAAAAAAAGCGTCACTAGCTAGCTTGTAACAACTTTCACAAAATCCACTCTTGAAGTACGACACGTGATTCGCTGTTTTGTTGTCGATTTTGACATGTATTTGAAACTATTATCGACATCGTTCTGCAAATTATAAGAAATATGCACATAATTCATGAGAATTTATTTACCACTTACAGACTTACTCCATTACATATCACTAATTAGGTTGACCGTATGTAGAAAAAGAATACTAGTAGCAATTCGTTATTTTGGCTTTTTATGTTTAATAATGGTTATAGTGAGACATTAAAGAGATTATTTCATCTTGATTTTATCTTCGAAAAGGTATTGATAGTGTCGTTGACAAATTACTAAGTACCTTAACAAATTAGTGGTCTTTTATGTCTTTTTTCCTTGCCGATGAACTTGTAAGGACCTCCACAAGTGAGAGATAATGAAAAAACCTGAGGACACTCATGAATTCACATATCCTAAAAATACGTAAATTACCAAGTGTATGAAACAAAAAAAATTCTCGATACCTGACTTAAACAAGAAAAAAGAAATTTCGTATCTTCATAAATTGTACATTAAAAATGAGGTGTTACTGGATTTTAAAGGTGGCAACAACGTTGGAGATGTTCTGTCACATACCAGATGATGAACACGAGATGGCCTTGAAATGAAAGATTTATAGATTCACTCTAGGAATAAACTCTTTGATGAACAAGATCAATGCCTAAATTATATCGTTTGAAAACCGCAAGACAAACATAGTGGGTGATCTTACTTCTATTTTCGAGATTTTGTGCATCATTTACTTGATTCCTATGAAGGATGTTCAAAAGTAATTTGTCTAGGAGTCAAGGTGAAGCGATCATATTCAATTATTCATAACTCAACTATGACTGTGGTTGTCTGGCACCTGCCACTAGTGTTTGTTGTGAGCTTAACATTCTAGGTGTTTGCTGTGAATTTGACTCAGGACTCCACAATGAATTATCTCACCCAACATGCTAAAAGTTTTTCATGTATTTTCACCTTGGCTCCCATGTATCTCACTCGTTAAGTACCCCGCTCAAGTTCAAATCTAGCTATGCCACTAGATACAAGCTATAAAAAATAACAGCACAATATGGAAAACTACAGAACAGGTGATCACGAGTCTCGCTCCCCTGACTACAAAATACACATAGGCTAGAGTCAGCACACCCCTTTCAACCACTTTATCTCTAGTTGTTGTATGATTAGGTATAAAAACCATGTAAAAAAATTCGTATATTGGGACAAAAAAACTCATCCCCATAACACTTTGTACAAATCTACCTTTTCTCCTATAGGTCTTGTGGATTTCAAGGTCAACTTGACAAAGAACTTTGGCAAAATGTTATGTTCCCAAGTCACCTAAAAATTCTGGTCCGCCTCTAATCAGTATTGAAACAAAGGCCTATGTTTTAATAGTTTCCTCCAAATTTATGATCCCACCTAATTATACTTCAAATCCCATGTATTGTTCCCTTTTAGCATATACTTCCTTATCCATGCTACCCAAAAGGATCCACCTCTCACCAGTACTATCCAATAACTTGCAGCATATGCAACATTCCAAGTGTACAAGTCCTTGAGGCCAAGTCCAACCTCCACTTTTGACATTGCAACTAAATCCCGTTGTAGTATAGTTTTCCCAGCCCTGTCCACATGCCACAAAAAATTGAATGTATTTTCTGGATCTCGTTGAAGAATTTTCTTAGGCTAAAAATGTTAGGATCTAGTTGAATGATAGCATACAACACTAATGATACAACTTGAGAGTTTCCTTGTTGACCAATATCTCAACATGTTAGTAAGTTTGTTAAATAATGCATTGCATTCACCAATTGAGAGTTTCCAGACTTAGAGATGCTTAAATATCGAACATGTAATTTGTCTTCCTTAAATCCATAATGAGATAGAGCCAAGTGCTTCTCTAGTATGGTGTTTTCCGGCGAGGAAAACTCTGGTGTTTGATATCAATAAATGCACCTTGACTTCTTGAACCATAATTAATAACACGGTTCACACCAACGTCCGCCATTAGCCTCTGAGATGGACACCTGCAAAAAAGGACCTGCCGGTGGTGGTCGGCAAGAACCTTCTCCAAAGCTCAAGTCAGTATTTGAGAGGAGAGTAATCGGGAGCGACGTATTGAGCCGACTCTAGAGAGATATCTCGTTCCAAGAACTGAGTTCTCTGGGTTTGAGACCAGCTGTTTAGAAAATAGAAAATGAACAAGTTACTTATAGGCCTCTCCTGCTCCTGGCGTGGATGGCGTGTTATAAATAAAAATAATAATACTCTTTTACATCTAAAGGCTGAGAATCTTACCTTAATGGGTGTAATACACTCAAACCATTATTGTAAAAACTAATCACGTAACTAGTCTCCAAGTGCACATATACTGTACTACTATATAAAAGCAAGGTTTTTGCGGCAGGAATGCACCACAGTTCGACACGTGTCCAAAATGCCCAAAGAACCTGTCCAATTCATGTGTATTCATGCTTTTGCCATCAAAGCAAAATATTACAATTTCTGTTTTGTTCCCCGATCCAACAGGCAACAGTTGGGGTCTCCTATCCGATAGAGTTCTCTGCGACATACTGTGAAACTTTCAGTTATCCCCTTCCTTAGTTTGCTCCACCGCCTCCGTCCGCCGCTTAGCGTAGCTCTTCCGATCCGTCTGCGACAAACAAGTGTTGTTGCAAATTTACATGCAAAAGAGAACAGAAAATCCAAACCAGTAAAGAAACAAAATCATCCTCCTAAAATTTGCATGCAAGAGAAATCAGTACATCAAAGAACAAAACTTCAATTGTTGTGAAATCCTTTCTCCTTCTTTCGGATGCGAGTCAATGATAAAAAGGTGACCAGTAATCTAGCCCAATTGAAACAAAGGGTAGAATAGTTCGAACTAATCTAGCCAAGAATGTCAATACTTCAGCGTAATACAGATAAAAAAGTTTCCCCAAGGAAGCGAAAAATTGAATATCTCCAATATAGATGAAATAAACCTATCGATGTTGCATGCATGAGGAATAAAAAAAATCTCGCGGCTGGTTGGTGTGGAGACCGCCACTCATATGGCCCAATTCCCACCCGCAATCGTCGAAAAGAGAGAAAGCTTCAGAAAGATGGTCTTTCATAACCCAGCAAAAGTGGTCGATGGAGCTCGCGGGAGCTTGAAAATTTATGGTGTGCCGGGCGAAGTTTTGCAACTAAGAATTTTCTCATACTCACTCTTGGTGTTTGAGCCTAGAATGTTCTAGGCGGGTTTGCGGAACTAGCAAGGCGTCTGATCCGGATGATGGGGGACTCCAAGCTCCTACAAAACAAGGGTCCTTGGGTGATCACCCAGGACACCCTCCGAAGCTCAAGTTAGAGAGAGAGAGAGAATCTTGTAGTAATATCTTAGAGAGAGAGAGAGTAGTTGGTTTACCATCAATGCAGATATGAATGTATTTATAGTGGTTTGGGCTGGGCTTCGAGCATTAATGACCATGTCAGGCGCCCTATATCTTGTCTTACTTTATCTAGACCGCCTACGGCGGCAATTAATGCTTAGTCCTGCAGTATTCGAGGTGAGTATCCTAGGAAGATCTCCCATTCTCCCCCTAACGGCTCTTTGTGTCAGGCGTCCTAGTACCTGTCATGTCCTAGTATGGCCGCCTTCCTTTCTCTGTTTCTTATGTGTTACGTTCCCCCAGACGTCTTCTTGGGCCCTTTGGACGGGCCTTACCCTTCTGGGCTTCCAAGCCCTATAGTGCTCAGCTATGGCCCAACAATTGCCCCTTAGTCGTGAAAAGCTAAGGATTTTGGCGGCTACTTTATGTCCTTTGGTAGCTGAGCGGTCCTTTCATTAGCAGCTGTCTACCCTTTTGCCCCCTGGCCGCCGCAGATCCGTGATTTTCTGGTTCACAGCCTCCTATAATGAGTTGCGTTTTTCAACTGCGCTGTCCACTTGGTTTCTGTTTGTTCCTCGAGCTTTAATGTGGTTCGCTGTCCACCCCTCTTCGGAGCATTGATTGGTTAACTCCTAACTAGTCTTGGGGGTTGAGCTGTCTACCCCTTTTTGGCCGCCCTCTTCCCTTGTTGATTCGGGGACTTTCGGGTCGTTCCGTATTTTTAGCGGTTGAGCTGTTCACCACTTTTTGGTCGCTACTCCTGAGCGTCCATATGGAAGACTTCTAAGCCTTGTCCATTGTGGGCTTTTAAGCGGTTTCGCTGTCCACCCCCTCTTGACTTTCAGCTTGCTAGCTTGTCCCCTGATAGCCGCTTGTCGATTGGCCTTCCACGCCTCGCTATGCCGCCCATAAGTCGCGCCACGTGTCTGGTCTCGGCTTTCGTGCTCTGACAGCGGGCAACTTTACGTCCAATCACCTGCCCGCAATTTGAATTGAATAGAGTAGGGTTTGCCCTAGGTCTCTTCAACCGTCGCTTCGCTGCCCCTTTCCTTGCACATTTATATCTCTTTCTTCTTCCTCCTCCTCATTTTCCTTCTCCCATTATCTCACTTCTCTCCCGATTCTCTCGTCAAAATTGCTCGGTGCTCTCGTTTTTCCCTGTCTTCCTATCTCCGAGACAACTCTTCTTTGTCTCCGCCGAGAGCAGCTTTCCTCGTTAAACTCCGACGACGTCAGAAACGTGAGAAAAG